TGCCGTCGCGACGCCGGAACTCTGTTTTCCTACTTTCAATTTAATTTACGCTTCATTTAGTGATACTTTGTTGATTTTAATTTACCAAACTATACTTCGTTCAATTATGATTCTTCCGGCTTTTACAGATCTTAATTTGATTAATTGAGTCGTCTATAATCGCCTACATAAGAATCGTCGGGCGGAACTTTGTTTCCGCCTGATTCGCGTTCACCGGGCGCTAACGTTATCTTGACGTCCGCACCGTTATTTTCTTTTTTTCGTGAATTTTAAATATATTTCCTTTTTATTTCCTAGTATAAAATTCGTAAGAAAATCGTACTCATTGAGAAAAATTCTGAATAATTACTAAATATTATATTACATCCTTGTGATCGACCTGGAAAATTATCACTATTTTTGGAATTTTTATTGAATTATAATTGATATGTTTATTTAGAAATACTTCTAAATATCTGAAAATTTGTATTTTCTAGTTTTATAAATTTTGTATTTGCGTGATTTAACATACAACGACTGAGTCACGTCATGGAGCAACAATCGAGGGGATGCTTTGATTTATGAATATATCAATCGTTGTTTCATCAACAGCATCGCCATGGTGCGACATCTCATATTAGTCACGATATTATTCCCTAAATAGAGTATGAGCACCCACAGACCTCCTTTCAGATTTCAGATCATGTGGCTCCAACATGAAGACTTTCAAAGTTTCGTATAGAATCACTAGTCTGGACATATCTCAGATTCTTCTATGGAGAACCTTAGCTATAAGTTAAGGAACCTCAAACTCCACCTTAAATAGTGGAACCGACATATCTACAGGAATGTCCATACCCAGGTTGATGCATTGCAAAAAGAGTTAGTAGAGGTTGAAAGACTACTGCAAGCTAGATATTCAGATGCTGCTTGAGAAAAGAGGAGTAGAGTGAGCGATCAACTTGATGAGGTTGTGCGACGATAGGAGTTATTTTATCTCCAGAAATCATGCATCTAGTGGTTACAAGAGGGTGATAGAAACACTCATTTCTTTCTTGCCTCGGTCGCTCACCGCTCACGTTCAGATTATACCTCTCTTTTAGAGACATATGATCAGGATCTTTCCCACATGCAAAAGGCAGGGGTTGAGTACTTTTGTACTCTCTTAACCTTTTAGCCAATCGAGATTTCTGATGATATGCTCACTTCAATCCCATCACTGGTCACTCACCATGAGAGCTCTCTCAGGACGGCCATACCCACGAGAGAAGAGATCAAGGAAGTAGTTTTCTCTATGAGCAGACATCGTGCACCCAGGCCTGATGGTTTCCCAGTTAATTTTTACATCTCATGTTAGGATATCATTGGCACTGATCTCATTCAGGCTATCAAGAAAATCTTTTGTCATAAAGTCTTTACATAGAGTTGGAAGGCCACCTTCCTTGCACTTATACCGAAGGTGACTACTCCAACCTCATTTAGAGACTTTCGACCTATCAGTTTATACAACGTGTGTTATAAAGTTGTATCTAAGATCGTTACATGTAGATTGAGTAGTTTCCTTAATAGACTTATATCTCTAGAGCAATGCGGATTTGTCAAGGGATGGTATATTCATGATAACATCATGCTAGTACATGAATTAGTACAGTCTTTTGGCCATGACTGTCAAGGCTTCAACATCATCATCAAATTAGACATGGAGAAGGCCTTTGATAGGATAGAGTGGAGTTTCCTCATTAAGGTTCTTAGATACTTTGGGTTCATTGACGATTTCATTGACTTAGTCGATGTATGTGTTAGGGAGAATCATTTCTCTTTATTGGTGAATGATAGCTCCACACCATTCTTCACGGCCACAAGAGGTCTACGACAAGGTGATCCACTATCACCCACTCTCTTCATCTTGGTCGAAGAAGTCTTCACTCGATCCCTTACTTGAGCGATCAATCAAGGACTTATCCGACCATACTACTCGAAGAAGGATTGTTCGATCATCTCACACTCCCTCTTTGTTGATGATGTAATACTCTTCCTCAATGGATGTGAGACATCCATTAGAGGGCTCATGAGTATTATCTCGAGGTATGAGCGAGCTGCAGGTCAACTCGTAAATGCCTCAAAGAGTAGCTTCATGGTAGACCATTCTACCCCCATAAAGACCATATGATGCATCTAGGGCCTAACAGGGTTCTCTCATAGACACTTACCTTTTGACTATTTAGGATGTCCTATTTTCTTCAGCTGTAGGCACATACATTATTTTGACGCCCTAGTGGGCAAGTTGAGGAAGAAACTAGCGGGATGGAAGTTATAGCTTCTATCCCCTGGAGGACAGATCTAGTTGATACACCATGTCCTCATGAGCATGCCATTACACCTTCTGGCAGTCCATGAGCTACTAGACACCGTCTTACAAACTATTAGATAGATATGCACGTTCTTCCTTTGGGATGGACAACTTGAGGGACCTTGTCGCTAGTGCTGAGTTTTTTGGGAGAAAACATGTCGACTACAGATGAGGGTGGTCTAGGTATTAGGCGCCCTCAAGATGTACTCAACATGCTTCAAAAGAAACTCGTTTGGAGGATGAGGACCACACTATCAGTGTTAGGCTCTTTTGTGTCAGCCAAATATGGTGAGTGGGCTCGACAGCCGGCCGACATCAAAGGAGTCAAATGATGGGTAGACTGGCAGCGACATTGGTTGGAGATGGTGCCCCTTATTCGTTGGCGAGTGGGGCGAGGTGCGATCAATGCCTAGTATGACACTTGGCCAGAGGACACACTATTGGCCAGTTTTACCACTTTTACATCATCTTGGCCTTGCTTCACGGTAGCCCAACTTCTCCAAGGAGACACTCGTCTACTTATTGAGAGGCATGGACTACCGTCGAACTTGTTACCAGCCATCACCATAATTGAGATGAGTTTTATTGAGGACCAACCCATCTGGACACTTATCATAGATGGCAGTTTCTCTTGTAGCTTCTCTTGGGAGCACTTTAGAAACTACTCCCCAAAAACATTTTGAGAAAATCTCATATGACATCCGGCCATCACACCTCGTGTTTCGTTCTTCCTATGGAAGTTCATGCACCGAGGACTGCCCACCGACGATCGAGTGATTGTCACTAATCAGGAGGTGGAAAGGAGATGTCATTATTGCTCTATCATGACAGACAAAAGTATGGAACATCTATTTTTCCATAGTGATATCGTTGTCGAGTGTTGGCGTCAACTTCTAGCGAATTGGCTTCCAATGCTCTCGTACAAACCTATGAGACCACCACTAGAGGTCTTTAGGAGAGTTATTGACTCACCAACGAGTGTCAAGGTTAGTCCCTTCATCCGTATCTCCATAGCATATATGTTATGAGAAATATAGAAGGGACGTAACTCATCTCGATTTGTAGGCCAAGTGATACATGCCATAGAGATTATGAGGCACATAACACAATGGCTTCGGAGTACTCATTTTTTGATGCCAAACAAAACGAAACGCTCACATTCTGTTTGTGAGGCTTTTGGGCTTTGGGGACTCCATATCATACCTACACAAACTTAGACTACTATCTGATTTGTTAGATGGAAACCACTGAGGGCTGGACGGTGGAAACTCAACGTCGATGAAGCATCTCAAAACAACCCAAGACCATCTGGAGAAGGAGGTATCTTACGCGATAGTACAGGATGCATTCTCTTTGCCTTTTCGAACTTTTATAATATACGAACTAATATTGTGGCAGAGGCTATGGCAATACGAGATGGTTTGCTTCTTTGTGAGGAGCAAAATATTATTAATAATATTGTCTTAGAATCTGATTCCTAAGTGTTAGTGGACATGTTACGTGTAGACTCTTGTCCTCATTGGAGGCTCAAGAATATCTGGGCAGACATCATGTGATATCAAGGACGTATCACAACCATTACGTATCAGTTCCAAGAAGGGAATTAGACAGCTGACGCCCTTGCTATGCATAGAATCAGATCACATTGAAGGGTAGTCTTCTCTTTTTAGTAGGACATACCTCTCAAAGCCTAAGGTGCTCATAGACTTGAGCAACTTGGCATACCCTCTTTACGCATACACCATACTTCACTATCGGCCCTTCCACAGCAGTGGCGTATTGCTTGGAAGATACTAGGGGTGGTTACTATTGGCCATTGACGACCACAATGGAGATACAGGTACGTGTTTCCTTTGGTATTGTTTTCAGGTCTATCACAAGTCACAACCATGACATCATCATGGCGCTCATCCCACACCATCGATGTGGAATGTACTTTGCCTATCAGCACAAGACGGATAACAAGGCACATCATAATCTACTCGGGTACACTACTTCCAATCATTACTCTCCTCATAATCACCTCACATCTACTATCTATCACCCTCAAATAGTGAGGACATAGAATTATCAACATATGTTGGCATCTACCCACTTTTGAACTATAGGTCTATAGCACATCAGACTTACTAAACTAGTTGTGAATCGCCAACTTAGCACCTCTCTTAAGATCTCATTAGTACCATCAGCCAGCTTGAACCCATGAGAAGGTAAGGATCTATATCCATAGGATTGACCCTCTCTCCTCTCTCTCTCTCTCGATTCTCTATTTCTTTCTCCCTCCCTTTCTCTCTCTTCAAAAAAAAAGAAAAAAAAAGAAAAAAAAGAGAAGAGGCAGCCTACTTATTTTCCTAGAATCACTAGCCCATCATAGACAATTTGTGGAGGGTGAGGGAAAGGGCCCTCAAAAAAAAAAAAAAAAAAAAGAAAAAAGAGGGGGCAACCTACTTCCCTTCCCCTAATCCCTAGCCTAATACTCCAAAGGGAATTACCCTTGTACACCAAATAATGGGCATTAGTGGAGGGTAAAAAAAAAGGCCCTCAAAAAAAAAAAAAAAAGAGAGAAAGAAGAGAGAGATAATAAGAGAAAAGAAAAGAGCTAGAACAAGAGACAAGTCATTCCTCATGGTGTGAAAGGTTCCCTACCTACTTAGAGGAAGTACGATAACTGATGGTACTAACAAGATCTTGGCCAAAAGGATTAGGTGCATCCAACACTAGGAAGTCAAATTCATATTTGGGCTTATTGTCATGCTTTAGCATAGTTCTATCCTCCTCACTACCCTAACCATTCTTTTCTCACCACTTTATATCATTTTATTTATTTCTTAGAACCACTTACTGCAGCAAACTCTTGTCTTGTAAGAACACCTCATGGCGCACAACATGGAGGTCTACACATCCTACTACTGTTGAGCGAATCTTTCAACTTCATGAACTCAAAGGTTCTTCCAGCTCAATGCAAATCAAATGCCTTCTTCAAATATGATGAGCGCACTAGAGTCTATCTCCAGTATTATCACATCCTTCATGTCATCCTCACCCCTTGTGCGAATGAGATCCCACTTATGTAACCTCAGAAAGAGGTCAAACTTATGTAACCACTCAATCAAATTTCTTCATTTCAAAAAAAAAAAAAAAAAACTTAGTAGGCCACCATAGTATGCACACATTGTAAATTATCTAGTTAGTGGTCAACTTTCAAATAAATGGAATTATAATGTAAGATTTTTTTTTTCAAAAATATTGATCAATTTAACTAGGAAAAACTTGAATTATTTCATTTGGGAGTTAATTACATTTATCAGAGATGTGTGTCTAAAGAAGAACAAAGAAGTTTTTAATTTTTGTCACTCTTCATTTTGTGGTGGTTATTATTCTCCTAAAATCATATTAATGAAGGTATTTCAAGCTGAATTTTATTGTCCATCTTTGTTTAAAGATTCATATGAATATGTTTAGCAATATTTGAGGTGTCAAGCTGCAAATAATATAAACAAAAGAGATTCCATGTCTTTGCAAGCCATCATAGAGCTAGAGATTTTTGATTTATAGAGAATAGATTTTATGGGATCATTTCCTCTATTGATAGGAAATGAATATGTATTGATGACAATCAACTATGTATCTAGATGGGTAGAGGCTATCCTTACTAGGACTCATGATCGTAATATTGTCATTAAATTTTTAGAGCAAACTATTTTCTCATAGGTTGGATGTCTTAAGGTAATTTTGAGTGATGGATGGTCACACTTCAACAACTCATATTTCAAGAGTTTGTTGAAGAGATATGGAGTCCAGCACAAGATGACCACTCCATACCATCCTCAAGCCAATGGTCAAGTTGAGGTATGCAATAGGGAGATTATGAAAATTCTCAAGAAGATCATTCAGCTATATGGGAAGGGCTAGGCAAACAAGTTTTCTGAAGTCCTATGGCTTATAGTACTGCCTATAAGTGTCCTTTGGGGATGTCTCCTTATAGGCTTATTGATAAGTCTTCATTATCATGAGTTAATAATTAGTAAATAATATAGTTTTAGCCTGAACTCATGATAAATAGACTTATATTTGTGTTAAAGCATGAAAAGTGGTTTTTAGTTGATTAACGTGAATTTTTGGGTAATTATGTGATTTTATACGATTTTTACAGTCTTAGTTTTGAGATAAATGAAGAACAAGAAATAAAAATAAAAATATTGCAAAATTGGGGGACCCGCCAGCCAGCCGGGCCTGCAAACGGGTCGGAAGCGCAGTCGGGGAGTAGCCGCGGGCAGGGGCTCGAGCGGCTTGCTTGGATCGATAGGGGCACGTGTGCGCCACTCCCCTTCCACGTCACCCGTGGTCTGCCGGCTGTGGGGCAAGGAGTAGTCGTACACGCGAGAGGATTTGCATAGAAAGCTAACTTTACTATATAATCGCCCGAATAATCCGCGCACAACCGATGTGGGACTAAATGGGCGGGCGACCGCCGCAGGTTTGAATCCTCCCAGAGTCAAAATTCATATATTTTTAACTGATTATCGCGACTTTCCTGCAGATCGCCGGTGAAGGATTAAGCAACCGGAATCGCTAGATCATTGGCGAAAATCTCGTCAACGCGATTCGCGGAGCATTGCTACTAAAATTTCTGAACGATTCACGATAAAAGGATCGCAATCCATCGAGTAAATCATCTCCGATTGATCGACGAACAAGCCGTCGTCGGGAAGAGGACGATCCGCCGGGAGACCAGTCGCCACCTCTTGAGAGCGTACTAGATGCGATGAAGAGCCTCCTCTTGCTGCGCGGACCTGAGGATGAAGCTCCCTAACACGCGCCTCACCTCCATCCAGCCCCTCTCCGTCGGGTGACAGCCGCCGGAGAGCCGCAAAGTCGCCGTTTTTCTGCTTCGCCGGGTGACAGCCGCCGAAGACGATTCGACGACCCACTTCATTGGTCTCTAGACTTCGCGAGAAGATCTAGAGATTGCCCACGTCGTCTTTGTCCAAGGAGAGCCTTCGAGGCCGTGGACACTGCACGACGACTGATAAGTCTTCATTATCATGAGTTAATAATTAGTAAATAATATAGTTTTAGCCTTAACTCATGATAAATAGACTTATATTTGTGTTAAAGCATGAAAAGTGGTTTTCAGTTGATTAACGTGAATTTTTGGGTAATTATGTGATTTTATACGATTTTTACAGTCTTAGTTTTGAGATAAACGAAGAACAAGAAATAAAAATAAAAATATTGCAAAATGAGGGAATCCGCCGGCCAGCCGGGCCCGCCCGCAAGCGGGTCGGAAGCGCAGTCGGGGAGTAGCCGCGAGCGGGGGCTCAAGCGGCTTGCTTGGATCGATAGGGGCACGTGTGCGCCACTCCCCTTCCACGTCACCGGTGGTCAGCCGGCTGTGGGGCAAGGAGTGGTCGTACACGCGAGAGGATTTTGCCTATAACTTTACTATATATTCGCCCAAATAATCTGCGCACAACCGATGTGGGACTAAACCCGCGTCACACCTTGTTCAGGGGCAGGCGACCGCCGCGGGTTCGAATCCTCCCAGAGTCAAAATTCATATATTTTTAACTGATTATCGCGACTTTCCTGCAGATCGCCGGTGAAGGATTAAGCAACCGGAATCGCTGGATCATCGGCGAAAATCTCGTCAACGCGATTCGCGGAGCATTGCTACTAAAATTTCTGAACGATTCGCGATAAAAGGATCGCAATCTATCGAGTAAATCATCTCCGATTGATCGACGAACAAGCCGTCGTCGGGAAGAGGACGATCCGCCGGGAGACCAGTCGCCACCTCCTGAGAGCGTACCAGATGCGATGAAGAGCCTCCTCTTGCTGCGCGGACCTGAGGATGAAGCTCCCTAACACACGCCTCACCTCCATCCAGCCCCTCTCCGTCGGGTGACAGCCGCCGGAGAGCCGCAAAGTCGCCGTTTTTCCGCTCCGCCGGGTGACAGCCGCCGGAGACAATACGACGACCCACTTCATTGGTCTCTAGACTTCACGAGAAGATCTAGAGATTGCCCACGTCATCTTTGTCCAAGGAGAGCCTTCGAGGCCGTGGACACTGTACGACGACCCTCCCGAACACTCAGGATTCCGGTGCATCGCCGACGCGTCGCCGTCGCAACGCCGGAACTCTGTTTTCCTGCTTTATCTAGAGATTGCCCACGTCGTCTTTGTCCAAGGAGAGCCTTCGAGGCCGTGGACACTGCACGACGACCCTCCCGAACGCTCAGGATTCCGGTGCATCGCCGACACGTCGCCGTCGCGACGCCGGAACTCTGTTTTCCTGCTTTCAATTTAATTTACGCTTCATTTAGTGATACTTTGTTGATTTTTATTTACCAAACTATACTTCGTTCAATTACGATTCTTCCGGCTTTTACAGATCTTAATTTGATTAATTGAGTCGTCTGTAATCGCCTACGTAAGAATCGCCGGGCAGAACTGTGTTTCCGCCTGATTCGCGTTCGCCGGGCGCTGACATCATCCTGACGTCCGCACCCTTATTTCCTTTTTTTTCGTGAATTTTAAATATATTTCCTTTTTATTTCCTAGTATAAAATTCGTAAGAAAATCGTACTCATTGAGAAAAATTCTGAATAATTACCAGATATTATATTACATCCCTGTGATCGACCTGGAAAATTACCGCTATTTTTGGAATTTTTATTGAATTATAATTGATATATTTATTTAGAAATACTTCTAAATATCCGAAAATTCGTATTTTCTAGTTTTATAAATTTTAAATTTGCGTGATTTAACATACAACGACTGAGTCACGTCAAATTTTGGCGCCGTTGCCGGGGATGTATTGCATAATATTTAGTATTTTTCTGTTTTTCTCTTAGAGTACACAAAAAAAAAAAAAAAAAAACTTTACTCTTGTTTTATTTTCTTTTTGCTGATTTTTATTAGAAAAAGGGAACGAAAAGAAGCACGGCAAGGACTGGAGCATCCTGAAGGAGGGTAACAGTTACTAACTTTTTCCCTCGAATTTATTGATTTTTATGCATGGTAGAAGATCCTTGCATCCAAGGCTAGAAAATCCTTTCATTATTTCATTCAAAAAGAAAAATCTGAAAGAAAAATTAATTTTGATGGATCCTGAAGGAAGTACAGGTCAAACTGAGAACAATCCTATGGCCATGAAAAATCATTATATCCCTGATTCATTTCAAAGAGCATCTAATATTAGAGTCCCATTAGCACCCACTGTTAAATTCGAAATAAATCCAAGAATTTTTCAAATGCTCCCTAATTTTCATGGATTGCCTTTAGAGGAACCTCATCAGCACTTAGAAAAATTTCATATGGTCTGTGATTTAGTTAATCTCCCTCAAGTTACACCAGAAATTATTAAGATGAAATTATTCCCTCATACACTTAGAGACAAAGCTAGCCATTGGCTATCCACATTAGATAGAAAATTAACTAGCTGGAAAGATATAGAACATGCCTTTCTTTGAAAATTTTATCCCTTAGGAAAAACTCAAAATATGAGAAAATATATATAGAGTTTTTCTCAAAGACCAGGAGAAACTTTGCATGAGACATGAGAAAAATTCAAAGATTTACTTAGAAAGTGTCCTCATCATGCTATACCCAAGTGGCAACTCAATAGAATTTTTTATGATGGATTATTAGAACAACATAGAAATATGGTCGATTCTATATGTGGAGGAGCTTTTATGGAGAAAACTCCTGATGAGATTTACAGTCTTTATGAGAATTTAAGTGAAAATTCTAGAGATCAAGCCTCTTTTGAATTATATGACAAGGAAATGAAGAGAGAAATTTATGAATTGCATCATGATGATGATTCTAAACTTAGAAATGAGGTTAATCAGATTAATCAAAGATTAGAAAAAATTGATTTACTTATTGATAATATTAGAAAGCCTTTTAACCCTCAACTTAATTCGAATAGTACATGTCCTATGTATGGTGAAAATGATTATTCTGAACTTCAATGTTATAATTTAGATCAATCATTTCACCCTATGCGAGAACAAGTGCAAGTAGCTCACAGTTTTAATAGAAATAGGGAAAATTTTTCAAATTCTTATAATCCTAATTGGAGGAATAATTTTTCATGGAGAGACCCAAATAATATTCAAAATCCAGAAGCACTTAGACCCAATTCAAACTCTGAATTTCGTCCAAAACAAGAAAATAGATTTCAGAAAAATCAGCCCTCTCAAACCCAACCTGATGCTATGGAAATGATGCAGCAAATGAGCCAAATGATGCAACAAACTATGAATCAAATGATGCAACAAACTATGAATCAAATGATGCTTCATCAGAAACAAATTATAGAGGCTCTTGGGAATAAGAGAGAAGAGGGACAGCTACCTAGTCAGCCCATAGAAAATTCAGAAAACTGTCCAACAGTAAGATTTCAGCAAGAAGAGTCTAACTGGATAAATTTAGAAAAAAACCCACGAAATGAAAATGTTAGGACAGTGAATACATTGAGTGAGAATATTTTACCTGATCCTTATTTCCAATTATTAGAAGAAATTGATGATCCATTAGAAGTAAATGAGGATATTAAGGGCAAAAATATAGTAGCAGAAAATTTGAATAAAATCATTTATTGCTCACAATTGATGAATGAATATAGTGAGGATGATGAGGAGAAAGAACCCTTAGATGAAGAAACAGCGACTGATCATAGAAAAATCATCCAAATTTCAGTAGAAGGGAGTAAGGACAGAAATGAAGAAAAATATATTTCAGGGGAGGAAAAATCAATTGATTTGGGAGATGTAGGAGACGAAATTAATGAATCTAATCATAATTTTGCAGCCATGGATGTTGATTGTGAGGATGATGATGTATATCATATACCAAAATTAAAAGATAGCTCTTGGGAAGATGAAGAATTTGATGAGTTGAGAAACGAAAAGCTAGAAAAAGAATTGATTCAACTAATGGGAACAAGCAAAAATAATAGATGTGAATATAGAAATAATTTTGGAGGAGAAAATTTGAATTTTACTGAATTCATTAGATCTGAGATTAAAGAAGACAATCCTTCCATCCTTCAAAACCCACAGCCCATTAAAATTATTTCTAAGCTTGAAATATTTCACTCCTCACAAATTGAACAAATATGTATGGAAGATAAAATGGAGCAGGGAAAGATTATGCAGATAAAATAAGACATTAAGAAATGGGTGAGTGGAAGAATTAGAGATACCAATTTAGATGAAAAAATTTTAGATTGGGCAAGAGCTAATCTGAAAATTATACGGCCTGATCACATTTTATGGTTTATTAATAGAAAGTATTTATTAATGAATGAGAGCCTAACAAAACAAGATAGAAATAAGGAAAGATTCTTTTCAAAATGGAAATATTATTTTTGGGAAAATTTTGTTAATTTCCATTTTGTTTTGGCTGAAAGTATGTCAAGGTATATATATGAAGTATATGAATTTATGCTAAATCTGAAAAAGAATATCATAAAACTTACCTTGGGATACAAATATATTTTGATGGCCATAGATCAGCTTATATGATATAAGAGCTGTCCAGCTGGAGACATTAAATTCAGCGCTGCATGGGAGGCAACCCATGGTTTTTATTTCATTTTTTAAGCTCTGTTTTTCTTAGAATTTCGCAGTACTTGTTTCTGTATTTGTTTTTCTTTCGAAAAAGTGCAGGAGTGTAAGATGAAGTGGAAAATTAAAAACGAGGTTGAGGTGATGTCTTTCTGAGCTTCATCATTTATGAAAATATTTTTAATGTTTAACTTTGCAGATATGCATGCTTCACTTGAAAATTATATTTTCTGGATATTCTGTTTCGAGTTTTCTGTGTCATTGAGGACAATGTCATTTTTAAGTTGGGGGGTGAAGTATTCATTATTAATTTATGCTGTAGGACGATTAAGAACATGTGTTTGCAGTTTATTCAACTTAGAACAGCAACTAAAAAAATAAAAATAAAATAAAATTCGGAAAAATTGCAACAATTTTCTGGTTTTCTGTCAGAAACAACAGACTGTCAAAAACAGCAGACAAAAAACAGCCCGAAATTTGAAATTCTAGAAGACCCTTTTCTCACATTTCAATCCCTTAGACATATATTACTGAAATTCGAAATTACAGCTATAAAGAAGATAGTTTTGATTTATTTTTGACAAATTTATTGCTGCTAAAACTGAAAACAGAAAACAGAACTGTCAGAACTATCTAATTTACAAATTCCTTACATCATATTGCATGCATGAAAAATTAAATCAATTAGATTGATTGATACCAAAAGATACTAGGAAGATTATTATTGAATCAAAAGAATGATCTAGTAGCATGAAATGTTGGAATACTCCTTGGATACATGATAGATAACATGGATTTGATTTTACAGATTTTCACTTCATGATCTTGATGGATAATATTTACTTGATGTGAAAATTTGATTGATCATTTGAGTTTAATGGAGATTTTTGCACCCTGATCTATAGGACTTGTGAGGAGAAATCACTTATTTCAAAAAAAAAAAAGAAAAAAAAAGAGAGAGCAATGTGAAAAATCTAGAAACGAAGAGTACACATGGAGGGTGTGAGACATCATTCTCATTGTCGAAAATCGTGCATAGAAAAACACTTGCTGAAAAATAAGTGGATAAAGTGAAAGCCCTGAAAATGAAGAGTACACATGGAGGGTGTGAGACATCATTCTTATTGTCGAAGTTTGTCTACAGGAAAAGCTACTTATCCACTATATATATAAAAAAAAAAAAGAAGGAAGAAATATAGTGCAAACTTCAAAAATCAAGTCATAGAAAAAGGGAAATGTAAGATCAATATTATTCTTGGATGAGTATTGATAATTGGAACATCTTGTAAATACATCTATGAGTGAAGAAGTGATAAAGATGTGAATAGAAGAAGTGAAGTCTAGATTGTTATTCCAAGGAGTGTTTAAACATTTAAGTGCTTGACATCATTCTTAAATACTTGATATAAGAATCCAAAGTGTTTAAAGGTGCATCATTTCTAATTGTATTTCTTTTCTGTATTGAAATATGATGTTTGAGATTTGTAAATTTTTATTTTCGTAATTCCATTGCTAAGGGACTAGAAATGATTTAAGTTGGGGGGTGTGATAAGTCTTCATTATCATGAGTTAATAATTAGTAAATAATATAGTTTTAGCCTTAACTCATGATAAATAGACTTATATTTGTGTTAAAGCATGAAAAGTGGTTTTCAGTTGATTAACGTGAATTTTTGGGTAATTATGTGATTTTATACGATTTTTACAGTCTTAGTTTTGAGATAAATGAAGAACAAGAAATAAAAATAAAAATATTGCAAAATGGGGGGACTCGCCGGCCAGCCGGGCCCGCAAGCGGGTCGGAAGCGCAGTCAGGGAGTAGCCGCGAGCAGGGGCTCGAGCAGCTTGCTTGAATCGATAGGGGCACGTGTGCGCCACTCCCCTTCCACGTCACCGGTGGTCAGCCGGCTGTGGGGCAAGGAGTGGTCGTACACGAGAGAGGACTTTGCCTAGAAAGCTAACTTTACTATATATTTGCCCGAATAATCTGCGTACAACCGATGTGGGACTAAACCTTCAGGGGGGGCGACCGCCGCAGGTTGGAATCCTCCCAGAGTCAAAATTCATATATTTTTAACTGATTATCACGACTTTCCTGCAGATCGCCGGTGAAGGATTAAGCAACCGGAATCGCTGGATCATCGGCGAAAATCTCGTCAACGCGATTCGCGGAGCATTGCTACTAAAATTGTTGAACGATTCGCGATAAAAGGATCGCAATCCATCGAGTAAATCATCTCCGATTGATCGACGAACAAGCCATCGTCGGGAAGAGGACGATCCGCCGGGAGACGAGTCGCCACCTCCTGAGAGCATACCAGATGCGATGAAGAGCCTCCCCTTGCTGCGCGGACCTGAGGATGAAGCTCCCTAACACGCGCCCCACCTCCATCCAGCTCCTCTCTGTCGGGTGACAGCCGCCGGAGAGCCGCAAAGTCGCCGTTTTTCCGCTCCGCCGGGTGACAGCCGCCGGAGACGATTCGACGACCCACTTCATTGGTCTCTAGACTTCGCGAGAAGATCTAGAAATTGCCCACGTCGTCTTTGTCCAAGGAGAGCCTTCGAGGCCGTGGACACTGCACGACGATCCTCCCGAACGCTCAGGATTCCGGTGCATCGCCGACGCATCGCCGTCGCGACGCCGGAACTCTGTTTTCCTGCTTTATCTAGAGATTGCCCACGTCGTCTTTGTCCAAAGAGAGCCTTCGAGGCCGTGGACACTGCACGACGATCCTCCCGAACGCTCAGGATTCCGGTGCATTGGCGACGCATCGCCGTCGCGACGCCGGAACTCTGTTTTCCTGCTTTCAATTTAATTTACGCTTCATTTAGTGATACTTTGTTGATTTTTATTTACCAAACTATACTTCGTTCAATTACGATTCTTCCGGCTTTTACAGATCTTAATTTGATTAATTGAGTCGTCTGTAATCGCCTACGTAAGAATCGCCGGGCGGAACTCTGTTTCCGCCTGATTCGCGTTCGCTGGGCGCTGATGCCATCCTGACGTCCGCACCCTTATTTCCTTTTCTTTTTGTGAATTTTAAATATATTTCCTTTTTATTTCCTAGTATAAAATTCGTAAGAAAATCGTACTCATTGAGAAAAATTCTGAATAATTACCAGATATTATATTACATCCCTGTGATCGATCTGGAAAATTACCGCTATTTTTGGAATTTTTATTGAATTATAATTGATATATTTATTTAGAAATACTTCTAAATATCCGAAAATTCGTATTTTCTAGTTTTATAAATTTTATATTTGCGTGATTTAACATACAACGACTGAGTCACGTCAACGACCCTCCCGAACGCTCAGGATTCCGGTGCATCGCCGACGCGTCGCCGTCGCGACGCCGGAACTCTGTTTTCCTGCTTTATCTAGAGATTGCCCACGTCGTCTTTGTCCAAGGAGAGCCTTCGAGGCCGTGGACACTGCACGACGATCCTCCCGAACGCTCAGGATTCCGGTGCATCGCCGACGCATCACCGTCGCGACGCCGGAACTCTGTTTTCCTGCTTTCAATTTAATTTACGCTTCATTTAGTGATACTTTGTTGATTTTAATTTACTAAACTATACTTCGTTCAATTACGATTCTTCCGGCTTTTACAGATCTTAATTTGATTAATTGAGTCGTCTGTAATCACTTACGTAAGAATCGCCGGGCGGAACTCTGTTTCCGCCTGATTCGCGTTCGCCGGGCGCTGACGTCATCCTGATGTCCGCACCCTTATTTCCTTTTTTTTCGTGAATTTTAAATATATTTCCTTTTTATTTCCTAGTACAAAATTCGTAAGAAAATCGTACTCATTGAGAAAAATTCTGAATAATTACCAGATATTATATTACATCCCTGTGATCGACCTGGAAAATTACCGCTATTTTTGGAATTTTTATTGAATTATAATTGATATATTTATTTAGAAATACTTCTAAATATCTGAAAATTCGTATTTTCTAGTTTTATAAATTTTATATTTGCGTGATTTAACATACAACGACTGAGTCACGTCACTTATATATGGAAAAACTTGTCATCTTTTAGTTAAAATTGAGCACAAGGCATATTGGGCTATTAAAAAACTCAATCTTTCATTAGATGAGGTTAGAAAGAAGAGGATGCTTCAATTTCATGAGCTCCAAGAGTTAAGGAATGAAGCATTTGAGAATTCATTCATCTTTAAAGAAAGGATGGAAGCCTTCTAGGACAAGCATATCAAAAGGAAGGAATTTCATCCAAATCAAAGACTATGGTTATACAATTCTCGACTAAAACTCTTTTCAAGAATGTTAAGGTCTAGATGAGATGGCCCCTTTATGGTCCTTGAAGCTTATGAAAATAGGGCAATTAAGGTTATAAACCCTAATAGTGGTAAAGAATTCATAGTGAATGGTCAATGGTTAAAACCATATATAGAGTTTGAATCTCAACCATCTCCTACTTTAGAAGACTTTCATGATCCTTGACGTGACTCAGTCGTTGTATATTAAATCACGCAAATTTAAAATTTATAAAACTAGAAAATACGAATTTTCGGATATTTAGAAGTATTTCAAAATAAATATATCAATTATAATTCAATACAAATCCCAAAAATAGTGGTAATTTTCCAGGTCGATCACAGGGATGTAATATAATATCTGGTAATTATTCAGAATTTTTCTCAATGAGTACGATTTTCTTACGAATTTTATACTAGGAAATAAAAAGGAAATATATTTAAAATTCACAAAAAAAGAGGAAATAAGGGTGCGGACGTCAGGATGACGTCAGCGCCCGGCGAACGCGAATCAGGCGGAAACAGAGTTCCGCCCGGTGATTCTTATGTAGGCGATTACAGACGACTCAATTAATCAAATTAAGATCTGTGAAGGATTACAGACGACGCAGGAAAACAGAGTTCCGGCGTCGCGACGGCGATGCGTCGGCGATGCACCGGAATCCTGAGCGTTCGGGAGGATCGTCGTGCAGTGTCCACGGCCTCGAAGGCTCTCCTTGGACAAAGACGACGTGGGCAATCTCTAGATAAAGCAGGAAAACAGAGTTCCGGCGTTGCGACGGCGACGCGTCGGCGATGCACCGGAATCCTGAGTGTTCGGGAGGGTCGTCGTACAGTGTCCACGGCCTCGAAGGCTCTCCTTGGACAAAGATGACGTGGGCAATCTCTAGATCTTCTCGTGAAGTCTAGAGACCAATGAAGTGGGTCGTCGTATTGTCTCCGGCGGCTGTCACCCGGCGGAGCGGAAAAACGGCGACTTTGCGGCTCTCCGGCGGCTGTCACCCGACGGAGAGGGGCTGGATGGAGGTGAGGCGTGTGTTAGGGAGCTTCATCCTCAGGTCCGCGCAGCAAGAGGAGGCTCTTCATCGCATCTGGTACGCTCTCAAGAGGTGGCGACTGGTCTCCCGGCGGATCGTCCTCTTCCCGACGACGGCTTGTTCGTCGATCAATCGGAGATGATTTACTCGATGGATTGCAATCCTTTTATCGCGAATCGTTCAGAAATTTTAGTAGCAATGCTCCGCGAATCGCGTTGACGAGATTTTCGCCGATGATCTAGCGATTCCGGTTGCTTAATCCTTCACCGGCGATCTGCAGGAAAGTCGCGATAATCAGTTAAAAATATATGAATTTTGACTCTGGGAGGATTCGAACCTGCGGCGGTCGCCCGCCCCTGAAGGTTTAGTCCCACATCGGTTGTACGCGGATTATTCGGGCAAATATATAGTAAAGTTAGCTTTATAGGCAAAGTCCTCTCGCGTGTACGACCACTCCTTGCCCCACAGCTGGTTGATCACCGGTGACGTGGAAGGGGAGTGGCGCACACGTGCCCCTATCGATCCAAGCAAGCTGCTCGAGCCCCTGCTCGCGGCTACTCCCCGACTGCGCTTCCGACCCGCTTGCGGGCCCGGCTGGCCGGCGGGCCTCCCCATTTTGCAATATTTTTATTTTTATTTCTTGTTCTTCGTTTATCTCAAAACTAAGACTGTAAAAATCGTATAAAATCACATAATTACCCAAAAATTCACGTTAATCAACTGAAAACCACTTTTCATGCTTTAACACAAATATAAGTCTATTTATCATGAGTTAAGGCTAAAACTATATTATTTACTAATTATTAACTCATGATAATGAAGACTTATCACACCCCCCAACTTAAATCATTTCTAGTCCCTTAGCAATGGAATTACGAAAATAAAAATTTACAAATCTCAAACATCATATTTCAATACAGAAAAGAAATACAATTAGAAATGATGCACCTTTAAACACTTTGGATTCTTATATCAAGTATTTAAGAATGATGTCAAGCACTTAAATGTTTAAACACTCCTTGGAATAACAATCTAGACTTCACTTCTTCTATTCACATCTTTATCACTTCTTCACTCATAGATGTATTTACAAGATGTTCCAATTATCAATACTCATCCAAGAATAATATTGATCTTACATTTCCCTTTTTCTATGACTTGATTTTTGAAGTTTGCACTATATTTCTTCCTTCTTTTTTTTTTATTTTTTTTATAAATAGTGGATAAGTAGCTTTTCCTGTAGACAAATTTCGACAATAAGAATGATGTCTCACACCCTCCATGTGTACTCTTCATTTTCAGGGCTTTCACTTTATCCACTTATTTTTCAGCAAGTGTTTTTCTATGCACGATTTTCGACAATGAGAATGATGTCTCACACCCTCCATGTGTACTTTTCGTTTCTAGATTTTTCACATTGCTCTCTCTTTTTTTTTTTTTTTTTTTTTTTTTTCGAAATAAGTGATTTCTCCTCACAAGTCCTATAGATCAGGGTGCAAAAATCTCCATTAAACTCAAATGATCAATCAAATTTTCACATCAAGAAAATACTATCCATCAAGATCATGAAGTGAAAATCTGCAAAATCAAATCCATGTTATCTATCATGTATCCAAGGAGTATTCCAACATTTTATGCTACTAGATCATTCTTTTGACTCAATAATAATCTTCCTAGTATCTTTTGGTATCAATCAATCTAATTGATTTAATTTTTCATGCATGTAATATGATGTAAGGAATTTGTAAATTAGATAGTTCTGACAATTCCATTTTCTATTTTCAGTTCTATTTTTAGCAGCAATAAATTTGTCAAAAATAAATCAAAACTATCTTCTTTATAGCTGTAATTTCGAATTTCAGTAATATATATCTAGGGGATTGAAATGTGAGAAAAGGGTCTTCTAGAATTTCAAATTTCGGGCTGTTTTTTGTCTGCTGTTTTTGACAGTCTGTTGTTTCTGACAGAAAACCAGAAAATAGATGTTGCAATTTTTCCGAATTTTATTTTATTTTTATTTTTTTAGTTGCTGTTCTAAGTTGAATAAAATGCAAACACATGTTCTTAATCGTCCTACAGCATAAATTAATAATGAATACTTCACCCCCCAACTTAAAAATGACATTGTCCTCAATGACACAGAAAACTCGAAACAGAATATGCAGAAAATATAATTTTCAAGTGAAGCATGCATATCTGCAAAGTTAAGTATTAAAAATATTTTCATAAATGATGAAGCTCAGAAAGACATCACCTCAACCTCGTTTTTACTTTTCCACTTCATCTTACACTCCTCCTCCTGCACTTTTTCGAAAGAAAAACAAACACAGAAACAAGTACTGCGAAATTCTAAGAAAAACAGAGATCAAACAAAATGAAATAAAAACCATGGGTTGCCTCCCATGCAGCGCTGAATTTAATGTCTCCAGCTGGACTCCTTGATCTTACTCTTGAATTTCTTTTAATAATAAAATTTCTTTTTCTGCAAGGCGTTCATGTTCTATGTAATGTTTAAGCCGCTGTCCATTTACCTTAAAGTTATGATCACTTTTAGGATCTTTAATCATTACAGCCCCATGATCAAATGTCTCTTCCACCACATAAGGCCCTTTCCATTTTGATTTTAATTTTCCTGGGAATAATTTCAGCCTAGAATCATATAACCACACTTTTTGTCCAACATCAAATTTTTTTCTGCTAATGTATTTATCATGAAAAGTTTTAGTTTTTTCTTTATATATTCTATGATTTTCATAAGCTTCATTCCTCAACTCCTCTAGTTCATGTAACTGAAAAATTCTATGCCCACCAGCTGATTTTTCATCCATACATAAATTTTTTATAGCCCATAATGCTTTATGCTTTATTTCCACAGGAAGATGACATGGCTTTCCAAAAATGAGACGAAATGGGGACATACCTATGGGATTTTTATAAGCTGTTCTATAAGCCCATAATGCATCTTGTAATTTCGTGGGCCAATCTTTCCTATCTGGTCTAACTATTTTTCTCAAAATTCTCTGAATTTCCCTATTTGCTACTTCAGCTTGCCCATTTGTTTGGGGATGATATGGAGTGGCTACTCTATGGTGTACTCCATTCTTTTTCAACAGTTCTCTGAAATTTTTATTTGTAAAATGTGTTCCTCCATCACTAATAATCACTCTAGGACATCCAAATCTCGAAAAAATATTTTCCTGCACAAATTTCATCACGATTTTATGATCATTAGTTCTAGTAGGAATAGCTTCCACCCACTTCGACACATAATCAACAGCAAGCAAAATATATTCATATTTTTCAGCTGATGGGAAGGGACCCATGAAATCTATTCCCCATACATCAAAAATTTCGACTACTAACATATTACTCATGGGCATTTCATCTTTTTTACTCATGTTACTTATAGATTGGCATGAAATACATGTTCTACTAAATTCTATAGAATCTCTAATGATTGTAGGCCAATAAAAACCACACTGGAAAATTTTTGCAGCTGTTTTTCGTCCAGAGAAATGTCCTCCACAGTTAGATGAATGACACATGTTAATAATGCTATGATATTCTTCTTCAGGAACACATCTCCTTAAAATTTGATCATTGCCCAAGTAATATAAATCAGGATCATGCCAAAAATAATTTCTAATCTTAGAAAAGAAATAATTTTTTCTGTTCTTATCCCACTGTTCTGGAGTTTTTCCAGAAACCAGAAAATTAACAATATGTGCATACCATGGTGATGGTTGATGTTGAGCTGCCATCAATTGTTCATCTGGAAATGCGTCTTGTAAAGGTGCTGCATTTATTCCTGTATCACTTAATCTAGAAAGATGGTCAGCAACAACATTCTCGAAACCCTTTTTATCTTTTATTTCTAAGTCAAATTCTTGCAACAATAAAATCCATCTTAATAAACGTGGCTTTGCATCTTTCTTATTTAACAGATATTTTAATGCTGCATGATCAGTATAAATAATAATTTTAGCTCCCAAAATATATGATCTAAACCTTTCTAACGAAAATACTACAGCTAACAATTCTTTTTCAGTCGTGGTATAATTTAATTGAGCATCAGATATAGTTTTACTAGCATATGAAATTACTATGGGTTTTGACTCTTTTGTTTGTCCTAGAACATCCCCCACTGCATAATTCGATGCGTCACACATTATTTCAAAGGGAAGGGACCAATCAGGAGCTTGTAAAATGGGTGCCTCAGTAAGTAATCTTTTTATTTCGGAAAAAGACTCAAAACATTTCTCATCAAAATTAAAAGGCACATCTTTAGATAATAGCATGGTGAGAGGTTTAGAAATTTTCGAAAAATCTTGAATAAATTTTCTGTAATAACCTGCATGACCCAAGAAAGATCTAATCTGTTTTACTGAATTCGGGGGTTTCATTTTAGATATAATATCGATTTTTGCTCTATCCACCTCTAAACCCTTTTCACTCACAATATGACCCAACACAACTCCCTCTTTAACCATAAAATGTGATTTCTCCCAACTCAAAACTAATTTTTTCTCTATGCATTTCTCAAGTACATGCTGTAAATGATTTAAGCATTCATCAAATGATTCACCAAAAACAGAAAAATCGTCCATAAAAATTTCCATGCATTTTCCAATCATATCAGAAAAAATAGACAGCATACATCTTTGAAATGTGGCTGGAGCATTACACAGACCAAAAGGCATGCGTTTAAAAGCAAAAGTACCAAATGGACAAGTGAAAGTTGTTTTTTCTTGATCTAAAGGGTTTATATAAATTTGATTATAACCAGAGTATCCATCCAGAAAACAAAAAAAGTTTTTTCCAGCTAATTTTTCTAAAATTTGATCAGTAAATGGTAGGGGAAAATGATCTTTTCTAGTAACTGAATTTAATTTTCTATAATCAATGCAAACTCTCCAACCGGTAGTTAGTCTTGTTTGTATTTCCTCCCCATTTTCGTTTTTTATAACCGTGATCCCTGATTTTTTTGGCACTACTTGTGTAGGACTAACCCATTTGCTATCTGAAATAGGGTAAATAATATCAGCAGCCAGCCACTTTAAAATTTCTTTTTTTACAATTTCCATCATGTTAGGATTTAATCTTCGTTGTGGTTCCCTGCTAGTTCTAGCCCCCTCCTCTAAATATATACTATGCATGCATACTCTCATATCAATGCCCCTTAGATCGTCCATTTTCCAGCCCATAGCCTTCTTATTTTTTCGAAGTACATCTAATAATTCTTCTTCCTGTTCATTACTCAAATCAGCTGCAATAATAACAGGAAATGAATTATTTTCCTCCAAAAACATATATTTTAAACTAGAGGGGAGAGGTTTCAACTCTAAATTCAGATGATCTTCCTCTTTCTTTTCTTCTAAATTTATATTCTCTATTTCCTCTAATTCTTCCAGCACACAGTCATCAATAACATCTGGATCATCAAAATCATCTAGAAGATCTATGGTATGACAATCATATACTTGGGATTTCTTAAGATCATTTGATACCTCAAAAATTTTAATTTCTACTGATTGATCTCCACATGAAATTTTCGCAATACCTGTGGGAAAATCAATATTCATCTTTGCTGTATGCAAAAATGGTCTCCCTAGGATGATTGGTGTATCATAAAACTGTCCATTAAAATCCATTTCCAGCACTACAAAATCAGCTGGAAATTTACACCCTTTAACTGTCACTATCACATTTTCTAAGATACCTTTAGGATGTTTTATGGATCTATCAGCAAATTGTAAGGTAACAGTAGAAGGTTTAAGATCAGAAATATTAAATTTATCACAAATACTTGCAGGTAATAAATTAATACTAGCACCGGTGTCAAGTAATGCATTCTGAAAAATGAATCCACCAATATCACACGAAATTAAAGGAGCACCTGTATCTCTCAATTTAAATGGTAATTGATTTAATAATAACGCACTAGCATGCATAGATAATTTTTCTACTCTAGGTGCCCTTTTTGGTGTACACATTTCTTTCAAAACTCTAGCATATTCAGGAATATGTTCAATGGCAGTGAGTAAAGGAAGACTAATTTGCACATCTTGTAAAATTTTCTTTATTTCTTCATTGTGTTCCTTTTTCTTTCTTTGTCTAGGCTCTAGAGCTTTAGGAAATGGAATGGTTGTCCTCTCTTTCGAAATTTCTTTGGTAGAATCTATAAAATCCTCTTCTACTCCTATTTGATTTTGTTTTGGGTTGTCCACATTTTCTTTTTCTTCTAATGTTTGGGGATAAGGATCAGGTAAGATCTTACCACTCCTTAATGCATTCACTGTCCTAACATTTTCATTTCGTGGGTTTTTTCCTAGATTCATGCTACTAGACTCCCCATGCTGAAATCCTATTGTTGGGCGGTTCCCTGGATTTTCTATGGGCTGACTAGGTAGCTGTCCCTCTTCTCTCTTATTCCCAAGGGCCTCTATAATTTGTTTCTGGTGCTGCATCATTTGATTCATAGTTTGTTGCATCATTTGATTCATAGTTTGTTGCATCATTTGGCTCATTTGCTGCATCATTTCCATAGCATCAGGTTGGGTTTGAGAGGGCTGATTTTTCTGAAATCTATTTTCTTGTTTTGGACGAAATTCAGAGTTTGAATTGGGTCTAAGTGCTTCTGGATTTTGAATATTATTTGGATCTCTCCATGAAAAATTATTCCTCCAATTAGGATTATAAGAATTTGAAAAATTTTCCCTATTTCTATTAAAACCGTGAGCTACTTGCACTTGTTCTCGCATAGGGTGAAATGATTGATCTAAATTATAACATTGAAGTTCAGAATAATCATTTTCACCATACATAGGACATGTACTATTCGAATTAAGTTGAGGGTTAAAAGGCTTTCTAATATTGTCAATAAGTAAATCAATTTTTTCTAATCTTTGATTAATCTGATTAACCTCATTTCTAAGTTTAGAATCATCATCATGATGCAATTCATAAATTTCTCTCTTCATTTCCTTGTCATATAATTCAAAAGAGGCTTGATCTCTAGAATTTTCACTTAAATTCTCATAAAGACTGTAAATCTCATCAGGAGTTTTCTCCATAAAAGCTCCTCCACATATAGAATCAACCATATTTCTATGTTGTTCTAATAATCCATCATAAAAAATTCTATTGAGTTGCCACTTGGGTATAGCATGATGAGGACACTTTCTAAGTAAATCCTTGAATTTTTCCCATGTCTCATGCAAAGTTTCTCCTGGTCTTTGAGAAAAACTCCATATATGTTTTCTCATATTTTGAGTTTTTCCTAAGGGATAAAATTTTCAAAGAAAGGCCTGTTCTATATCTTTCCAGCTAGTTAATTCTCTATCCAATGTGGATAGCCAATGACTAGCTTTGTCCCTAAGTGTATGAGGGAATAATTTCATCTTAATAATTTCCGGTGTAACTTGAGGGAGATTAACTAAATCACAGACCATATGAAATTTTTCTAAGTGCTGATGAGGTTCCTCTAAAGGCAATCCATGAAAATTAGGGAGCATTTGAAAAATTCCTGAATTTATTTCGAATTTAACAGTGGGTGCTAATGGGACTCTAATATTGGATGCTCTTTGAAATGAATCAGGGATATAATGATTTTTCATGGCCATAGGATTGTTCTCAGTTTGACCTGTACTTCCTTCAAGATCCATCAAAATTAATTTTTCTTTCGGATTTTTCTTTTTGAATGAAATAATGAAAGGATTTTCTAGCCTTGGATGCAAGGATCTTCTACCATGCATAAAAATCAATAAATTCGAGGGAAAAAGTTAGTAACTGTTACCCTCCTTCAGGATGCTCCAGTCCTTGCCGTGCTTCTTTTCGTTCCCTTTTTCTAATAAAAATCAGCAAAAAGAAAATAAAACAAGAGTAAAGTTTTTTTTTTTTTTTTTTTTTTTTGTGTACTCTAAGAGAAAAACAGAAAAATACTAAATATTATTCAATACATCCCCGGCAACGGCGCCAAAATTTGACGTGACTCAGTCGTTGTATATTAAATCACGCAAATTTAAAATTTATAAAACTAGAAAATACGAATTTTTGGATATTTAGAAGTATTTCAAAATAAATATATCAATTATAATTCAATACAAATCCCAAAAATAGTGGTAATTTTCCAGGTCGATCACAGGGATGTAATATAATATCTGGTAATTATTCAGAATTTTTCTCAATGAGTACGATTTTCTTACGAATTTTATACTAGGAAATAAAAAGGAAATATATTTAAAATTCACAAAAAAAAAGAGGAAATAAGGGTGCGGACGTCAGGATGACGTCAGCGCCCGGCGAATGCGAATCAGGCGGAAACAGAGTTCCGCCCGGCGATTCTTACGTAAGCGATTACAGACGACTCAATTAATCAAATTAAGATCTGTAAAAGCCGGAAGAATCGTAGTTGAATGAAGTATAGTTTGGTAAATAAAAATCAACAAAGTATCACTAAATGAAGCGTAAATTAAATTGAAAGCAGGAAAACAGAGTTCCGGCGTCGCGACGGCGACGCGTCGGCGATGCACCGGAATCCTGAGCGTTCGGGAGGGTCGTCGTGCAGTGTCCACGGCCTCGAAGGCTCTCCTTGGACAAAGACGACGTGGGCAATCTCTAGATAAAGCAGGAAAACAGAGTTCCCGTGTCGCGACGGCGACGCGTCGGCGATGCACCGGAATCCTGAGCGTTCGGGAGGGTCGTCGTGCAGTGTCCACGGCCTCGAAGGCTCTCCTTGGACAAAGACGACGTGAGCAATCTCTAGATCTTCTCGTGAAGTCTAGAGACCAATGAAGTGGGTCGTCGAATCGTCTCCGGCGGCTGTCACCCGGCGGAGCGGAAAAACGGCGACTTTGCGGCTCTTCGGCGGCTGTCACCTGACGGAGAGGAGCTGGATGGAGGTGAGGCGCATGTTAGGGAGCTTCATCCTCAGGTCCGCGCAGCAAGAGGAGGCTCTTCATCGCATCTGGTACGCTCTCAGGAGGTGGCGACTGGTCTCCCGGCGGATCGTCCTCTTCCCGACGACGGCTTGTTCGTCGATCAATCGGAGATGATTTACTCGATGGATTGCGGTCCTTTTATCGCGAATCGTTCAGAAATTTTAGTAGCAATGCTCCGCGAATCGCGTTGACGAGATTTTCGCCGATGATCCAGCGATTCCGGTTGCTTAATCCTTCACCGGCGATCTGCAGGAAAGTCGCGATAATCAGTTAAAAATATATGAATTTTGACTCTGGGAGGATTCGAACCCGCGGCGGTCGCCCGCCCCTGAACAAGGTGTGACGCGGGTTTAGTCCCACATCGGTTGTGCGCGGATTATTCGGGCGAATATATAGTAAAGTTAGTTTTGTAGGCAAAATCCTCTCGCGTGTACGACCACTCCTTGCCCCACAGCCGGCTGACCACCGGTGACGTGGAAGGGGAGTGGCGCACACGTGCCCCCTATCGATCCAAGCAAGGTGCTCGAGCCCCTGCTCGCGGCTAATCCCCGACTGCGCTTCCGACCCGCTTGCGGGCCCGGCTGGCCGGCGGGTCTCCCTATTTTGCAATATTTTTATTTTTATTTCTTGTTCTTCGTTTATCTCAAAACTAAGACTGTAAAAATCGTATAAAATCACATAATTACCCAAAAATTCACGTTAATCAACTGAAAACCACTTTTCATGCTTTAACACAAATATAAGTCTATTTATCATGAGTTAAGGCTAAAACTATATTATTTACTAATTATTAACTCATGATAATGAAGACTTATCAATCCTCCTAATGACCACTTTTAGATCATACTTTGAGCACTAGAACCATTTAGTTAATAGCTTCTTGTTTACTTCATTTACTTTGTTTTGCTTTGTTGTTTTTATTATCTTATTTTCCTAAAAGGCTACTTAATAGCTCTAAGATCTAATAATTATTTTGAGGCTGTAAAGCTCACGTTAGCATGTGAAGGACTTCAAGATAGGGCTTCTTAATCAAGACATTATCGAAGAGGATCAAATACACATTTGATTCAAAACCTACAACTCAACATTTGACTAAGATGAGAGCAAACCTAATAAGGGGTTCACTAAATCCTTCTTTTTTTATCTTTTCATCTTGTCTAATATTAGATATTATTATAAATTGAGCAGATTTTTCAAGATACAATGCTGATCAAGTCAACCTCTTTGAGGCATAAAGAGGGCAAAGTCAACAACAAGGGAGTTTAATTATCCATTGTTTATCCTCTGACTCTTTTTATTTTTTCTTGTATGAGGGACCATACATGCTTAAGTAGGGGGGAGGATTGTTTATTGAATTTTTTAAAAAACATTTACGATCATTTCATTAATAATGATGTCTTGCTTTGAAAAGAAATCTTTTAAGAACCCCACCTTAGATCATTTGTTCACATTAGGACAAGGAAGTTAGATTTAGGAGTTAGACTCTTTGAGTGGATCATGCTCACACTTGAATGGGATGTATATCAAACAATGGTTTAGACAAACCAAGAAAAAACTTGAATAGTTAGTTACATAGGTGGTAGGGAACATAGTGGAGGGAGAAAGAATTGAAAAATCAGAAGGTAGAAGTACTATCATCTCGTGTGGAGACTTAGCCCTTTAAAGACATTATTCTCCTTCATTTAGCCAAGATCTTGCCTAGATGTCCTAGAGTTCATAAGTCACTAAGTTTCATCTCATTGAGGTACTAAGTAAGGAGATCACCAAGTTCTGTCCATAGAACTATTTGTTCTTCTTTTTCTTGTTTTATTTTCATCTATTCATCCATCCACACTATGAGCCTTAATCTCCTTCAGTCAACTATTATCCTCACATCCATCTTGACACTTTATGTAATTCACTATCTTTTCTTGTTTTCTTCATATCTTCCCATGACATGTATTTGTTTGCATCATCTCCATAATTAGGGTTTCTCATGTTCTTCTCGTCTATTGATCCAAATGTATTGTATATTCCATGCTTTTGTTTTTAAGCTGTTTGAAAAAAAAGAGAAAAAAGAGAAAAAAGAGAAAAAAGAGAAAAAAAAATTAAAAATTAATATATATATATAAAGAGAGTAAAAAATAAAATCAAGGAGGCAATGTTATTTGGGACCTTTTTGTCCTATTTTCTTCCTCTTCTCTACTTAGTAGATATGGAGATGCATGCACTCCTCATTTCACAGCTAGTACTTAATATCTACATTGGGTATCTAATATGAGTTCATCCATTATGAGCATCATTTTTACTTTTATCTTTATTCATCTCTACCAAGTTATGTCAACCCACCATTATTCAATTCATCATCACATAGCTCTAGACCTAATTCACTACCCATATCTTTTATCCATGGCCTTCAACCACCATCAATACTGTCTTTCACTTTCTCTTCATTGTCATACATCTTTTCACATTCTTCTGAATTTTATGCCCATGAGTAGGAGGAGGTGCTCTTCTTGTAATAGGCCAAGAGGTGAGCATGAACTTAGTGTGAACTATTAAGTATCTAGGTAGCCACCAAAAAGAAAGAGAGTGCATGATTCTCTCATTGAGAGCCTATGTTACAACACGTATTTGAAGGGTTAAGGTGATAGTATGATACCTAGAGGAAAGTAAGTTCACATCAACCTTGATTAGTCACTCCTTTATCCTCTATGTACTCAATCAAGTGGATAGTGTCTAGATTAAAGGGTGTGCATGATGCTTTAAACGCTTCACTTCCATACTATATTAACGTAGGTGAATGAATGATCTAAGATTGGACATAAAGAGACTAGCAATAATCTAAGTGGGTATGATGATATGCTAAAACTACTCTTTAATTACCTTAAAGTGAATATATTTTAAGATCAAATGTTTTATTTTAGTATGTTATTATTTATAAAATAGCTAAATAATAACTTTATAATGATTCTAAGAATTTTTCCTAATTTAAAAATATTCTCAGATTGTTTATGACTTTGTTTTGAATTTATTTTGATATATTTAAGTCATGAAGATATTTAAGTGTTTAGGGAAATAGATATATTTTATTTCACACATTCTAGGGGCTTTTCTGTAATTTTCTGTAGTGAACGACATGTGTCAGCTACTAGAGTTTTATTTGACATGCCATCATATGTAATGTGGCGGCACCATGATTACTTAATTCATGAATATTTTATTTAAGCTGCAATTATGTGGAATGCAAGAACTTGAGGTATCACACATGGAAGGTGAGAAGATGTTGACCTCTAGTCAAGATTGTGCCTCTTATTTCTGTGGTTAAGGACATCTTGTCACTAAAAGTGACAGTTAAGAACATCTCATCACTAAAAGTGGTAATTAATAACGTCTTGTCACCAAAAGCAGTGGTTAAGCACATCTTCTCACCAAAAGAGATGATTATGTCTTTCCACCAAAAGTAGTGGTTAAGCATGTCTTGTCACAAAAAGTGGCCGTTAAGCATGTCTCCCACCAAAAGTGGCAGCTAAGCATGTTCTCCCACGAAAAGTAGTAGTTAAGCACAATCTCCCACCAAAAGTGGCAATTAAGTATGTCTCATCACCGAAAAGTGATAGTTAAGCACGTTCTCCCACCAAAAATAGTAGTTAAGCACATTCTCCCACCAAAACTAGTGGTTAAACACATCTCATCACCAAAAAGTGGTGGTTAAATACATCTTGTCACCATAAGCAGTAGTTAAAGACATCTCTTTTCAATTGTCACCTTTCAGTAGTTCTTTTGAGGCGTGATCTTCAAGACATCCTCTTTACATCCCCACATTCGGATCAAATCAGCTTCAAGAAGATGTAAAAATGAAGGAGAGGAGCTAAAGGTATTTTGAGAAAGGGCTAAGGGTATTTTGAGAAATTTTACTACTTATATGTATCCCTTTCACCCTCTTTCTTTCTCATCTTTTTGGAAGGAGCTCCAACAATGGTTGGCCGAAGTGAAATAATTTCTATTCTAAAGATTCATTCTTCTTCCCCTTTTGTATATTCTTGAGTGATCAAGAGAAGCCTTAAGGGAAAAGTTGAGTGTTGGAGATTGAGTTGTAAGAAGTAAAGTGCTGGAGATCAACCTGTTGGAGTAAACTATCTGACCTTGGTGATAGATAAAGGCCTAGGTTGAGCAATCTTCTACTCATATTGAGTTGAGCAACCCCTAGGTCAACCCTAATCTAGGGTTTTCTTCATCACATCTCATTTCACTCATATTTCTCATCTCCTACTCATCTCTCATCTCTCTTTCTCCTGTCCATTTTCTAACCTATTTCTTCTCATTACTTAGGATTTCTTAAGATTATTAATTTTTCTCTTTGTGGTTCAACCCCTATCTTACCCTCTCTACTTATTAGATTGATTAGTAGTGGAAATATATATAGTTTTAGATAACCTCACTTAGGACCTATGACATCCCAAGTCTTGAGTTATCACCACATAATTAAATTTGAGGAAAAATTAGGCTGTTAAGGAGGAGATACAAATATTAACATTATCCCCAACCACGACATAGGGAAGCATAGTAGGATCTAGAGTAGAAGTAGGAAAACAAATTAACAACTTGGAAGCCAAAGGTGATAACTCTACAAGGGCGCCAAGAAGAAAAAAGGATAAAAGAAACCCAAAAGGATACAATAGTAGAGAGGGAAAAAAAGAAATTGAAGGGTGATAAGTCTTCATTATCATGAGTTAATAATTAGTAAATAATATAGTTTTAGCCTTAACTCATGATAAATAGACTTATATTTGTGTTAAAGCATGAAAAGTGGTTTTCAGTTGATTAACGTGAATTTTTGGGTAATTATGTGATTTTATACGATTTTTACAGTCTTAGTTTTGAGATAAATGAAGAACAAGAAATAAAAATAAAAATATTGCAAAATGGAGGGATCCGCCGGCCAGCCGGGCCCGCAAGCGGGTCGGAAGCGCAGTCGGGGAGTAGCCGCGAGCAGGGGCTCGAGCGGCTTGCTTAGATCGATAGGGGCACGTGTGCGCCACTCCCCTTCCACGTCACCGGTGTCAGCCGGCTGTGGGGCAAGGAGTGGTCGTACACGCGAGAGGACTTTGCCTAGAAAGCTAACTTTACTATATATTCGCCGGAATAATCCGCGCACAACCGATGTGGGACTAAATCCACCTTGTTCAGCGGCGGGCGACCGCCGCGGATTCGAATCCTCCCAGAGTCAAAATTCATATATTTTTAACTGATTATCGCGACTTTCCTGCAGATCGCCGGTGAAGGATTAAGCAACCGGAATCGCTGGATCATCGGCAAAAATCTCGTCAACGCGATTCGTGGAGCATTGCTACTAAAATTTCTGAACGATTCGCGATAAAAGGATCGCAATCCATCGAGTAAATCATCTCCAATTGATCGGCGAACAAGCCGTCGTCGGGAAGAGGACGATCCGCCGGGAGACCAGTCGCCACTTCCTGAGAGCGTACCAGATGCGATGAAGAGCCTCCTCTTGCTGTGCGGACCTGAGGATGAAGCTCCCTAACACGCGCCTCACCTCCATCCAGCCCCTCTCCATCGGGTGACAGCCGTCGGAGAGCCGCAAAGTCGCCGTTTTTCCGCTCCGCCGGGTGACAGCCGCCGGAGACGATTCGACGACCCACTTCATTGGTCTCTAGACTTCGCGAGAAGATCTAGAGATTGCCCACGTCGTCTTTGTCCAAGGAGAGCCTTCGAGGCCGTGGACACTGCACGACGACCCTCCCGAATGCTCAGGATTCCGGTGCATCGCCGACGCGTCGCCGTCGCGATGCCGGAACTCTGTTTTCCTGCTTTATCTAGAGATTGCCCACATCGTCTTTGTCCAAGGAGAGCCTTCGAGGCCGTGGACACTGCACGATGACCCTCCCAAACGCTCAGGATTCCGGTGCATCGCCGACGCGTCGCTGTCGCGACGCCGGAACTCTGTTTTCCTGCTTTATCTAGAGATTGCCCACGTCGTCTTTGTCCAAGGAGAGCCTTCGAGGCCGTGGACACTGCACGACGACCCTCCCGAACGCTCAGGATTCCGGTGCATCGCCGACGCATCGCCGTCGTGACGCCGGAACTCTGTTTTCCTGCTTTCAATTTAATTTACGCATCATTTAGTGATACTTTGTTGATTTTTATTTACCAAACTATACTTCGTTCAATTACGATTCTTCCGGCTTTTACAGATCTTAATTTGATTAATTGAGTCGTCTGTAATCGCCTACGTAAGAATCGCCGGGCGGAACTCTGTTTCCGCCTGATTCGCGTTCGCCGGGAGCTGACGTCATCCTGACGTCCGCACCCTTATTTCCTCCTTTTTTTTTGTGAATTTTAAATATATTTCCTTTTTATTTCCTAGTATAAAATTCGTAAGAAAATCGTACCCATTGAGAAAAATTCTGAATAATTACCAGATATTATATTACATCCCTGTGATCGACCTGGAAAATTACCACTATTTTTGGGATTTTTATTGAATTATAATTGATATATTTATTTTGTAATACTTCTAAATATCCGAAAATTCGTATTTTCTAGTTTTATAAATTTTAAATTTGCGTGATTTAATATACAACGACTGAGTCACGTCAAAGGGCAACACAATAGTTATATCAAGTAGGTCAAAGACAAATGAGGTATTGGAGAGAGAAGATTCGGATAACATGATATTTTCATACTAGAGGTGAACTACTAGGGGTAGGAGAAGGTTGTATGACTAAATGATAGGAAGATTTAGTTCACATTGGATACAAATATTTAGTTTTTTGATTTAAAATTGTAGATGAATAGGTAATATCTTCACCTATAATAGAATTAGAAAGTTAATTAACTAATTTAATATATAAATATTAGTTATAATAGATCCCATAATAGAAAATGAAAGAATAGAATAGATCAAAATAGAGATATGAATGGATAAAATGTAATACACTATGCAAACATATTTGAACATTTTAGAAAGAAATAGTGGAGAAAATTTTACCCAAGACCATGAACAATTCACCTCCTTAAATTTGAAAATCAATAGAATAGATGACAAATTTATGATTGTGTATACCTCATATGAAGTAGAAGAAAAGAGAGCTTTGGGAGATCCTTATGGAATACTCCTAAAGTTTCGAGTTACCATGGGTGGTAGGAGGGGACAGGAACATAATAAGGAACCTTTCAGAGAAAGTGGGAGGGGCCACCCCAAGTATACTATTAATTAATAAATTCAATTAATTTAATGAATTCATACAAAATACAAACTTATGGAATCAAAACATGAGGGGAACATAATGCTTGGTGTAATGGAGCCAAGAGGTGCAGCAAAATATACCAAAGATTGTACAGATGCCTAGTAAATGTCATTTCCTATCATCATACCCATTAGTAGTAATTTACCTCTCATTGCTCTTAAGTCGTTCTTATTAAGATCATTAATTTTAAATTTATAAATTGATTTTTGTAGGAATAGTTTCTTCATAAATTAGTAGAAAACCAAGTCAAACATAAGGAAAATTTTGAATTAGTTAATGTATATTAATTAATATTTATATTTTGATATGTTTACTCTTTAAAATTCAATAGCAATGAACACATAAATTATGAAGAGGAAAAAATTCATAATTAGGTTAATACATGATGGTTGGCAAAGATGATTCTTGATAAGTCTTCATTATCATGAATTAATAATTAATAAATAATATATTTTTATCTTTAACTCATGATGAATAGACATATTTATATTAAATTATAAAAAAAAGTTTTTAGTTGATTAATGTGAATTTTTGGCTAATTATGTGATTTTATATGAATTTATATGAATTTTTTTTTTGAGATAAATGAAAAAAAAGAAAAAAAAAAGGGGAGACCCACTAGCCAACTAGGCCCACAAGTAGGTCGGAAGCGTAGTCGTGGGGAGCTGCGAGTAGGGGCTCAAGCAACTATGAACTGATGGGAGCACATGTGCGCCACTCCTTTTCCTTGTCACTAGTGGCCAAGTGACTGTGGGACAAATAGTGGTCATACACATAGGAGAAAGGGACTCATTACTTAAAAATGTGATATTACTATATATTCACCCAAAACTTTAAGGTATGACCAATGTGAAACTAAACCTACATCATAGCTTTCTCAAAATAGTTATATTTATTTTAATACCTAAAATATTCCTTAGAGATATACCATGATGATGTCACTTTATAAGGGTATTAAAGTACTTATTTCAAATTCTATCCTATAGGCAGATGACTGGTGTAAGTTTGAATCTTATTAAAACTAAAAAGTTGTATTTTTATATAATTAAATCATGACTTTCCTATAGATTGTTGGTGAAGGATTAAGTCACCAAAATCACTTGATCATTGACGAAAATCTAGCTGATGCAATTCACAGAGTATTATTACTAAAATTACTAAATGATTCGTAGTAAAAGGATCATAAATTCATCGAGTAAAAGATCTCCAATTAATCGACGAACAAGCTGTCGTCGAGAAGATGATGATCTACTAAGAGATGAGTCATCACTTTTTGAGAGCATACCAAATACGATGAAGAGTCTCCTCTTATTATGTGGACTTGAGGATGAAACTCTTTAACACACGCCCCACCTCTATTCACCTCCTCTCTTTCGAGTGACAATCGTCGAAGAACTACAAAGTCACCATTTTTCTACTCCACTAGGTTGCAGCCACTAGAGATAATCTGATGACTTATTTCATTGCTCTCTGGACTTTGTAAGAAGATCTAAAGATTGCCCATATTATCCTTATCTAAAGAGAACCTTTGAGGCCATAGACATTACATAACAATCTTCTCAAACGCTTAGAATTCTAATGCATCACGACGTATTACCGCATAACGTCAAAACTTTATTTTTCTACTTTCAACTTAATTTTTACTTTATTTAGTGATAATTTGTGTGATTTAAATTTACTAACCTATTTTTCATTAAAATATGATTCTTTCAATTTTTACAAATCATAATTTGATCAATTAAATCATTTGTAATCACTTGTGTAAGAATCACCAAGTGGAACTATGTTTTCTACCTAATTCATGTTTGTCAAGTGGTGAGGTCATCTTGACATCTGCACCGTTATTTTTCTTTTTCGTGAATTTTAAATATATTTTAATTGTATTTCTTATCTAAAGTTCATAAACAATCGTATTCTTTGAGAAAAATTCTGAAAAATTTCTCGATATTATATTATATCCCTATTATTGAACTTAAATTTTTTCATTATTTTTAGAACTTTTTTTGAATTATAATTGATATATTTGTTCAGAAATACTTCTAAATATCCAAAAAATTATATTTTCTAATTTTATAAATTTAAAATTTATGTGATTTACTATACAACAACTAAGTCACATCAGTTAACTACTTCCTTTAATGACATTGACTATTTAAAATCGATGAGGTAAAGGGGAATAGAACTTCACGAAATTTAGATTGTATTAACTAGGATATAATAGATTTGATTACATAGAAGTCTAGAAACAAAAAGAAAATGATTTCTCCCTCTTGTTTTGACAGATGTGGGGAGAGAACAGTGGCCTCATGTAGGGGCATCTTTGATTGATCCCCTTCTTGCTGCGCTAAGGGAGAAGACCCATGATCGTTGCTGATGCTATCACCACTAGGAGGGGAAGGGATGAGCTGGCCCACCTATGGTGTGCTGCAGGTGATGCCAAGGGAGAGAGGAGGAGCAGGCCATCCCCATGGTGAGAGAGGGATGCACCAAGGGAGAAGGAGTAGGTCGTCCCATTGGAAGAGAGGAATGTGCAAAGGAATGAAGGAAAGAATGAGAAAACTGATCGTGAATGAGGGTCCCAGCTAGTGACCAGCCCTCTTTTGAACTTGTATGCCCTATTGTAGGCGTCCCCCTTATGCCCCTCTTAATCTGCAGAAATAACAAGTCAATTTTACAATTTTACCTTTTTATGTTCACTAATTATTTAATAGTCCATATTGAAACTAAGACTATATGTATGCTCATTGACGTGACTTAGTCGTTGTATAGTAAATCACGTAAATTTAAAATTTATAAAATTAAAAAATATAATTTTTTGAATATTTAGAAGTATTTTTGAACAAATATATCAATTATAATTCAATAAAACTTCCAAAAATAGTGGTAATTTTCTTGGTCGATCATAGGGATGTATCTAATATCAGGTAATTATTCAGAATTTTCCTCAAAGAATATAATATTCTATGAATTTTATACTAAAAAATAAAAAGGAAATATATATAAAATTTATAAAAAAGGGAAATAAAGGTGCAAATGTCATGATGACATCAGCACTCAGCGAATGCAAATTAGGTGAAAAATGAGTTTTGCCTTGTGATTCTTACATAAGCAATTAAAAATAATTTAATTGATCAAATTAAGATCTATAAAAGCGAGAAGAATCATAATTGAATGAAGTATATGTTGGTAAATTTAAATCACTTGGAGATACTTTACTTGATAGATTTGCAATCTTTTTATCATGAATCGTTCAGTAATTTTAGTAATAATGCTCTGCAAATCATGTTGACGAGATTTTCGCCGATGATCTAGTGATTCTGGTTGCTTAATCCTTCACTAGCGATCTATAGGAAAGTCGCGATAATCAGATAAAAAATATGAATTTTGGTTCTAGAAGGATTCAAACCTGCACTGGTTGTCCACCCTTTCTAGGGAAGGTGACATAGGTTTAGTCCCACATTACTTGTATGTTGAATTTTCGGGTGAATATATAGTAATATTACATTTGAAAGCAAGTCCCTTTCTCGCGTGTATACGACTACTCCTTGCTCCATAGATGGGTGGCCACTAGTGACATGGAAGGGGAGTGGTGCACATGTGCCCCTATCAATCTAAGCCACTCAAACCCCTACTCGCGGCTACTCCCCAATTGTGCTTCCAACCTACTTTCAGGCCCGGTTGGCTGATGAGTCCCCCTCATTTTGTTTTATTTTTATTTTGATTTCTTTTTCTTCATTTATCTCAAGAGTAAGACTATAAAAATCATATAAATGTGTATAAAATCACATAGTTACCCAAAAATTTACGTTAATCAATTGAAAACCACTTTTCACACTTTAACACAAATATAAGTCTATTTATCATAAGTTAAGGCTAAAATTGTATTATTTACTAATTATTAACTCATGATAATGAAGACTTATCACTCATACTCATGCATCATGATTATTTATTAATCCTCTTTCCTACAATAACTTTTAATCATATGTTTCTCCTCTCATTTATCTTGATGCTCTCATCCTAGTAGAAAATAGAAAAATGATTTAATTTATTAACCATCATATGAGAATACATAAGTAGAGTATTAAATGTGTACTTATCATATTCCTATATACTTAGGCTTCAAGTCATAATCTTCTCACCCCTTTAGTATGATGATTACTCAAGTTATCACAACCCCTCACATAAATATTGCTAGTCCCTTAGCAATATATTAGGATTGTGCTATATATCAATAAACATTCTTAAGGTTAACTCCTTCAAGTACTATCTCCTCGAGTATTGATAATTCCGCAAATGTCAAGTCTTTAGAATCAAGAATCAAAAAGATTTTCAGATCCATATTCGAATCCTTGTTTTAGGCATATATTCATCACTTTCTTTTCCTTGCACATCCTTTCTTTGTCTATTAATGAAACTTGTTTACTCTTTAATCTTGATTTAGCTTCATGCTCTTCTTCAATTGACAAGAAACAAAGCAATTATTGATCTAGTGTTTGCATGACTTAGTATCCATTACAGATAAGTATGCTCTATTGATAAGTCTTCATTATCATGAGTTAATAATTAGTAAATAATATAGTTTTAGCCTTAACTCATGATAATAGACTTATATTTATGTTAAAGTGTGAAAAGTGGTTTTCAGTTGATTAACATGAATTTTTGACTAATTATGTGTTTTTATACGAATTTATATGATTTTTATAGTCTTACTTTTGAGATAAATAAAGAAAAAAAAATAAAAATAAAAATATAACAAAATGGGGGGTACCTACCAGCCAGCCACGCAAGCGGGTCGGAAGTGTAGTTAGAGAAGAGCCATGAGTAGGGGCTTGAGTGGCTAAGACTGATAGGGGCATGCACATGTGTGCCACTCCCCTTCCACGTCACCGCTGGCCAGCTAACTATGGGGCAAAGAGTAATCATATACACGGGAGAAAAGGACTTACTTGTAAATGTAATATTATTACTATATATTCACCTGAAACTTTGGCACACAAGCAATGTGGGATTAAACCTACATCACACCTTCCCCAGAATTCTTTAATAATTTCAATACCTACAATACCCCTTATTTATAATAGAGATATACCATGATGACATCATTTTATAAGGGTATTAGAGTACTTATGTCAATCTCTCTCATATAAGTGGGCAACCAATGTGGCTTTGAATCCTCCTAGAACTAAAACTCATATTTTTTATTTGATTATCATGACTTTCTTGCAAATTGTTGGTGAAGGATTAAGCTGCTAGAATTGCTAGATCATCAACAAAAGTTTCGTCAATGTGATTTGTGGAGTATTGTTACTAAAATTACAAAACGATTCACGATAAAAGTATCACAAATTCATCAAGTAAAGTATCTCTGATTGATTGAGGAACAAACCATTGTTGGGAAGAGGACAATTCACTAGGAGACGAGTCGCCACCTCTTGAAAACATATCAGATGCGATAAAAAGTTTTCTCTTGCTACACAAACTTAAGGATGAAGCTTCCTAACATGCACCTCACTTCCATCCAGCTCCTCTCCATTAGGTGACAATCATCAGAGAGTCATAAAGTCACTATTTTTCTGCTCCACTCAGGTGACAACCACCAGAGACAATTCGACAACCCATTTCATTGATCTTTAAACTTTGCAAAGAGATCTAAAGATTATCCACGCTGTTCTTGTCCAAGGAGAGCCTTCGAGGCTGTGGACACTACACGATGATTTAATGACCTATTTTATTGATCTCTAGACTTCAAAAGAAGATGTAGAGATTGCCCACATTGTCTTTGTCCAAAGAAAGCTTTTGAGGCTATAGACACTACACAACAATCCTCTCAAACACTCAAGATTTTAGTAGATCACCAACACATCACCGTCGCGATGCTGGAAATCTATTTTCTTACTTTCAACTTAATTTTCACTTTATTTAGTGATAATTTGTGTGATTTAAATTTACTTAAATATACTTCATTCAATTATGATTCTTTTAACTTTTACAAATCTTAATTTAATCAATTAAATCATATGTAATCACTTATGTAAGAATCATCAGGTGAAACTTTATTTTTGCCTGATTTGCATTCACCCGGCACTGATGTCATCTTGACGTCCGCACCCTTATTTTTCTATTTCATGAATTTTAATATATTTCATTTTTATTTCTTAGTATAAAATTCAGAAAAAAAAATATTCTTTGAGGAAAATTCTGAATAATTATCCAATATTATATTACATCCCTATGATTGACCTAAAAAAATTACCATTATTTTTAGAAGTTTTATTGAATTATAATTTATATATTTTTTTCAAAAATACTTCTAAATATCTGAAAATGTGTATTTTTAAGTTTTATAAATTTTTAATTTACGTGATTTACTATAAAATAATTAAGTCACATCAAATTTTGGCATTATTTTCAGAGATGTATTACATAATATTTAGTATTTTTCTCTTAGGGTACGTAAAAAAATATTTAACTCTTATTTTATTTTCTTCTTGTCAAATTTTTTTTTTTAAAAAAGAACAAAGCGAAGTGACGTGACTTAGTCGTTGTATATTAAATCACGCAAATATAAAATTTATTAAACTAGAAAATACGAGTTTTCAGATATTTAGAAGTGTTTCTAAATAAATATATCAATTATAATTCAGTAAAACTTCCAAAAATAGCGATAATTTCCCAGGTCTATCACAGGGATGTAATATAATATTTTGTAATTATTCAGATTTTTTCTCAATGAATATGATTTTTTATAAATTTTACACTAAGAAATAAAAAGGAAATATATTTAAAATTTATGAAAAAAAAGGAAGTAACGGGTGTGGACATCAAGATGACGTCAGCACCCGGCGAATGCGAATCGAGCAGAAATAGAGTTCCGCCTGGCAATTCTTACGTAAGCGATTACAGATGATTTAATTAATCAAATTAAAAATTGTAAAAGTTGGAAGAATCGTAATTGAACGAAGTATCATTTGGTAAATTAAAATCACACAAAGTATCACTAAATGAAGCGTAAATTATATTGAAAGTAGAAAAATAAAGTTCTGGCATCGCGACGGCAATGCATCAGCAATGCACCGGAATCTTGAGCATTTGGGAGGATCGCCATGTAGTATCCACAGCCTTGAAGGCTCTCCTTGGACAAAGACGACGTGGGCAATCTCTAGATCTTCTTGCAAAGTCTAGAGATCAATGAAGTGGGTCGTTACATCGTCTCCAGTGGCTGTCACCCGGTGGAGCGGAAAAATGGTAACTTTGTAGCTCTCTGGTGGCTGTCACCCGACGGAGAGGAGCTAGATGGAGGTGGGGCGCGTGTTAGGGAGCTTCATCCTCAAGTCCGTGTAGCAAGAGAAGGCTCTTCATCGCATCTGGTACGCTCTCAAGAGGTGGTGACTCGTCTCCTGGCGGATCGTCCTCTTCTTGACGACGGCTTGTTCGTCGATCAATCGGAGATGATTTACTCGATGGATTTGCGATCCTTTTATCGCGAATCGTTCAACAATTTTAGTAGCAATGCTCCACGAATCACGTTGACGAGATTTTTGCTGATGATCCAGTGATTCTCATTGCTTAATCCTTCACCGGCGATCTACAGGAAAGTCACGATAATCAGATAAAAATATATGAATTTTGACTCTTGGAGGATTCAAACCCGCGCTGGTCGCCCACCTCTTTTGAGGAAGGTGTGACATGGGTTTAGTCCCACATCGATTGTGTGCCAACTTTTCGGGCGAATATATAGTAATGTTAGCTTTGTAAGCAAAGTCTCTTCTCTCGCGTGTACGACCACTCCTTGCCCCACAGCCGGCTGGCCACCGGTGACGTGGAAGGGGAGTGGTGTACACGTGCCCTATTGGTCCCCAAGTCAAGCCGCTCGAGCCCCTACTCGCGGCTACTCCCCGACTACGCTTCTGACCCACTTGCAGGCCCGGCTGGCCAGCGGGTCCCCCCATTTTTGTAATATTTTTATTTTTATTTCTTGTTCTTCATTTATCTCAAAAGTAAGACTGTAAAAATCTTATAAAATCACATAATTACCCAAAAATTCACGTTAATCAACTGAAAATTACAAATCATTTTTTAACACAAATATAAGTCTATTTATCATGAGTTAAGGCTAAAAATATATTATTTACTAATTATTAACTCATGATAATGAAGACTTATCTAGAAGCAAGGCAAGGACTAAAGCATACTGAAGGAGAGTAACAATTACTAAACTTTTTTCTTAAACTTATTTATTTTTTATGCATGGTAGAAGATCCTTGCATCCAAGGCTAGAAAATCCTTTCATTATTTCATTCAAAACTAAAAATTCGAAAGAAAAATTAATTTTGATAGATCCTAAAGGAAGTACAGGTCAAATTGAAAACAATCCTATGACCATGAAAAATCATTATATCCCTACTTCATTTCAAAGAGCATCTAATATTAGAGTCCTATTAGCACCCTGACGTGACTCAGTCGTTGTATATTAAATCACACAAATATAAAATTTATAAAACTAGAAAATACGAATTTTCAGATATTTAGAAGTATTTCTAAATAAATATACTAATTATAATTCAATAAAAATTCCAAAAATAGCGGTAATTTTCCAGGTCGATCATAGGGATGTAATAAAATATCTGGTAATTATTCAGAATTTTTCTCAATGAATACGATTTTCTTACGAATTTTATACTAGGAAATAAAAAGGAAATATATTTAAAATTCACAAAAAAAAAGGAAATAAGGGTGCGGGCGTCAGGATGATGTCAGTGCCCAGCAAACGCGAATCAGGTGAAAATAGAGTTCCGCCCGGCGATTCTTACGTAAACGATTACAAAGGACTCAATTAATCAAATTAAAATCTGTAAAAGCCGGAAGAATCGTAATTTAACGAAGTATAGTTTGGTAAATTAAAATCACACAAAGTATCACTAAATGAAGTGTAAATTAAATTGAAAGAAGGAAAACAAAGTTCCGGCGTCACGACGGCGATGCGTCGGCGATGCACTAGAATCCTGAGCGTTTGGGAGGATCGTGCAGTGTCTATAGCCTTGAAGGCTCTCCTTGGATAAAGACGACGTGGGCAATCTCTAGATCTTCTCGCGAAGTCTAGAGATCAATGAAGTGGGTCGTCGAATCGTCTCCGGCAGCTCTCACCCGGCAGAGCGGAAAAATAGCGACTTTGCAGCTCTCTGGCGGCTGTCACCCAATGGAGAGGAGCTGGATGGAGGTGAGGCGTGTGTTAGGGAGCTTCATCCTCAGGTCCGCACAGCAAGAGGAGGCTCTTCATCGCATTTGGTATGCTCTCAGGAGGTGGCGACTGGTCTCCCGGCGGATCATCCTCTTCCCGATGACGGCTTGTTCGTCGATCAATTGGAGATGATTTACTCGATGGATTCGCGATCCTTTTATCGCGAATCGTTCAGCAATTTTAGTAGCAATGCTCTGCGAATCGCGTTGACGAGATTTTTGCCAATGATCCAGCGATTCTCATTGCTTAATCCTTCACCGGTGATCTGTAGGAAAGTCGCGATAATCATATAAAAATATATGAAATTTGACTCTGGGAGGATTCAAACCCGCGCCGGTCGCCCGCCTCTTCTGAGGAAGGTGTGATGGTGGTTTAGTCCCACATCGGTTGTATGCCGATTTTTCGGGCAAATATATAGTAATGTTAGCTTTGTGAGCAAAGTCCCTTCTCTCACGTGAATGACCACTCCTTGCCCCACAACCGGCTGGCCACCGGTGACGTGAAAGGGGAGTGGCGTACGCGTGCCTTGTCGGTCCCCAAGCCAAGCCGCTCGAGCCCCTGCTCATGGCTTACTCCCTGACTGCGCTTCCGACCCGCTTGCGGGCCCGGTTGGCCGGCGGGTTCCCCCATTTTTGCAATATTTTTATTTTTATTTGTTCTTCATTTATCTCAAAAGTAAGACTGTGAAAATCGTATAAAATCACATAATTACCCAAAGATTCATGTTAATCAATTGAAAACCAAAAATCATTTTTTAACACAAATATAAGTCTATTTATCATGAGTTAAGGCTAAAACTATATTATTTACTAATTATTAACTCATGATAATGAAGACTTATCACACCCACTATTAAATTTGAAATAAATTTAAGAATTTTTCAAATGCTCCCTAATTTTCATGGATTACCTTTAGAGAAACCTCATCAGCACTTACAAAAATTTCATATGATCTGTGACTTAGTTAATCTCCCTCAAGTTACACCAAAAATTATTAAGATGAAATTATTTCCTCATACACCTAGGAACAAAGCTAGTCATTGGCTATCCACATTAGATAAAGAACTAACTAACTAAAAATATGAGAAAATATATTCAAAATTTTATTCTTTGGGAAAAATTCAAAATATGAGAAAATATATATAAAGTTTTTCTCAAAGACCAGGAGAAACTTTACATGAGACATGGGAAAAATTCAAAGATTTACTTATAAAGTGTCCTTATCATGCTATACCCAAGTGGCAACTCAATAGAATTTTTTATGATGGATTATTAGAACAATATAGAAATATAGTTGATTTGATATGTGGAGGAGCTTTTATAGAGAAAACTCCTGATGAGATTTACAATCTTTATGTGAATTTAAGTGAAAATTCTAGAGATCAAGCCCCTTTTGAATTATATGACAAAGATAACAAGAGAGGAATTTATGAATTACATCATGATGATGATTCTAATTTAAGAAATGAGGTTAATAAAATTAATCAAAGATTAGAAAAACTTGATTTACTTATTGAGGATATTAGAAAGCCTCTTAACCTTCAATTGAATGCATATAGTGCATGTTTTATGTATAGTGAAAATGATAATTTTGAATTTCAATATTATAATTTAGATCAATCATTCCTAAGCAAGAGCAAGTCTAAGTAACCCACAATTTTAGTAAAAATAAGAAGTATTTTTCTAATTCTTATAATCCTAATTGGAGAAAAAAAATTCATAGAGAAACCCAAATAATATTCAAAATATAAAAGCACTTAGATCCAATTCAAAATTTGAATTTCATCCGAAACGAGAACATAGATTTTAGAAAAATCAGCCCTCTCAAATCCAACTTGATGCTATGGAAATGATACAACAAATGAGTCAAATGATGTTACATCAAAAACAAATTATAGAAGATTTTGAGAATAGGAGAGAAGAGGGACAGCCACCTAGTCAGCTCATAGAAAATTTAGGAAATTGTCTAAGAGTAGGATTTAAGTAAAAAGAGTCTAGCTGAATAAATTTAAGAAAAAACCCACAAAATAAAAATATTAAGATAGCGAATACATTGGGTGAGAATATTTTACTTGATCCTTATTTCCAATTATTAGAAGAAATCGATGAGTCATTAGAAGTAATGAGAATATTAAGGCTGAGAATATAATAGCAAAAAATTTGAATAAAATTATTTATTGCTCACAATTGATGAATGAATATAGTGAGGATGATGAGGAGAAAGAGCCCTTAGATGAAAAAATAATAGCTGATCATAGAAGAATCATCTAAATTTTAGTAAAAAGAATAAGGATAGAAATAAAGAAAAACATATTTCAGGTGAGGAAAAATTAATTAATTTGAGAGATGTAGGAGATGAAATTAATAAATATAATCATAATTTTATAGCTATAGCTGTTGATCGTAAAGATGATGATATATATCATATATTAAAATTAAAAGATAGCTCTTGGGAAGATGAAGAATTTGATGAGTTGAGAAATGAAAAGCTAGAAAAAGAGTTGATTCAACTAATGAGGAGAAACGAAAATAATGAATATGAATATAAAGATAATTTTAGAGGAGAAAATTTGAATTTTGCTAAATTCATTAGATTTGAGATTAAAGAAGACAATCTTTCCATCCTTCAAAACTCACAGCCCATTAGAATTATTTCTAAGCTTAAAATATTTCACTCCTCGCAAATTGAACAAGTATGTATGGAAGATAAAATAGAGCACATGAAGATTATACAGATAAAATAACACATTAAGAAATGAGTAAGTAGAAGAATTAAAGATATCAATTTAAATAAAAAAAATCTAGATTGAGTAAGAGCTAATTTAAAAATTATATGGCTTGATCACATTTTTTGGTCTATTAATAGAAAGTATTTATTAATAAATGAGAGCCTTACAAAATAAGATAGAAATGAGGAAAGGTTTTTTCAAAATGAAAATATTATTTTTGGAAAAATTTATTAATTTTTATTTTGTTTTGGGTGAAAGTATGTCAAGGTATATATATGAAGTATATGAATTTATGTTAAATCTAAAAAAGAATATTATGAAACTTACCTCGAGATACAAATATATTTTGATGGCCATAGATTATCTTATATGATCTAAGAGCTGTTCAACTAAAGATATTAAATTCAGCACTATATGGAAGGCAACCCATGGTTTTTATTTCATTCTGTTTGAATTTTTTTTAAGCTCTATTTTTTTTAGAATTTTGTAGTACTTGTTTCTGTATTTTTTTTGTCGAAAAAGTGCAGGAGGACTGTAAGATGAAGTGAAAAATTAAAAATGAGGTTGAGGTGATGTCCTTCTCGCATTTCAATCCCCTAGACATATATTACTAAAATTCAAAATTACAACTATAAAGAAGATAGTTTTGATTTAGTTTTGAAAAATTTATTGTTACTAAAAATAGAATTGAAAATAGAAAGCAAAACTATCAGAACTATCTAATTTATAAATTTCTTACATCATATTACATAGACAAAAAATTAAATCAATTAGATTGATTGATATCAAAAGATACTTGGAGGATTATTATTGAGTCAAAAGAATGATCTAGTAGCATGAAATGTTGGAATACTTGTTGGATACATGATATATAATATGGATTTGATTTTATAAGTTTTCACTTCATTCTTGATAGATAGTATTCACTTGATGTGAAAATTTGATTGATTATTTGAGTTTAATAAAGATTTTTGCACCCTAATCTATAAGACTTGTGAGGAGAAATCACTTATTTCAAAAAAAATAACTCCAAGATCATAACTTCAAGATTCTAGATTTGCAATGTCCATGATTTTTCTATGCCCTCAAAAGGTTTTCTGTTACTTCTCATCAAAACTCTTGTTCATCTTGACCATTGTACTATTCATTATGTGTCCTTAATCAAATACTTAAGCTAAGTTCATCAAAGGAGTGTATTTTCTATTTTACTTAGCTCACTCATCCCCCCTATTAAAACTTCATCATTGTCTACAATGATTGAATAATAAATGCAGACAAAAATTCAGAAGAATGCAAGCTAGAAAGAACACAATCATAAGGGTATGAAAAGTAATAAATTCAGGTGGGGTGGAAGCTCAATCACTTGCTAGTCTCTTCCACACAGCCAATGTTTTCTACAATCAATTCAATTGGGAAATGTAATTTTGATTGTAGAAACTAAACTAGAAGAGAATTCAAATGACAATAAGCAAAAAAAGGAAAAATAGTAGGGTTGCCTCCCTAGCAGTGCTAAGTTTAATGTCATCAGCTGGACAACAATACATCTCATGTTATATTTTGTAAATTATTTTTATCTACCTCTCTCTTGTCATGATGCTCAAGATATGCTTTAATTTGCTATCCACTCACTTTAAAATAATTGTTAGATCCTAGACCTCTAAGTGTGGCTACCCCATACTCATTTAAATTTTCTAAAGTATATGGCTCATCCCATCTACTCCTCAATTTTCCTAGAAATAATTTGAACTTTGAATTGTATAACCATACTTTTTGACCAGGTGAAAATTGCTGCCTAGTGATGTACTTGTCATGAAATCCTTTAGCCTTTGCTTTATAAATCCTCGCATTTTCTTATACTTTATTCCTTAACTCATCCAATTCCTACATTTCAAGAAGTCATTTTTCTCTAGTTGCTGCCATGTCCATGTTGATTTGCTTGATAGCCCAATACACCTTATGCTCCATTTACACGGGTAAGTGACATGCCTTGTTGTAGATGACGTAACTCAGTCATTGTATAGTAAATCACACAAATTTAAAATTTATAAAACTAGAAAATATGATTTTTCTGATATTTAGAAGTATTTCTGAACATATATATCAGTTATAATTCAATAAAACTTTCCAAAAATAGCAATTTCTAAGTCGATCACAGGGATGTAATATAATATCTGGTAATTATTCAAAATTTTTCTCAATGAATACGATTTTCTATGAATTTTATACTAGGAAATGAAAAGGAAATATATTTAAAATTCATGAAAAAGGGAAATAAGGGTGCAGACGTCAGGATGATGTTAACGCCCGACGAACATGAATCGGACAAAAATAGAGTTCTATTCGGCGATTCTTATATAAGTAATTACAAATGATTTAATTAATCAAATTAAGATTTGTAAAAGCTAGAAGAATCATAATTGAACAAACTATATTTTGATAAATTTAAATCACAAAAATTATCACTAAATGAAGCGTAAAGTAAGTTGAAAGTAAGAAAACAGAGTTCTAGTGTCGCGACGGCAATGAATCGGTGATGCATCAGAATCTTGAGCATTCAAGAGGATTGTCGTGTAGTGTCTACGGCCTCAAAGGCTCTCTTTGGATATAGACGATGTGGGTAATCTCTAGATCTCCTTGTGAAGTTTAGAGATTAATAAAATGAGTCGTCAAATTGTCTTTGGCGGCTATCACTTGATGGAGTGGAAAAATGGCGACTTTGCGACTCTCCGGTAGTTGTCACCCAATGGAGAGGAGCTGGATGGAGGTGGAGTGCGTGTCAAGGAGCTTCATCCTTAGGTCCGTGGAGCAAGAAGAGGCTCTTCATCGCATCTGGTATGCTCTTAAGAGGTGGGAACTTGTCTCCTAGCAGATCGTCTTCTTCTCCACGATGACTTGTTTGTCGATCAATCATAGATGCTTTACTCGATGGATTCACGATCCTTTTAACGCAAATTGTTCAGCAATTTTAGTAACAATGCTCCGTGAATCATGTTGACAAGATTTTTGTCGATGATCTAGTGATTCTAGTTACTTAATCTTCACCGACGATATGCAAGAAAGTCATGATAATCAGATAAAAAAAATATGAGTTTTGACTTTAGGAGGCTTCGAACCCTCACCGGTTGTCTGCCCTTTCTGAGGAAGGCGTGATGTGGGTTTAGTCCCATATCGATTGTGCACTGATTTTTCGGGTGAATATATACTAATGTTACATTTTTTATTAAGTCCCTTCTCTCGCATGTACGACCACTCCTTGCCTCACAGCCAGCTGGCCACTAGTGACGTGGAAGGGGAGTGGTGCACACATATCCCTATCAGTACAAGCCACTCGAGCCCTTGCTCGCGACTACTCCCTAACTGAGCTTCCGACTCGCTTGTGGGCCCAGCTGGCCGGTGGGTCCACCTTATTTTGTCTTATTTTTATTTTTTATTTCTTTTTCTTCATTTATCTCAAAAGTAAGATTGTAAAAATCATAGAAATTCATGTAAAATCACATAATTATCCAAAAATTCACATTAATCAACTGAAAACTACATTTCACACTTAAACACAAATATACGTCTATTTATCACGAGTTAAGGCTAAAATTATATTATTTACTAATTATTAACTCATGATAATGAAGACTTTTTAGTAGACCATCCTAAATTGTGAAGCTCCTAATGGTATTTTGTATGTGGTTCTATAAGCCCACAATGTATCATCAAGATGGAAGGCCCAATCCTTTCGATTGAGAGAGACTAGTGATAAGTCTTCATTATTATGAGTTAATAATTAGTAAATAATATATTTTTAACCTTAACTCATGATAAATATACTTATATTTATGTTAAATTGTGAAAAGTGGTTTTCAATTGATTTGTATGATTTTTATGAATTTGTAATTATATTTTCAATGAATTTGTATGATTTTTATAGTCCTAGTTTTGAGATAAATGAAGAAAAAGAAATTAAGTAAAAATATAGCAAAATAAGGGGACTCATTGGCTAGCTAGGCCCACAAGTAGGTTGAAAGTATAGTCAAGGGGAGCAGCGAGCAGGAGCTCGAGCAGCTAGGACTGATGGGGATACGTGTGCGCCACTCTCCTTTCACATCACTGGTGGCCAACTGGCTGTGGGGTAGGGAGTGGTTCTACACCCGAGAGAAAGGGACTTATTGCTTGGGAAATGTGATATTAGTATTTATTCACCCAAAACTTCGGTGCACAAACGATGTGGGACTAACCTATGTCACACCTTCCCCTAAAAGGCTTCAAAGGCAGGCAATCAGTGCGGGTTTAAATCCTTCCATAGCTAAAATATATTTTTTATCTGATTATTACAACTTTCTTACAAATTGTCAATGAAAGATTGAGTCGTTATAATCACGGGATCATCAACAAAAATCTCGTCAACATGATTCACAGAGTATTATTACTAAAATTATTGAACAATTCGTAATAAAAAGATCACGAATCCATCAAGTAAAACATCTCCGATTGATTGACGAACAAATTGTTGTTAAGAAGAGGATGATCCACAAAAAGATGAGTCATCATCTCCTAAGAGCATACCGGATGTGATGAAGAGCCTCTTCTTGTCACACAAATCTGAGGATGAAGCTCCCTAACATGCACCCTACCTCTATTTAGCTCCTCTTTGTCAAGTGGCAGCTGTTAAAGAGTCGCAAGGAGATGATTCGATGACCCATTTCATTAATCTCTTGACTTTACAAGGAGATCTAGAAATTATTTCTATCGTCCTTGTCCAAGAAGAGCCTTTGAGGCTATAGACACTACATGACGATCCTCCTAAATGCTTAAGATTCTGGCGCATCATTAACGCATCACCACTACAACACGGAAACTTTATTTTTCTATTTTCAACTTAATTTTTACTTTATTTACTGATAATTTATATAATTTAAATGTACCAAGCTATACTTTATTCAGTTACAATTCTTCTAGTTTTTATAGATCTTAATTTGATCAATTAAATCATCTATAATCGCTTACATAAAAATTGTCAAATAGAACTTTATTTTTGCTCAATTCACACTTGTTAGGAGTTGACGTCATCTTGACGTCTGCACCCTTATTTTCCTTTTTTTTGAATTTTAAATATATATATATATATATTTTTATAGTATAAAATTCATAAAAAAGTTATATTCTTTAAGTAAAATTCTAAAAAATTACCCAATATTATATTACATCCCTATGATCGACTTAGAAAATTACCACTATTTTTGGAGGTTTTATTGAATTATAATTGATATATTTATTTAGAAATACTTTTAAATATTTGAAAATTAGTATTTTCTACTTTTGTAAATTTTAAATTTGTGTGATTTACTATACAATGACTAAGTCACGTCAACCACCTTTTGCAAAATCAATTTAATCACATGGTTAGCTAATTCAATTTTGTCATTTGATTTTGGATGATATGGTGTGGTGAGTCTATGTTGAACTTCATATTTGGACAGAAAATTCCAAAAATGTATATTTGTAAAATGTGTGCCATTATGACTAATAATAGCACATGGACACCCAAATCTCGATAAAGTATTACTTCGAATAAATTTTATAACAATTTTGCTATCATTTGTGCAAGTAGGCATTACTTCCACCAACTTTGACACATAATCTACTACAAGTAAAATATATTCATATCCACATGAAGGAGAGAATGGATCTATAAAGTCAATTCCCCTTATATCAAAAATCTCAACTGCTAAAATAGGCTATAATGGCATTGCATCTTTCTTTTTGATATTAACAATTGATTGACATTTAATGCAATGTTGACTAAATACATGTGCATCTTTAAATAAAGAGGGCTAGAAAAAACCACTTTGTAAGACTTTTGCAATTATCTTTCATCTTGCAAAATGGCCTCCACATTGTAGGAAATGACAAAATTCTAAGATTTTACCTTGTTCTTCATCTAGAACACAGAGTCATAGGATCTAGTCTTCACCTAAATAAAACAAATTAAGATCATTCTAGAGAATCTTAGATTTACTTTAGCAGCAAATTTCTTTAGCTCTCTCTCTTCCATACTACAAGCATTTTCTATGTAGCTAAATAATTAACAATCTCAGCAAACCATTATATATTTTTTAGTTTGGATTGATAAAATCTGCTTATCTGAAAAAGCATCATTTAAAAATAGATTGCTCATTATGTACAATACGAGATAAATGATCAGCCACAACATTTTTGAATTCTTTCTTATCATGGATTTCAATATCAAACTCATGTAATAATAAATTTTGTCCAATAATTGTGGCTTTGCTCCTTTCTTTTCTAACAAGTATTTCAATGTTGCATGATCAGAATACACAATCACCTTTGATCTAATAGTATATGTTCTGAATTTTTCTAATGTAAACACCACTACCCATAATTCTTTTTGAGTGGTAGTGTAATTAATTGTGCATCTGTAATAGTGTTGCTAGCATAATAAATAACCACAAGATCTATTTGCTGCCCTAAGACTGCACCAATTACAAAATTAGATGCATCACACATTATTTCAAATAGCATGGACTAGTTCAGTGTTTGAATGATTGGTGCTTCTATCAAGGTTGTCTAAAGAGTCATAAATGAATTAATACATGCTTCTTCAAAATGAAATGAACTGTCCTTAGACAACAAAGATGTCAATGGCCTAGTTATTTTAGAGAAATTATTAATAAATTGTCGATAGAACTCAGCATGTCAAAGAAATGCTCTAAATTGTTTGATTGACTATAGTGGAGGCAGATTGACAATAGCATCAATCTTGCTTTGTCCACCTCAATCCCTCTCTCACAAACAACATGTACTAGGACTAATCCTTGCACCATAGAATGACTCTTTTCCTAGCTTAAAACTAAGTAAATGATGCACCAAAAATAGAAAAATCATCCATGAAAATCTCTAAAAAATCACCAATCATGTCTAAAAAGATGGACATCATGCACCACTAAAAAGTGGCCAGGGCATTACATAGTCCAAAAGGCATTCTCTTGAATGCATAAGTTCTAAAGGGGCAAGTAAAAGTTGTCTTTTCTTGATCATCTAGATAAATAACTATCTAATTATATCTCGAATACCCATCTAAGAAACAAAAATATTTTTGCCCTTGTAATGTTTCTAACATTTGATCTAAGAATGAAAGAGGGAAGTGATCTTTTCTTGTTACTACATTAAGCCTTTGGTAATCAATGCATACCCTCCATCTTGTGGTTAATCTTGTTGGTACATTCTCTCCTTTCTCTGTTCGTGTCACATTCCAACCCGATTTTTTTTGTACGACTTGTGTTGGACTCACTTTGGGCTATCAGAAATAGGGTAGATGATCCCTACATCAATCTATCTTATAATCTCTTTCTTCACTACCTCTCTCATGGTAAAGTCTCCTTTGCATCTTATGACTAAGTTTCACATTATCTTCAAGGTAAATTTGATGCATACAAATGTCTAAATTTATTCCCTTGAGGTCTACCATTGTCCAACCAATTGCTCCCTTATGATTTCTTAAAACCTCGACAATCCTGTCCTTGTGTTCCTCGGTCAATGATGCTGAAATGATTACATATAAGGTTTGGTTAGGCCCAAGAAAAACATATTTCATTGATTCGAGTAATTTTTTAAATTTAAATCAAGAGCTTGTTCTAATGATGGCCTTAATGATATTTCTATGTTTAAAGTTTGTAGTTTTATGTTCTACATATGCACAAGTTGATTTGGAATCAGTCACATGTTGAACCCAATTGATCTCTTCAACGTGTCAACACTATCAACTTCCTTCAATTCATCCACATCTCGATAGGGAATTTAGTGCTGCAAAATACATTAAATGCAATGGTCTTATCTTATCATTTGATATTAATTATTCCATTTTCACAAACTATGTTTGACTTAGTTGTGGCAAGGAATTGTCTACCCAAAATGATTGGTGCAGGACATAAATCATCTCTAAAAAGCATATTTAAGATCAGAAAGTCGGCAGAGAAACAACAACCCTTCACATCAATAATGACATCCTCCAATAAACCTTAAGTTTTTACTGATCTATCTCCTAGCTAGAGAACAATAGGGGTCTCCTTAACCTCTTCCAATTGAAATTGATTAAAAACTTTAGTGGGCAATAGGTTCACACTTGCTCCTAGATTGAGTAGTACATTGAAAAATATGTTTTCTCCAATTCTACTTGAAACTAGGGGTGCTCCAAGATCTTTATTTTTTCTAGGTAAGGAATGAGTAATCACTGCACTTGCCTCTTTGAAAAGAGTAATCCTCCAAGGTGATTTGCAAAGTGTGTAAAGGTTTTTCAAGAGTTTACCATAGGAGGGAATGTGCTTAATTGCATTGACCAAGGGAATGAAAATTTGAATCTGCTAAAATATTTTTGTTAACTCATCATGAGGCTTCATCCTAGTTCTCATCTTAGGTTCTAGGACCTTAAGGAATGTGATGGAAGACGGGGCAAGAATTCCTGTACCTGATCAATAAAACTCAAGACCCAGAAAGGGAGAGTCGAACTGATTCGATAAGAATATATGGACCCTAGACTCTAGGTCTGACCACATAACCTAAGTATAGGCAGGCATACCAATATGCACTATCAGCTCAAGACAACCTAGAGAAACACTTCACGATGGTAAGTGTGAGGCCCTCTTGGTCCACATCCGAGCAGACGGTAGAACAATTGTTGTGAGGTAGCCTAGGGTTGTAGCTCATGAACGGTGACAAATCTAGCGTAGTGTCAGAAGTCATGATCTGATAACTGTCATATCTTGTCTACGTTGTCTTGATGGCGATAGAGACGAGCCAAAAAAACCCTTCAAGAGATAATTAAACTTAAGAGGAAGGGGTACGGAGCTAACCTTCGGGGCTGCGTAGCCTGATAGGTTGTGACGGAATAGAGATTCGACGTAGGTAGAGACGTTTGGTGAAAATCAATGCTCAGTGTCGATAATTGGTCTTGGTCGAGAGTCGTAGTCATCATCGTCATAAGGCATGGCACTGTCGGCGCAGACGTGGGCCCGCTGGTGGGCCAAAGGGCACGCTAGCGGGCATGGGCCCGCTGGTGGGCCGAAGGGCATGCTAGCACACGCGCGTGGTGCACGGCATGCCCTAGGGCACACGGGTAGGGGCACCAGGTGGGTGCGCGGGCTGCAAGAGCCGACGCGCGCGGCGCACGCAGCGGCAGTGCTTCGGCGAGAAGGCCGAGCATCTGCGGTGCTTTGACAAGAATGCCAAGTGTTAGTGGCGCTTTGGCGGGAATGCCAAGTGTTAGCGTTCGGCGGGAAGGCCGAGTGTTAGTGGTGCTTTGGCAAGAATGCCAAGCGTCAACAGCACTTTGGCGGGAATGCCAAGCGTGCGTGGTTGGGCAGAGACCAAACCGTCACCGGAAGGATCGGCCCTCTCTGATGGTGCCGGGAAACAGAGTAGAGGACGGAGATGATCCGGCCGACAATACTAGGGAGGGTTGAGCTCTCCTGGTCTAAGTGGCGCTGGAAACAACACGACAGCGACGGGGCATCGGGAAACTCCGGCAGGGCCTGTGAGGAGCTTGGACTGGTTCTGGCTCATCGGCACGGCTGTAGGGTCTCTCCCGACGTTGGCAGCAGGTTGGTGTTCGTCGGCGAATGGCCAGTGACTAGGTGGAGCAGCAGAGGGCGGCCCCGGTAAGTTTGGGGTGGAGTTCCGGAGGAAGAGGCAGCAGTCAAATCAGGGGTCAAGAGACTCTAGCAGAGTGCTCGGCGACGGCTCATAGAGAGGCGAAGCGAGCCCCTTTCGTCACGAGGGCGTGACAGGGTTCCAGTAGAGGCGGCAGTGGCTGTAGTGGCAACCATGATCATTTTGTCTGGTGATGGTGGCGAACTCCTGAGCAGCAATGAGATGGCTGGTGGCGATAGTGGTCTCATGTGGCAGCGGGACTTCTCGAGCAGCAGCGTCACGAGGAACAAAATCCTCGAAGGGGGTATCGATGGCCTTCCTCTTCCTCCTTCCCTTCCCTTCCTATCCTAGATCACGGAGAAGCTACTCACAAAATGATAATCTCTCTCAAAAATATACGGCACTCTCTTGAGGGGGGGTCCTACCTCCCCTTATATGGCAGCCCACAAGTGGGCTAAGGGGAGGTGGGCCTACTTGAGGCCCTCAAGCCCATAAGCCACAAATGCTACAAAAGGGGCTTATTGGGCCTCTTGAAGAGAGACCCAATAAGCTCCCCTAAAAGGAGAAAGAGGGCCCTCTTATGGTGCTTAAGTGGGCCTCAAATGAAGACCCAAATAAGCCCCAAAAGAGGCCCAAAAGGAAAGACACATAGGTCCCCCCCCCCCCTAGGGTTGTAATTGGGCCTTAGAGAGAGACCCAATAAAACCCTAAAAAAAGGGAGACACAAACAACAACACACACACATAGAATTAGGCCCGCTAACACACAAACATGAGGCCCAACAAGTCAATGTGAAAATACAAAGAAAGATAAGAGTGAGCTGGGCTCATCGTTGTTGCGGAGGTAGAATGTCGTCATCTTGAAGGGCTAGGCCGTGTAGCAAAAGCCAGGCTCCTTCATCTTCTCATGTCCATCAAGCTGAACTCAGACTGCCAGTGTCTCTTGAGCTGATGGAGACAGGTCCCACTCGCCATCAAAATGGCACTACCTTAGCCTTCCCCATTAGACCTGTGATGTCTATCTTCTCTCCATTCTTAATCTCCTTAGACCTTATTCTTCTTCTCTTTCCTCAAAAAACAAATCATCATTTTGCTAACCTATGGTGGGTGTGCTTTTGCTATTACCCTCATATGAATCTTTGAGAATTTTTTCACTCCTCAATATAGTTACAGCCTCTACATTTTCAAAATTTGTGGAAGATGGTAGTTGTGACATCGAAGCTTGATGCCTTGCAAAATTGACACTCTTATTTTGTGGATTAGTAATAGGCTGATTTGGGAGCTGTCCTAGCTTCCTCCTAGGATTTGCAATAGCTAACTTTCTTATTTCTTTTTCTTAATTTTGAACATTTTGTTGATGATACAGTTGTATGATAAGTCTTCATTATCATGAGTTAATAATTAGTAAATGGTATAGTTTTAACCTTAACTCATGATAAATAGACTTATATTTATGTTAAAGTGTGAAAAGTGGTTTTTAGTTGATTAACGTGAATTTTTGAGTAATTATATGATTTTATACACATTTATATAATTTTTATTGTCTTACTTTTGAGATAAATAAAGAAAAAGAAATAAAAATAAAAAATATAACAAAATAGGGCGGACCCACCAGCTAGTTAGGCCCACAAGCGGGTCGAAATTGTAGTCAGGGAGGACTTGCGAGCAAGGGCTTGAGCAGCAAGGATCAATAAAGGCACGTGTGTGCCACTCCCCTTCCACGTCACTAGTGATTAGCTGACTATGGGGCAAGGAATGGTTGTACACACGTGAGAAAGAGACTTGATTCAAATGTAATATTACTATATATTCGTTTGAAACTTTGACGCACAAGTGATGTAAGACTAAACCCGTGTCACACTTTCCCCATAAAGGATTCAATAATTTTAATATCTAAAAGACCCCTTATTTATAACAGAGATATACCATGATGACATCATTTGATAAAAGTATTAGAGTACTTATGTCAATCTTTCTCATGTAGGTGAACAATTGATGTAGGTTTGAATCCTCCCAAAGTCAAAACTTATATTTTTTTTAACTGATTACTGCAACTTTCTTGTAGATCATCGATGAAGGATTAAGCAACTAGAATCATTAGATCATCGACAAAAATCTCATCAACGTGATTCGTGAGGCATTGTTCCTAAAATTGTTGAATGATTCGTGATAAAAGGATTGCAAATCCATCAAGTAAAGCATCTCCAATTGATCGACGAATAAATTGTCGTCAGGAAGAGGATGATCTGCAGAGAGATAAGTTGCCACCTCCTGAGAGCATACCGGATGTGATGAAGAGCCTCTTCTTGCTATGCGGACTTGAGGATGAAGCTCCTTCACACACACCCCACCTCCATCCAACTCCTCTACGTTGGGTGACAGCCGCTGGAGAGCTGGGAGTCACTATTTTTCCGCTCTATCAAGTGACAACCGCCAGAGATGATTTGATGACCCATTTCATTGATCTCTAGACTTCGCAATGAGATCTAAAAATTACCCACATCATCGTTATCTAAAGAGAGCCTTTGAGGCTGTAGACACTGCATGACTATTTTCTTGAACACTTAGGATTCCACTACATTGCTGACACATTGCCGCCGCAACGTCAAAACTCTATTTTCCTACTTTCAACTTACTTTCTGCTTCATTTAGTGATAATTTGTGTGATTTAAATTTACCAAGATATATTTTATTCTATTACAATTTTTTTGAATTATACAGATATTAATTTGATCAATTAAATTGTTAATAAAGCTAGAAAATATATAGATTTAAATTGCTTACATAAGAATCACTGTGATGTGACTTAGTCGTATATTAAATCACACAAATCTAAAATTTATAAGGCTAGAAAATATGATTTTTCAAATATTTAGACATATTTTTAAACAAATATATCAATTATAATTCAATAAAACTTTGAAGAATAATAGTAATTTTCTAAATCAATCATAGATATGTAATATAATATCTAGTAATTATTCAATTTTTTGTAAAGAATACTACTTTTTATGAATTTTATACAAAGAAATGAAAAGGAAATATATTTAAAATTCACGAAAAAAGGAAATAAGGGTGTGAATGACAAGATGCTGTCAATGCCCGATGAACACGAATCGGGTGGGAATAGAGTTTCACTTGACAATTCTTACGTAAGCAATTACAAATAATTTAATTGATCAAATTAAGATCTATAAAAGCTAAAAAAGTCATAATGAAATGAAGTATATCTTGGTAAATTTAAAATCAAAAAATTATTGCTAAATGAAACAAAAATTAAGTTGAAAGTAAGAAAACAGAGTTCCGACATCACGATGGCAATACGTCCGTGATGCACCAAAATCCTAAGCGTTCAAGAGGATCATTGTGCAGTGTTCATAGCCTCGAAGGCTCTCCTTGGACAAAGACGATGTCGGTAATCTCTAGATCTCCTTACAAAGTCTAGAGATCAATGAAATGGGTCGTTGAATTGTCTCCCACGGCTGTCACCTAGCAGAGTGGAAAAATGGTGACTTTGCAGCTCTTTGGCGGCTGTCACCTATAGGAGAGGAGCTGGATGGAGGTGGGGCGCATGTTAAGGAGCTTCATCCTCAAGTCCACACAACAAAAGGAGGCTCTTCATCACATCTGGTATGCTCTCAAGAGGTGGTGACTCGTCTCCCAGCAGATCGTCCTCTTCTCGATGATAGTTTGTTCATCGATCAATCAAAGATGCTTTACTCGATGAATTCACAATCCTTTTATCGTGAATCATTTAGCAATTTTAGTAACAATGCTCTACGAATCACGTTGATGAGATTTTTGCCGATGATCTAGCGATTCTAATTGCTTAATCCTTTACCAACGATCTATAGGAAAGTTGTAATAATCAGCTAAAAAAAATAGAAATTTTAGTTCTAGGAGGATTTGAACCCATGCTAGTTGCTCGTCTGCATGAGAGAGATTGACATAAGTACTTTAATACCCTTATAAAATGAACATCATCATGGTATATCTCTATTATAAATAAAAGGTCTTTTAGGTATTAAAATTTTCAAACCTTTTTTGAGAAAGATGCGACGTAGTTTAATCCCACATCACTTGTGTGTCGAAATTTCAGGCAAATATATAGTAATATTACATTTTGGAAGCAAGTCCCTTCTCTCACATATTCGACCACTCCTTGCCCCATAGTTGGCTGACCATTAGTGACATGGAAGAGGGGCGCACACATGCCTCTATTGGTCCAAGTCGCTCGAGCCCCTACTCACGGCTACACACTAACTGTACTTTCGACTCACTTGTGGGCCCAACTAGCTGATAGGTCTCCCTCTATTTTGTAATATTTTTATTTTTATTTCTTTTTCTTTATTTATCTCAAAAGTAAGACTATAAAAATCATATAAATTTGTATAAAATCACATAATTATTCAAAAATTCACATTAATTAACTAAAAATTACTTTTCACACTTTAACACAAATATAAGTCTATTTACCATGAGTTAAGGCTAAAACTATATTATTTACTAATTATTAAATTATGGTAATGAAGACTTATCAAGGGACAAGGGTGTTGGCCCAGCCAATAGGCTAGCATAGTAGGGCCTTAACCTTTTGTAGAGTAAGAAGCACTATTGCGCTTGATTTAGGAAGAATAGGAGACATACATACACTAAATCCAACACAAAAAGACATGCATATGAACCCTGACGACCCATGACAACTTCTCAGCTACATTAACATGGGAACACTTTAGAGAGAGGATAGAAAAGAAGAGTTGGGAAAACATGATTTGTCATAAAGCACTACCCACAAAAATATCTTTGTTCATTTGAAGACTTTTATAGAAAAAAGTTCCACTTGACATGAACATTAGAAGAATGGGTTTCCAACTAAGATCCAAATACAATTGTCGTCAACATACTGTAGAGAAGAATTTGTAACACATGTGTTATTTGATAGTGAAAGGGCGGAGGAATACTAGGAATGGTTCCTAGAAAAAATTGAGTCCATTGAAAAAAAGAGAAAAATACTTTCACCAATGGCTCCACTTTATTTTTTAGAATAGAACAAAAGAAAGTAAAATAGGAATAATGATAAGGATCACATTCTCATGCCTCAAGTGAGAAATTTGGATAGGCTGAAGCACAAAAGGAAAGAAGGAATAGCTTCATGGCACCCTTCATCACATGTAAATGTACAAAATGGGTGGTGGAATCAAGAAGCAAGGCATCATTGAGATCTGAGGAAGAATCGTTAAAAACATGAAATATTTGGGGCCTAATTGAATGATCAATTATTGAAATGGAAATAGGTAAATGGTATCTCCAAAAAGGTAAATATAAGATGAATATAGATGGCACATCCAAATGAAATCCAAGACCTGTTGGGGGGGGGGGGGGGTTACTTGAGATCATGAAGGCCAGATGATTGGGGCCTGCTCCCTCATATATGGACAAGATACATGCATGGAAACTGAGTATAGAGCATTAGCAAGTGGCCTCTTATTATGTTATAAATGAAATATTAGCCAAGTAATAATAGACTCTCAAACTCTTGCAAAAATGTAAAAAAAGAAATATGTAGGCAATGAAAATTCAAGACATGGTGGAACATAATAAAAAAAAAACCTTTTTATATCATTGAGATCTCCCATTAGTATAAAAAAGGTAACTCTATGACTGATTTTCTTACTAATGAAGGCATAATGAACAAAGAATTCTAGAGCTTGTAGGAATTGCTGTAGATGGGAAGAGGCATCTTTAGTCTTGAAAAATAGGGACTTCGAAACATGAGAAAGACAAGATGAGTAAGGAAAACATGAGTCATAGAGGCATGTATCTTCCACTCTGATTTATACACGACTGTACAATATTGATCATATGAGTAAATTACTAGAAAAATGTCAAAAGAATAGAATTTCATGAGAGATATGAAATGATAGTAAAACCATAGATGATTGATTAGGAGTCACTATTGAATTTGAATGCACAACAAGCAAAGCAGAGGACATAAAGCTGCAAAAGAAGGCAAGGGGAGGTAGGGAATTAGAGCAGATCTACAAGAAATAACAAATCTGAATAATGTTGAGTTTTCAAGGATGATGGTTGATAAGTCTTCATTATCATGAGTTAATAATTAGTAAATAATATAGTTTTAGCCTTAACTCATGATAAATAGACTTATATTTGTGTTAAAGCATGAAAAGTGGTTTTCAGTTGATTAACGTGAATTTTTGGGTAATTATGTGATTTTATACGATTTTTACAGTCTTAGTTTTGAGATAAATGAAGAACAAGAAATAAAAATAATTTGATTAATTGAGTCGTTGTGATTAATTTGATTAATGTGATTTTATAACGTGAAAAGTCGTTGTTTACCAGATATTATATTTCCTTTTCTTTTTGTGAATTTTAAATATATTTCCTTTTTATTTCCTAGTATAAAATTCGTAAGAAAATCGTACTCATTGAGAAAAATTCTGAATAATTACCAGATATTATATTACATCCCTGTGATCGACCTGGAAAATTACCGCTATTTTTGGGATTTGTATTGAATTATAATTGATATATTTATTTAGAAATACTTCTAAATATCCGAAAATTCGTATTTTCTAGTTTTATAAATTTTAAATCTGCGTGATTTAATATACAACGACTGAGTCACGTCAAATTTTGGCGCCGTTGCCGGGGATGTATTGCATAATATTTAGTATTTTTCTGTTTTTCTCTTAGAGTACACAAAAAAAAAACTTTACTCTTGTTTTATTTTCTTTTTGCTGATTTTTATTAGAAAAAGGGAACAAAAAGAAGCACGGCAAGGACTGGAGCATCCTGAAGGAGGGTAACAGTTACTAACTTTTTCCCTCGAATTTATTGATTTTTATGCATGGTAGAAGATCCTTGCATCAAAGGCTAGAAAATCCTTTCATTATTTCATTCAAAAATAAAAATCCGAAAGAAAAATTAATTTTGATGGATCCTGAAGGAAGTACAGGTCAAACTGAGAACAATCCTATGGCCATGAAAAATCATTATATCCCTGATTCATTTCAAAGAGCATCCAATATTAGAGTCCCATTAGCACCTACTGTTAAATTCAAAATAAATCCATGAATTTTTCAAATGCTCCCTAATTTTCATGGATTGCCTTTAGAGGAACCTCATCAGCACTTGGAAAAATTTCATATGGTCTGTGATTTAGTTAATCTCCCTCAAGTTACACCGGAAATTATTAAGATGAAATTATTCCCTCATACACTTATGGACAAAGCTAGTCATTGGCTATCCACATTAGATAGAGAATTAACTAGCTGGAAAGATATAGAACAGGCCTTTCTTCGAAAATTTTATCCCTTAGGAAAAACTCAAAATATGAGAAAACATATATGGAGTTTTTCTCAAAGACCAGGAGAAACTTTGCATGAGACATGAGAAAAATTCAAAGATTTACTTAGAAAGTGTCCTCATCATGCTATACCCAAGTGGCAACTCAATAGAATTTTTTATGATGGATTATTAGAACAACATAGAAATATGGTCGATTCTATATGTGGAGGAGCTTTTATGGAGAAAACTCCTGATGAGATTTACAGTCTTTATGAGAATTTAAGTGAAAATTCTAGAGATCAAGCCTCTTTTGAATTATATGACAAGAAAATGAAAAAGAGAAATTTATGAATTGCATCATGATGATAATTCTAAACTTAGAAATGAGGTTAATCAGATTAATCAAAGATTAGAAAAAATTGATTTACTTATTGATAATATTAGAAAGCCTTTTAACCCTCAACTTAATTCGAATAGTACATGTCCTATGTATGGTGAAAATGATTATTCTGAACTTCAATGTTATAATTTAGATCAATCATTTCACCCTATGCGAGAACAAGTGCAAGTAGCTCACGGTTTTAATAGAAATAGGGAAAATTTTTCAAATTCTTATAATCCTAATTGGAGGAATAATTTTTCATGGAGAGACCCAAATAATATTCAAAATCCAGAAGCACTTAGACCCAATTCAAACTCTGAATTTCGTCCAAAACAAGAAAATAGATTTCAGAAAAATCAGCCCTCTCAAACCCAACCTGATGCTATGGAAATGATGCAGCAAATGAGCCAAATGATGCAACAAACTATGAATCAAATGATGCAACAAATGATGCAGCACCAGAAACAAATTATAGAGGCTCTTGAGAATAAGAGAGAAGAGGGACAGCTACCTAGTCAGCCCATAGAAAATTCAGAAAACTGTCCAACAGTAAGATTTCAGCAAGAAGAGTCTAGCTGGATAAATTTAGAAAAAAACCCACGAAATGAAAATGTTAGGGCAGTGAATATATTGAGTGAGAATATTTTACCTGAACCTTATTTCCAATTATTAGAAGAAATTGATGATCCATTAGAAGTAAATAAGAATATTAAGGCCAAAAATGTAGTAGCAGAAAATTTGAATAAAATCAGTTATTGCTCACAATTGATGAATGAATATAGTGAGGATGATGAGGAGAAAGAACCCTTAGATGAAGAAACAGCGACTGATCATAGAAAAATCATCCAAATTTCAGTAGAAGGGAGTAAGGACAGAAATGAAGAAAAATATATTTCAGGGGAGGAAAAATCAATTGATTTGGGAGATGTAGGAGACGAAATTAATGAATCTAATCATAATTTTGCAGCCATTGATGTTGATTGTGAGGATGATGATGTATATCATATACCAAAATTAAAAGATAGCTCTTGGGAAGATGAAGAATTTGATGAGTTGAGAAACGAAAAGCTAGAAAAAGAATTGATTCAACTAATGGGAACAAGTGAAAATAATAGATGTGAATATAGAGATAATTTTGGAGGAGAAAATTTGAATTTTACTGAATTCATTAGATCTGAGATTAAAGAAGACAATCCTTCCATCCTTCAAAACCCACAGCCCATTAGAATTATTTCTAAGCTTGAAATATTTCACTCCTCACAAATTGAACAAATATGTATGGAAGATAAAATGGAGCAGGGGAAGATTATGCAGATAAAAGAAGACATTAAGAAATGGGTGAGTGGAAGAATTAGAGATACCAATTTAGATGAAAAAATTTTAGATTGGGCAAGAGCTAATCTGAAAATTATACGGCCTGATCACATTTTATGGTTTATTAATAGAAAGTATTTATTAATGAATGAGAGCCTAACAAAACAAGATAGAAATAAGGAAAGATTCTTTTCAAAATGGAAATATTATTTTTGGGAAAATTTTGTTAATTTCCATTTTGTTTTGGCTGAAAGTATGTCAAGGTATATATATGAAGTATATGAATTTATGCTAAATCTGAAAAAGAATATCATGAAACTTACCTTGGGATACAAATATATTTTGATGGCCATAGATCATCTTATATGATATAAGAGCTGTCCAGTTGGAGACATTAAATTCAGCGCTGCATGGGAGGCAACCCATGGTTTTTATTTCATTCTGTTTGATTTTTTTAAGTTTTTTTAATTTCGCAGTACTTGTTTCTGTATTTGTTTTTCTTTCGAAAAAGTGCAGGAGGAGGAGTGTAAGATGAAGTGGAAAATTAAAAACGAGGTTGAGGTGATGTCTTTCAGAGCTTCATCATTTATGAAAATATTTTTAATGCTTAACTTTGCAGATATGCATGCTTCACTTGAAAATTATATTTTCTGCATATTCTGTATCGAGTTTTCTGTGTCATTGAGGACAATGTCATTTTTAAGTTGGGGGTGAAGTATTCATTATTAATTTATGCTGTAGGACGATTAAGAACATGTGTTTGCATTTTATTCAACTTAGAACAGCAACTAAAAAAATAAAAAAAATCGCCGAATTCGGAAAAACTGCAACATCTATTTTCTGGTTTTCTGTCAGGAACAACAGACTGTCAAAAACAGCAGATAAAAAATAAAAAAAAAAAACCCGAAATTTGAAATTATAGAGACCCTTTTCTCACATTTCAATCCCCTAGATATATATTACTGAAATTCGAAATTACAGCTATAAAGAAGATAGTTTTGATTTATTTTTGACAAATTTATTGCTGCTAAAATAGAACTGAAAACAGAAAACAGAACTGTCAGAACTATCTAATTTACAAATTCCTTACATCATATTACATGCATGAAAAATTAAATCAATTAGATTGATTGATACCAAAAGATACTAGGAAGATTATTATTGAGTCAAAAGAATGATCTAGTAGCATGAAATGTTGGAATACTCCTTGGATACATGATAGATAACATGGATTTGATTTTACAAATTTTCACTTCATGATCTTGATGGATAATATTTACTTGATGTGAAAATTTGATTGATCATTTGAGTTTAATGGAGATTTTTGCACCCTGATCTATAGGACTTGTGAGGAGAAATCACTTATTTCAAAAAAAAAAAAAAAGAGAGCAATGTGAAAAATCTAGAAACGAAGAGTACACATGGAGGGTGTGAGACATCATTCTCATTGTCGAAAATCGTGTATAGAAAAACACTTGCTGCAAAATAAGTGGATAAAGTGAAAGCCCTGAAAATGAAGAGTACACATGGAGGGTGTGAGACATCATTCTTATTGTCGAAATTTGTCTACAGGAAAAGCTACTTATCCACTATATATATATAAAAAAAAAAAAAGAAGGAAGAAATAAAGTGCAAACTTCAAAAATCAAGTCATAGAAAAAGGGAAATGTAAGATCAATATTATTCTTGGATGAGTATTGATAATTGGAACATCTTGTAAATACATCTATGAGTGAAGAAGTGATAAAGATGTGAATAGAAGAAGTGAAGTCTAGATTGTTATTCCAAGGAGTGTTTAAACATTTAAGTGCTTGGCATCATTCTTAAATACTTGATATAAGAATCCAAAGTGTTTAAAGGTGCATCATTTCTAATTGTATTTTTTTTTCTGTATTGAAATATGATGTTTGAGATTTGTAAATTTTTATTTTCGTAATTCCATTGCTAAGGGACTAGCAATGATTTAAGTTGGGGGGTGTGATAAGTCTTCATTATCATGAGTTAATAATTAGTAAATAATATAGTTTTAGCCTTAACTCATGATAAATAGACTTATATTTGTGTTAAAGCATGAAAAGTGGTTTTTAGTTGATTAACGTGAATTTTTGGGTAATTATGTGATTTTATACGATTTTTACAGTCTTAGTTTTGAGATAAATGAAGAACAAGAAATAAAAATAAAAATATTGCAAAATGGGGGGAATCCGCCGGCCAGCCGGGCCCGCAAGCGGGTCGGAAGCGCAGTCGGGGAGTAGCCGCGAGCAGGGGCTCGAGCGGCTTGGCTTGGATTATAGGGGCACGTGTCGCCGCTCCCCTTCCTCGTCACCGGTGGTCAGCCGGCTGTGGGGCAAGGAGTGGTCGTACACGCGAGAGGACTTTGCCTAGAAAGCTAACTTTACTATATATTCGCCCGAATAATCGGCCACAACCGATGTGGGACTAAATCCCCTTGTAAGGGGGGGCGACCGCCGCGGGTTCGAATCCTCCAGAGTCAAAATTCATATATTTTTAACTGATTATCGCGACTTTCCTGCAGATCGCCGGTGAAGGATTAAGCAACCGGAATCGCTGGATCATTGGCGAAAATCTCGTCAACGCGATTCGCGGAGCATTGCTACTAAAATTTCTGAACGATTCGCGATAAAAGGATCGCGAATCCATCGAGTAAATCATCTCCGATTGATCGACGAACAAGCCGTCGTCGGGAAGAGGACGATCCGCCGGGAGACCAGTCGCCACCTCCTGAGAGCGTACCAGATGCGATGAAGAGCCTCCTCTTGCTGCGCGGACCTGAGGATGAAGCTCCCTAACACGCGCCTCACCTCCATCCAGCCCCTCTCCGTCGGGTGACAGCCGCCGGAGAGCCGCAAAGTCGCCATTTTTCTGCTCCGCCGGGTGACAGCCGCCGGAGACGATTCAACGACCCACTTCATTGGTCTCTAGACTTCGCGAGAAGATCTAGAGATTACCCACGTCGTCTTTGTCCAAGGAGAGCCTTCGAGGCCGTGGACACTACACGACGACCCTCCCGAACGCTCAGGATTCCGGTGCATCGCCGACGCGTCGCCGTCGCGACGCCGGAATTTTCCTGCTTTATCTAGAGATTGCCCACGTCGTCTTTGTCCAAGGAGAGCCTTCGAGGCCGTGGACACTGCACGACGATCCTCCCGAACGCTCAGGATTCCGGTGCATCGCCGACGCATCGCCGTCGCGACGCCGGAACTCTGTTTTCCTGCTTTCAATTTAATTTACGCTTCATTTAGTGATACTTTGTTGATTTTATTTACCAAACTATACTTCGTTCAATTACGATTCTTCCGGCTTTTACAGATCTTAATTTGATTAATTGAGTCGTCTGTAATCGCCTACGTAAGAATCGCCGGGCGGAACTTTGTTTCCGCCTGATTCGCGTTCGCCGGGCGCTGACGTCATCCTGACGTCCGCACCCTTATTTCCTTTTTTTCATGAATTTTAAATATATTTCCTTTTTATTTCTTAGTATAAAATTCGTAAGAAAATCGTATTCATTGAGAAAAATTCTGAATAATTACCAGATATTATATTACATCCCTGTGATCGACTTGGAAAATTACCGCTATTTTTGGAATTTTTATTGAATTATAATTGATATATTTATTTAGAAATACTTCTAAATATCCGAAAATTCGTATTTTCTAGTTTTATAAATTTTAAATTTGCGTGATTTAATATACAACGACTGAGTCACGTCAATGGTGCACCCAATTAAGCTGAGGGGATGGATGGTTAAAAAAAATAAAAGGGGTGGAACAGAAGATAGGATGTGGTGTAAAAGTGCCAAAAGTTGGCCATGCTGGGAAAAAAAAAAGGAGAAAGAGCAAGAGAAAAAAGGAAAAAAAAGAAGAAAGATAATTTGAAAAGAAAGGGGGGTAAGAAGTTGTGAGGAAAAAGCTACCCAACTCCTCATAGCAAGAAAATAAGGAAGAGAATGATCATCAAAAACTGAAGGCTAAAGAAGCTAGAACTCACTTTAGAGGTAAACCATGCAGATTGATGGTATGGTAGAGAAGCTCAAACACTACCAATATAATCTAGAAAATTAAAACCTTTTGCTCTCTAAACTGCAAGGAGTGATATGGACTGAAAGGGCCAACCTCAAAAAAGAAGTAAGAACAAGAAGTAAACTTATTATCCCATGGGAAGGATAGGCTGGGGAATAGTATAGCCTTCTTTGATGTCTAATGAATTGCTTCAAAGTCCAGTTTGGAGAGATTTTGAGTGGTTTTGCAGGAGGTAGAGGAAGACAATTCCTGATGGCAAATGCAAAGGAGCAAGGGAAGAGGGTCAAGGTACAGTCAATGATGAGGCAAGGAAAGGGTTGGTGATTAGCAATTCATAAAGTCAAGAAGAGGCCAAGGGTCCCTCCTCCTCTGTGAGAGTGTAAAGACTTGGCTCAAAAATGAGGTTCATGTAGATAATGTAAAATTATTCATTTATATGAAATAATGTTTTTATTATGAAAACAAAACAAAATAGAGCATCATCATAAGGCCATAGAGACATTAGAGCCAATGTTCATTCCCTACTATGAGGGTCTATCTCTATAGATTTTATTATTTGTTTTTACTGAAGGTAAAAGATCACAACTCAATCTTTATCATCATAGGTTGCTTCTTTAGGTATGTTATATTCATGCTATCACAAATTGATACCTTAATAGAAGAGGTGACATGTCTCTTCATGAGAAAGTGGCAAGATTTGCCATGAGATAAATTGAGTGATTGAGTTGTGTGGTTCATTAGGCAGCCTATTGATATGTGTGTTTGTCTATTTAGATAGACAAACACACAATTTGAAGTTTTCTTTAAGTTTTCACTTATAGATGGATGGACAATTTGAAAGGATCAAAAGGATGTTCAAAGAGTATTTATAACACTATGTTATTACTAATCAGTATAATTATATTAATCTATTAGATGTCATCTAATTTTCTTACAATATACATAAGAGTTTGGTGATTTAATAATCACTATTCAAACTAGCAACATGAAAGTAATTTTTGACATTGCTAGAGGTAACAAAATAGTTGGGAACATCACAAACATGCACATATGCACATAGAAGAGCCACATGATACACTAACACATGTAGAGTGAGGAATGAAGAAGTTTATAAATTACCATCAATTGAAGTGAAGTTCAATGTTAATGATTAAATCTTGCTATGACTCAATGAACAATCTACAAAAATTTGAAGAGATCAAAGAGACATTGAGGACTAGTATCCCAATATGACATGTCCTTTTAGGTTGTGGTGTGGATAGAAAGAGTGACTTACCATCTCAACCTATTGAGGAGACTAAAAATTTACCTAATTTTCTATGTTTTACTAATAAAGTCATATCAGCCCGATAAGGAGGATGAGAAACAAGATGATCATTAACACATAATTGATAAAGTAACCACTTTACTATGGTGAGGTGATATGACTTAGTCATTGTATATTAAATCACACAAATCTAAAATTTAGAAAGCTAGAAAATATGATTTTTTAGATATTTAGACATATTTCTAAACAAATATATTAATTATAATTCAATAAAACTTTTAAAAATAACAATAATTTTCCAGGTCGATCACAAAGATGTAATATAATATCTAGTAATTATTCAGAATTTTCTGCAAAGAATACTATTTTTTATAAATTTTATACTAAGAAATGAAAAGAAAATATATTTAAAATTCATAAAAAAAGGAAATAAGGGTGCGGACTTGATAAGTCTTCATTATCATGAGTTAATAATTAGTAAATAATATAGTTTTAGCCTTAACTCATGATAAATAAACTTATATTTGTGTTAAAGAATGATTTGTGGTTTTTAGTTGATTAACGTGAATTTTTTGGTAATTATGTGATTTTATACGATTTTTACAATCTTACTTTTGAGATAAATGAAGAATAAGAAATAAAAATAAAAATATTACAAAATGGGGGACCCGCCGGCCAATTGGGCCAACAAGCGGGTTAGAAGTGCAGTCAGGGAGTAGCTACAAGCAGGGGCTCGAGCGACTTAGCTTGGACTGATAGGGGCACGTGTACGCCACTCTCTTTCCATGTCGCCAGAGGCCAACTAGTTGTGGGGAAAGGAGTGGTCGTACACACGAGAGAAAGGACTTTGCTTACAAACCTAACATTACTATATATTCGCCTGAAAAATCGGCGCACAACCGATGTGGGACTAAACCCGCATCACACCTTCCTCATAGGTGGGCGACTTGCATGGGTTTGAATCCTCCCATAGTCAAAATTCATATATTTTTATCTAATTATTGTGACTTTTCTGCAGATCGCCGGTGAAGGATTAAGCAACGAGAATTACTAGATCATTGGCAAAAATCTCATCAATGCGATTCGTAGAGCATTACTACTAAAATTGCTGAACGATTTGCGATAAAAGGATCACGAATCCATTGAGTAAATCATCTCTGATTGATCGACGAACAAGCCATCATCAGGAAGAGGACAATCTACTGGGAGACGAGTCGCCACCTCCTGAGAGCGTACTAGATGCAATGAAGAGCCTCCTCTTGCTGTGTGGACCTAAGGATGAAGCTCTCTGACACGTGTCCCACCTCTATCTAGCTCCTCTCCGTCGGGTGACAGCCGCCAAAGAGCCACAAAGTCGTCGTTTTTATGCTCTGCTGGGTGACAGCCGCCGGAGACGATTCGACAACCCACTTCATTAATCTCTAGACTTCGCGAGAAGATCTAGAGATTGCCCACATCATCTTTGTCCAAGGAGAGCCTTTGAGGTTGTGGACACTACACAACGATCCTCCCGAATGCTCAAGATTCTGGTGCATCACTGATGCATTGCCGTCGCGACGTTGGAACTCTATTTTCCTGCTTTCAATTTACTTTACGCTTCATTTAATGATAATTTTTGTGTTTTTAATTTACCAAAATATACTTTATTCTATTATGATTCTTTGGACTTTTACAGATCTTAATTTGATCAATTAAATCACCTGTAATCCCTTACGTAAGAATCGCTCGGAGGAACTATGTTTCTGCCTGATTCGCGCTTGCCAGGCGCTGAAGTCATCTTGATATCTGCACCCTTATTTCCCTTTTTCGTGAATTTTAAATATATTTCCTTTTTATTTCCTAGTGTAAAACTCATAGAAAATCGTATTCATTGAGAAAAATTGTGAATAATTACCATATATTATATTACATCCATGTGATTGACCTAGAAAATTATTGCTATTTTTGAAATTTTTATTGAATTATAATTGATATATTATTTAGAAATATTTTTAAATATCCAAAAATTCATATTTTCTAGTTTTATAAATTTTTTATTTGCGTGATTTAATATACAATGACTGAGTCACATCCAATTTTGGTGCTGTTGCCGGGGATGTATTGCATAATATTTAGTATTTTTCTATTTTTCTCTTAATATATACAAAAAAAAACTTAACTCTTGTTTTATTTTCTTTTTACCAATTTTTATTAGAAAAAGGGAACAAAAAGAAGCACGGCAAGGACTAGAGCATCCTGAAGGAGGGTAACAATTACTAACTTTTTCTCTCGAATTTATTGATTTTTATGCATGGTAGAAGATCCTTGCATCCAAGGCTAGAAAATTCTTTCATTATTTCATTCAAAAATAAAAATCTGAAAGAAAAATTAATTTTGATGGATCCTGAAGGAAGTACAGGTCAAACTGAGAACAATCCTGTGGCCATGAAAAATCATTATATCCCTAATTCATTTCAAAGAGCATCTAATATTAGAGTCCCATTAGCACCCACTGTTAAATTCGAAATAAATCCAAGAATTTTTCAAATGCTCCCTAATTTTCATAGATTGCCTTTAGAAGAACCTCATCAGCAGTTAGAAAAATTTCATATGGTCTGTGATTTAGTTAATCTCTCTCAAGTTACACCAAAAATTATTAAGATGAAATTATTCCCTCATATACTTAGGGAGAAAGCTAGTCATTGGCTATCCACATTAGATAGAGAATTAACTAGTTGAAAAGATATAGAACAAGCTTTTCTTTGAAAATTTTATCCCTTAGGAAAAACTCAAAATATGAGAAAACATATATGAAGTTTTTCTCAAAGATCAAGAGAAACTTTGCATGAGACATGGGAAAAATTTAAAGATTTACTTAGAAAGTATCCTCATCATGCTATACCCAAGTGGCAGCTCAATAGAACTTTTTATGATGGATTATTAGAACAACATAGAAATATGGTTGATTCTATATGTGGAGGAGCTTTTATGGAGAAAACTCTTTATGAGATATATAGTCTTTATGAGAATTTAAGTGAAAATTCTAGAGATCAAGCTTCTTTTGAATTATCTGACAGGGTTAAGAAGAGAGAAATTTATGAATTGCATCATGATGATGATTCTAAACTTAAAAATGAGGTTAATCAGATTAATCAAAGATTAGAAAAAATTGATTTACTTATTGACAATATTAGAAAGCCTCTTAACCCTCAACTTAATTCGAATAGTACATGTCCTATATATGATGAAAATGATTATTCTAAATTTCAATGTTATAATTTAGATCAATCATTTCACCCTATGCAAGAACAAGTGCAAGTAGCTCACAGTTTTAATAGAAACAGGGAACCTTTTTAAAATTCTTATAATCCTAATTGGACGAATAATTTTTCATGGAGAGACCCAAATAATATTCAAAATCCAGAAGCACTTAGACCCAATTTAAACTCTGAATTTCGTCCAAAATAAGAAAACAGATTTCAAAAAAATCAATTCTCTCAAATCCAACCTAATGCTATGGAAATGATGCAGCAAATGAGCCAAATGATGCAACAAACTATGAATCAAATGATGCTGCACCAGAAACAAATTATAGAGGCTCTTAGGAATAAGAGAGAAGAGGGACAGCTACCTAGTCAGCCCATAGAAAATCTAAGGAACTGCCCAAAAAGTAGGATTTCAGCAAGGGGAGTCTAGTAGTATGAATCTAGAAAAAAACTCACGAAATGAAAATGTTAGGATAGTGAATGCATTAAGGAGTGGTAAGATCTTACCTGATCCTTATCCCCAAATATTAGAAGAAAAAGAAAACGTGGACAACCCAAAACAAAATCAAATAGGAGTAGAAGAGGATTTTATAGATTCTACCAAGGAAATTTTGAAAGAGAGGACAATCATTCTATTTCCTAAAGCTCTAGAGCCTAGACAAAGAAAGAAAAAGGAACACAATGAAGAAATAAAAAAAAAATTACAAGATGTGCAAATTAGTCTTCCTTTACTCATTGCCATTGAACATATTCCTAAATATGCTAGAGTTTTGAAAGAAATGTGTACACCAAAAAGGGCACCTAGAGTAGAAAAATTATCTATGCATGCTAGTGCATTATTATTAAATCAATTATCATTTAAATTGAGAGATATAGGTGCCCCTTTAATTTCGTGTGATATTAGTGGATCTATTTTTCAGAATGCATTACTTGACACTGGTGCTAATATTAATTTATTACCTACAAGTATTTGTGATAAATTTAATATTTCTGATCTTAAACCTTCTACTATTACCTTAAAATTTGCTGATAGATCCATAAAACATCTTAAAGGTATTTTAGAAAATGTGATAGTAACAGTTAAAGGGTGTAAGTTTCTAACTGATTTTGTAGTGCTAGAAATGGATTTTAATAGACAGTTTTATGATACACCAATCATCTTAGGGAGATCATTTTTGCATACAGCAAAGATGAATATTGATTTTTCTACAGGTACTTCAAAAATTTTATGTGGAGATTGACGTGACTCAGTCGTTGTATATTAAATCACGCAAATATAAAATTTATAAAACTAGAAAATACGAATTTTCGGATATTTAAAAGTATTTCAAAATAAATATATCAATTATAATTCAATACAAATCCCAAAAATAGCGGTAATTTTCCAGGTCGATCACAGGGATGTAGTATAATATCTGGTAATTATTCAGAATTTTTCTCAATGAGTACAATTTTCTTACGAATTTTATACTAGGAAATAAAAAGGAAATATATTTAAAATTCACAAAAAAAAAGGAAATAAGGGTGCGGACGTCAGGATGACGTCAGCGCCCGGCGAACGCGAATCAGGCGGAAACACAATTCCGCCCGGCGATTCTTACGTAGGCGATTACAGACGACTCAATTAATCAAATTAAGATCTGTAAAAGCTGGAAGAATCGTAGTTGAACGAAGTATAGTTTGGTAAATAAAAATCAACAAAGTATCACTAAATGAAGCGTAAATTAAATTGAAAGCAGGAAAACAGAGTTCCGGCGTCGCGACGGCGATGCGTCGGCGATGCACCGGAATCCTGAGCGTTCGGGAGGATCGTCCTGCAGTGTCCACGGCCTCGAAGGCTCTCCTTGGACAAAGACGACGTGGGCAATCTCTAGATAAAGCAGGAAAACAGAGTTCCAGCGTCGCGACGGCGACGCGTCGGCGATGCACCGGAATCCTGAGCGTTCGGGAGGGTCGTCGTGCAGTGTCCACGGCCTCGAAGGCTCTCCTTGGACAAAGACGACGTGAGCAATCTCTAGATCTTCTCGCGAAGTCTAGAGACCAATGAAGTGGGTCGTCGAATCGTCTCCGGCGGCTGTCACCCGGCGGAGCGGAAAAACGGCGACTTTGCGGCTCTCCGGCAGCTGTCACCTGACGGAGAGGGGCTGGATGGAGGTGAGGCGCGTGTTAGGGAGCTTCATCCTCAGGTCCGCGCAGCAAGAGGAGGCTCTTCATCGCATCTGGTACGCTCTCAGGAGGTGGCGACTGGTCTCCCGGCGGATCGTCCTCTTCCCGACGACGGCTTGTTCGTCGATCAATCGGAGATGATTTACGCGATGGATTGCGATCCTTTTATCGCGAATCGTTCAGAAATTTTAGTAGCAATGCTCCGCGAATCGCGTTGACGAGATTTTCGCCGATGATCCAGCGATTCCGGTTGCTTAATCCTTCACCGGCGATCTGCAGGAAAGTCGCGATAATCAGTTAAAAATATATGAATTTTGACTCTGGGAGGATTCGAACCTGCGGCGGTCGCCCCCCCTAAAGGTTTAGTCCCACATCGGTTGTACGCGGATTATTCGGGCAAATATATAGTAAAGTTAGCTTTATAGGCAAAGTCCTCTCGCGTGTACGACCACTCCTTGCCCCACAGCCGGCTGACCACCGGTGACGTGGAAGGGGAGTGGCGCACACGTGCCCCTATCAATCCAAGCAAGCCGCTCGAGCCCCTGCTCGCGGCTACTCCCCGACTGCGCTTCCGACCCGCTTGCGGGCCCGGCTGGCCGGCGGGTTCCCCATTTTGCAATATTTTTATTTTTATTTCTTGTTCTTCATTTATCTCAAAACTAAGACTGTAAAAATCGTATAAAATCACATAATTACCCAAAAATTCACGTTAATCAACTGAAAACCACTTTTCATGCTTTAACACAAATATAAGTCTATTTATCATGAGTTAAGGCTAAAACTATATTATTTACTAATTATTAACTCATGATAATGAAGACTTATTAGAGATCAATCAGTAGAAATTAAAATTTTTGAGGTATCAAATGATCTTAAGAAATCCCAAATATATTATTGTCATCCCATAGATCTTCTAGATGATTTTGATGATCTAGATGTTATTGATGTCTGTGTGCTGGAAGAATTAGAGGAAATAGATAATATAAATTTAGAAGAAAAGAAAGAGGAAGATCATCTGAATTTAGAGTTGAAATCTCTTCCCTCTAATTTAAAATATATGTTTTTGGAGGAAAATAATTCATTTCCTATTATTATTGCAGCTGATTTGAGTGATGAACTAGAAGAAGAATTATTAGATGTACTTCAAAAAAATAAGAAGGCTATGGGCTAGAAAATGGATGATCTAAAGGGCATTGATATGAGTGTATGCATGCATAGTATATATCTAGAGGAAGGAGCTAGAACTAGTAGGGAACCACAACGAAGATTAAATCCTAACATGATGGAAATTGTAAAAAAAGAAATTTTAAAGTGACTGGCTGTTGATATTATTTATCGTATTTCAGATAGCAAATAGGTTAGTCCTACACAAGTAGTGCCAAAAAAATCAGGTATCATAGTTATAAAAAACGAAAATGGGGATGAAATACAAACAAGACTAATTACCGGTTGGAGAGTTTGCATTGATTATAGAAAATTAAATTCAGTTACTAGAAAAGATCATTTTCCCCTACCATTTATTGTTCAAATTCTAGAAAAATTAGCTAGAAAAAACTTTTTTTATTTTCTGGATGGATACTCTAGTTATAATCAAATTTATATAAATCTTTTAGATCAAGAAAAAATAACTTTCACTTATCCATTTGGTACTTTTGCTTTTAAACACATGCCTTTTGATCTATGTAATGCTCCAGCTACATTTCAAAGATGTATGCTGTCTATTTTTTCTAATATGATTAGAAAATGCATGGAAATTTTTATGGATGATTTTTCTATTTTTGGTGAATCATTTGATGAATGCTTAAATCATTTACAGCATGTACTTGAGAAATGCATGGAGAAAAAATTAGTTTTGAGTTGGGAGAAATCACATTTTATGGTTAAAGAGGGAGTTTTGTTGGGTCATATTGTGAGTGAAAGGGGTTTAAAGGTAGATAGAGAAAAAATTGATATTATATCTAAAATGAAACCTCCAAATTCAGTAAAATAGATTAGATCTTTCTTGAGTCATGCAGGTTATTATAGAAAATTTATTCAAGATTTTTTGAAAATTTCTAAACCTCTCACCATGCTATTATCTAAAGATGTGCCTTTTAATTTTGATGAGATATGTTTTGAGTCTTTTTCTGAAATAAAAAGATTACTTACTAAGGCACTCATTTTACAAGCTCCTGATTGGTCCCTTCCCTTTGAAATAATGTGTGATGCATCGAATTATGTAGTGGGGGCCATTCTAGGATAAACAAAAGAGTCAAAACCCATAGTAATTTCATATGCTAGTAAAACTATATCCGATGCTCAATTAAATTATACCACAACTGAAAAAGAGTTTTTAGCTGTAGTATTTTCATTAGAAAGGTTTAAATCATATATTTTCATTATGCCACGTTTATTAAGATGGATTTTATTATTGTAGGAATTTGACTTAGAAATAAAAGATAAAAAAGGTTTCGAGAATGTTGTTGCTGACCATCTTTCTAGATTAAGTGATACAGGAATAAATGCAGCACCTTTACAAGACACATTTCCAGATGAACAATTGATGGCAGTTCAACATCAACCATCACCATGGTATGCACATATTGTTAATTTTCTAGTTTCTGGAAAAACTCCATAATAGTGGGATAAGAATAGAAAACATTATTTATTTTCTAAGATTAGAAATTATTTTTGGCATGATCTTGATTTATATTACTTGGGCAATGATCAAATTTTAAGGAGATGTGTTCCTAAAGAAGAATATCATAGCATTATTAACATGTGTCATTCATCTAACTGTGGAGGACATTTCTCTAGACGAAAAATAGCTGCAAAATTTTTTTAGTGTGGTTTTTATTGGCCTACAATCATTAGATATTCTATAAAATTTAGTAGAACATATATTTCATGCCAATCTATAAGTAACATGAGTAAAAAAGATGAAATTCCCATGAGTAACATGTTAGTAGTCGAAATTTTTGATGTATGGGGAATAGATTTCATGGGTCCCTTCCCATCAGTTGAAAAATATGAATATATTTTGCTTGCTGTTGATTATGTGTCGAAGTGGGTGGAAGCTATTCCTACTAGAACTAATGATCATAAAATCGTGATGAAATTTGTGCAGGAAAATATTTTTTCGAGATTTGGATGTCCTAGAGTGATTATTAGTGATGGAGGAACACATTTTACAAATAAAAATTTCAGAGAACTGTTGAAAAAGAATGGAGTACACCATAGAGTAGCCACTCCATATCATCCCCAAACAAATGGGCAAGCTGAAGTAGCAAATAGGGAAATTCAGAGAATTTTGAGAAAAATAGTTAGACTAGATAGGAAAGATTGGCCCACGAAATTACAAGATACATTATGGGCTTATAGAACAGCTTATAAAAATCCCATAGGTATGTCCCCATTTCATCTCATTTTTGGAAAGCCATGTCATCTTCCTATGGAAATAGAGCATAAAGCATTATGGGCTATAAAAAATTTATGTATGGATGAGAAATCAGCTGGTGGGCATAGAATTTTTCAGCTACATAAATTAGAGGAGTTGAGGAATGAAGCTTATGAAAATCATAGAATATATAAAGAAAAAACTAAAACTTTCCATGATAAATACATTAGCAGAAAAAAAATTGTTAGACAAAAAGTGTGGTTATATGATTCTAGGCTGAAATTATTCCTAAGAAAATTAAAATCAAAATGGAAAGGGCCTTATGTGATGGAAGAGACATATAATCATGGGGCTGTAATGATTAAAGATCCTAAAAGTGATCATAACTTTAAGGTAAATAGACAGTGGCTTAAACATTACATAGAACATGAACGCCTTGTAGAAAAAAAAAATTATTATTAAAAGAAATTCAAGATTAATACCAAGGAGTCCAGTTGGAGATATTAAATTCAGCACTGTATGGGAGGCAACCCATGATTTTTATTTCATTCTGTTTGATTTTTTTTTAAGCTCTGTTTTTCTTAGAATTTTGCAGTACCTGTTTCTGTATTTGTTTTTTTTTTTCGAAAAAGTGCAGGAGGAGCGTAAGATGAAGTGGAAAATTAAAAACAAGGTTGAGGTGATGTCTTTCTAAGCTTCATCATTTATAAAAATATTTTTAATACTTAACTTTGCAAATATACATTCTTCACTTGAAAAATATATTTTCTATATATTCTGTTTCGATTTTTCTGTCATTGAGGACAATGTCATTTTTAAGTTGGAGGGTGAAGTATTCATTATTAATTTATGCTGTAGGACGATTAAGAACATGTGTTTAAATTTTATTCAACTTAGAACAGCAACTAAAAAAAATAAAAAAAATAACATAAAATTCAGAAAAACGACAACATCTATTTTCTGGTTTTCTATCAGAAACAATAGACTGTCAAAAATAGCGAACAAAAAACAGCCCGAAATTTGAAATTCTAGAACCTTTTCTCACATTTCAATCCCCTAGATATATATTACTGAAATTCGAAATTACAGCTATAAAGAAGATAGTTTTGATTTATTTTTGACAAATTTATTGCTGCTAAAAATAGAATTGAAAACAAAAAATAAAATTGTCAGAACTATCTAATTTACAAATTCCTTACATCATATTGCATGCATGAAAAATTAAATCAATTAAATTGATTGATACCAAAAAATATTAGGAAGATTATTATTGAGTTAAAAGGATGATCTAGTAGCATGAAATGTTGGAATACTCCTCGGATACATGATAGATAACATGGATTTGATTTTACAGATTTTCACTTCACGATCTTGATGGATAGTATTTACTTGATGTGAAAATTTGATTGATCATTTGAGTTTAATGGAGTTTTTTGCATCTTGATCTATAGGACTTGTGAGGAGAAATCACTTATTTCGAAAGAAAGAGAGAAAGTAATTTGAAAAATCTAGAAACAAAGAGTACACATGGGGGGTGTGAGACATCATTCTCATTGTTGAAAATCGTGCATAAAAAAACACTTGCTGAAAAATAAGTGGATAAAGTGAAAGCCCTGAAAATGAAGAGTATACATGGAGGGTGTGAGACATCATTCTTATTGTCAAAATTTATCTACAAGAAAAGCTACTTATCCACTATATATAAAAAACAAAGAAAGAAAGAAAGAAATATAGTGCAAACTTCAAAAATCAAGTCATAGAAAAAGGGAAATATAAGATCAATATTATTCTTAGACGAGTATTGATAATTGGAACATCTTGTAAATACATCTATCAATGAAGAAGTGATAAAGATGTGAATAGAAGAAGTGAAGTCTAGATTGTCATTCCAAGGAGTGTTTAAATATTTAAGTACTTGACATTATTCTTAAATATTTGATATAAGAATCTAAAGTATTTAAAGGTGCATCATTTCTAATTATATTTTTTTCTGTATTGAAATATGATGTTTGAGATTTGTAAAATTTTATTTTCGTAATTCTATTGCTAAGGGACTAGCAATGATTTAAGTTGAGGGGTGTGATAAGTCTTCATTATCATGAGTTAATAATTAGTAAATAATATATTTTTAGCCTTAACTCATGATAAATAGACTTATGTTTGTGTTAAAGAATGATTTGTAATTTTTAGTTGATTAACGTGAAGTTTTGGATAATTATGTGATTTTATACAATTTTTATAGTCTTACTATTGAGATAAATGAAGAACAAGAAATAAAAATAAAAATATTGCAAAATGGGGGACCCGCCAGCCAGCCGGGCCCACAAGTGGGTCGGAAGCACAGTCGAAGAGTAGCCACGAGCAGGGGCTTGAGCGGCTTAGCTTGGACCGATAGGGGCACATGTACGCCACTCCCCTTCCACGTCACCGGTGGCCAGCCAGCTATGGGGTAAGGAGTGGTCGTACACGCGAGAGAAGGGACTTTGCTTACAAACCTAACATTACTATATATTCGTCTGAAAAATCGGCGCACAACTAATGTGGGACTAAACCGACGTCACACCTTCCTCACAAGCAGGTGACTGGCACAGGTTTGAATCTTCCCAAAGTCAAAATTCATATATTTTTATCTAATTATTGCGACTTTTGTGCAGATCACCGGTGAAGGATTAAGCAACGAGAATTGCTAGATCATCGGCAAAAATCTCGTCAATGCGATTCGCAGAGCATTGCTACTTAAATTGCTGAACAATTCGTGATAAAAGGATCACGAATCCATTGAGTAGATCATCTCCAATTGATCAACAAACAAGTCGTCGTCGGGAAGAGGACGATCCGCCAAAAGATGAGTCATCACCTCCTGAGAGCATATCGGATGCAATGAAGAGCCTCCTTGACGTGACTTAGTCGTTGGATATTAAATCACGCAAATATAAAATTTATAAAACTAGAAAATATGAATTTTTGGATATTTAGAAGTATTTCTAAATAAATATATCAATCATAATTCATAAAACTTCCAAAAATAGCAGTAATTTCCCAAGTCGATCATAGAGATGTAATATAATATTTTATAATTATTCAGATTTTTTCTCAATGAATACAATTTTCTATGAATTTTATACTAAAAAATGAAAAGGAAATATATTTAAAATTTACAAAAAAAAGGAAATGAGGGTGCAGATGTCAGGATGATGTCAGTACCCGACGAACACGAATCAGCGGAAATAGAGTTCTGCCCGATGATTCTTACATAAATGATTACAGACGAATTAATTAATCAAATTAAGATCTGTAAAAGCCGAAAGAATCGTAATTGAACGAAGTATAGTTTGGTAAATTAAAATCACAAAAAGTATCACTAAATGAAGCATAAATTAAATTGAAAGTAGGGAAACAGAGTTCCGGTGTCGTGACGGCGATGCATCGACGATGCACCAGAATCTTGAGCATTTGGGAGGATCATCACGTAGTGTCTATGGCCTCAAAGGCTCTCCTTGGACAAAGACGATGTGGGCAATCTCTAGATCTTCTCGCGAAGTCTAGAGATTAATGAAATGGGTCATCGAGTCATCTCCGGCGGCTGTCACCCGACAGAGTAGAAAGAAAGCGACTTTGTGCCTCTCCAGCGGCTGTCACTTTATAGAGAAGAGTTGGAAGGAGGTGGGGTGCTGATAAGTCTTCATTATCATGAGTTAATAATTAGTAAATAATATAGTTTTAGCCTTAACTCATGATAAATAGACTTATATTTGTGTTAATTAATGATTTTTGGTTTTCAATTGATTAACGTGAATTTTTAGGTAATTATGTAATTTTATACGATTTTTACAGTCTTACCTTTGAGATAAATAAAGAACAAGAAATAAAAATAAAAAATATTGTAAAATGGAGGAGACCCACCGGCCAGCGGGGCCCACGAGCGGGTCGAAAGCGCAGTTAGGAAGTAGCTGCGAGTAGGGGCTCGAGCAGCTTAGCTTGGACCGATATGGGCCTATGTGTGCCACTCCCCTTCCACGTCACCGATGGCCAGCCGGCTGTGGGGCAAGGAGTGGTCGTACACACAAGAGAAGGGACTTTGTTACAAAGTTAACATTACTATATATTCGCCCGAAAAATTGGCACACAACCGATGTGGGACTAAACCTGTGTCACACCTTCCTCACAGGCGGGCGACTGGCGCGGGTTTGAATCCTTTTAGAGTCAAAATTCATATATTTTTATTTGATTATCACGACTTTTCTGCAGATCACTGGTGAAGGATTAAGCAACAAAAATCGCTGAATCATTGGCAAAAATCTCGTCAATGCGATTCGTGGAGCATTGCTACTAAAATTGCTGAATGATTTGTGATAAAAGGAACGCGAATCCATCATGTAAATCATCTCTGATTGATCGACGAACAAGTCGTCGTTGGGAAGAGGACGATCCGTCGGGAGACTAGTCGCCACCTCCTCAGAGCGTACCAAATGCGATGAAGAGCCTCCTCTTGCTGCGTGGACCTGAGGATGAAGCTCCTTGACACACGCCCCACCTCCATCCAGCTCCTCTATGTTGGGTGACAGCCACCAGAGAGCCGTAAAGTCGCCATTTTTCTACTCCGCCGGGTGACAGCTGTCGGAGATGATTCCACGACCCACTTCATTGATCTCTAGACTTCGCGAGAAGATCTAGAGATTGCCCACGTCATCTTTGTCCAAGGAAAGTCTTCGAGGCTGTGGACACTACATGACAATCCTCCTGAACGCTTAGGATTCCGGTGCATCGCCGACGCATCGCCGACGCATCGCCGTCGCGACGTTGGAACTTTGTTTTCCTACTTTCAATTTAATTTACACTTCATTTAGAAAAACTACTTATCCACTATATATATTAAAAAAAAAAAGAAGGAAGAAATATAGTGCACACTTCAAAAATCAAGCCATAGAAAAAGGAAAATGTAGGATTAATATTATTCTTAAATGATTATTCATAATTGGAACATCTTGTAAATACATCTATCAGTGAAGAAGTGATAAAGATGTGAATAGAAGAAGTGAAGTCTAGATTGTTATTCCAAGGAGTGTTTAAACATTTAAGTGCTTGACATCATTCTTAAATACTTGACATAAGAATCTAAAGTGTTTAAAGGTGCATCATTCCTAATTATATTTTTTTTTTCTACATTGAAATATGATGTTTGAGATTTGTAAAATTTTATTTTTGTAATTCCATTGCTAAGGGACTAGCAATGGTTTAAGTTGGGGGGTGTGATAAGTCTTTATTATCATGAGTTAATAATTAGTAAATAATATAGTTTTAGCCTTAACTCATGATAAATAGACTTATATTTGTGTTAAATAATGATTTTTGGTTTTCAATTGATAAACATGAATTTTTAGGTAATTATGTGATTTTATACGATTTTTATAGTCTTACCTTTAAGATAAATGAAGAACAAGAAATAAAAATAAAAAATATTGCAAAATGGGGGAGACCCACCGGCCAACTGGGCCCACGAGTGAGTCGAAAGCGCAGTCGGGGAGTAGCCGCGAGCAGGGGCTCGAGCGGCTTAGCTTGGATTGATATGGGCACGTGTGTGCCACTCCCCTTCCACGTCACCGGTGGCCAGCCGATTGTGGGGCAAGGAGTGGTCGTACACGCAAGAGAAGAGACTTTGTTACAAAGTTAACATTACTATATATTCGCCCGAAAAATTGGCACACAATTGATGTGGGACTAAACCTGTGTCACACCTTCCTCACAGGCGGGTGAGTGGCGCGGGTTTGAATCCTTTTAGAGTCAAAATTCATATATTTTTATTTGATTATTGACGTGACTCAGTCGTTGTATGTTAAATCACGCAAATAAAAAATTTATAAAACTAGAAAATACGAATTTTGGATATTTAGAAGTATTTCTAAATAAATATATCAATTATAATTCAATAAAAATTCCAAAAATAGCAGTAATTTTCCAGGTCGATCACAGGGATGTAATATAATATCTGGTAATTATTCAGAATTTTTCTCAATGAGTACGATTTTCTTACGAATTTTATACTAGGAAATAAAAAGGAAATATATTTAAAATTCACGGAAAAAAGGAAATAAGGGTGCGGACGTCAGGATGACGTCAGCGCCCAGCGAACCCGAATCAGGCGGAAACAGAGTTCCGCCCGGTGATTCTTACGTAGGCAATTACAGACAACTCAATTAATCAAATTAAGATCTGTAAAAGCCGGAAGAATCGTAATTGAACGAAGTATAGTTTGGTAAGTTAAAATCAACAAAGTATCACTAAATGAAGCGTAAATTAAATTGAAAGCAGGAAAATAGAGTTTCGGCGTCGTGACGGCGATGCGTCGGCGATGCACTGGAATCCTGAGCGTTCGGGAGGATCGTTGTGCAATGTCCACGGCCTCGAAGGCTTTCCTTGGACAAAGGCAATGTGGGCAATCTCTAGATCTTCTCACGAAGTCTAGAGATCAATGAAGTGGGTCGTCGAATTGTCTCCGGCGGCTGTCACCCGGCGGAGCGGAAAAACGGCGACTTTGCAGCTCTCCGACGGCTGTCACCCGACGGAGAGGAGCTGGATGGAGGTGGGGCGCGTGTTAGGGAGCTTCATCCTCAGGTCCGCGCAGCAAGAGGAGGCTCTTCATCGCATCTGGTACGCTCTCAGGAGGTGGCGACTAGTCTCCCGGCGGATCGTCCTCTTCCCGACGACGGCTTGTTCGTCGATCAATCGGAGATGATTTACTCGATGGATTCGCGATCCTTTTATCGCGAATTGTTCAGCAATTTTAGTAGCAATGCTCCGCGAATCGCGTTGACGAGATTTTCGCCGATGATCCAGCGATTCTCGTTGCTTAATCCTTCACCGGCGATCTGCAAGAAAGTCACGATAATCAGATAAAAGTATATGAATTTTGACTCTGGGAGGATTCGAACCCATGCCAGTCGCCCCCGCCTCTTCTGAGGAAGGTGTGGGTTTAGTCCCACATCGGTGCCGAGTTTTCGGGCGAATATATAGTAATGTTAGCTTTGTGAGCAAAGTCCCTTCTCTTGCATGTACGACCACTCCTTGCGCCATAGCTGGCTGGCCACCAGTGACGTGGAAGGGGAGTGGCGTACGCGTGCCTGTCGGTCCCAAAGCCAAGCCGCTCGAGCCCTTGCTCGCGGCTTACTCCCCGACTGTGCTTCCGACCCGCTCGCGGGCACGGTTGGCCGGTGGGTCCCCTCATTTTTGCAATATTTTTATTTTTATTTCTTGTTCTTTATTTATCTCAAAAGTAAGACTGTAAAAATTGTATAAAATCACATAATTACCCAAAAATTCACGTTAATCAATTGAAAACCAAAAATCATTCTTTAACACAAATATAAGTCTATTTATCATGAGTTAAGGCTAAAACTATATTATTTACTAATTATTAACTCATGATAATGAAGACTTATCAATTATCACGACTTTTCTACAGATCACTGGTGAAGGATTAAGCAACAAAAATCGCTGGATCATCGGCAAAAATCTCATCAACGCGATTCGGGGAGCATTGCTACTAAAATTGCTAAATGATTTGTGATAAAAGGAACGCGAATCCATCAAGTAAATCATCTCTGATTGATCGACGAACAAGTCGTCGTTGGGAAGAGGACGATCCGTCGGGAGACTAGTCGCCACCTCCTCAGAGCGTACCAAATGCGATGAAGAGCCTCCTCTTGTAGTGTGGACCTGAGGATGAAGCTCCTTGACACGCGCCCCACCTCCATCCAGCTCCTCTCCGTCGGGTGACAGCCACCAGAGAGCCGTAAAGTCGCCATTTTTCTACTCTACCGGGTGACAGTTGTCAGAGACGATTCCACGACCCATTTCATTGATCTCAAGACTTCGTGAGAAGATCTAGAGATTGCCCACGTCATCTTTGTCCAAGGAGAGTCTTCGAGGTCGTGGACACTGCACGACGATCCTCCCGAACACTTAGAATTCCAGTGCATCACCGACGCATTGCCGTCGCAATGCTTGAACTTTGTTTTCCTGCTTTCAATTTAATTTACACTTCATTTAGTGATACTTTGTGTGATTTTAATTTACCAAACTATACTTTGTTCAATTACGATTCTTCTAGCTTTTACAAATCTTAATTTGATTAATTAAGTTGCCTGTAATCGCTTACGTAAGAATCGCCGAGTGGAACTCTGTTTTTGCTTGATTCGCGTTTGCTAGGTGCTGATGTCATCTTGGTGTCCGCACCCTTATTTCTTTTTTTTCGTGAATTTTAAATATATTTCCTTTTTATTTCCTAGTATAAAATTCGTAAGAAAATCGTATTCATTGAGAAAAATTCTAAATAATTACTAGATATTATATTACATCCCTATGATCGACTTGGAAAACTACTGCTATTTTTGTAATTTTTATTGAATTATAATTGATATATTTATTTAGAAACACTTCTAAATATCTGGAAATTTATATTTTCTAGTTTTATAAATTTTAAATTTGCATGATTTAATATACAACGACTGAGTCATGTCAGGTGTGTGTCAAGGAGCTTCATCCTTAGGTCCGCATAGCAAGAGGAGGCTCTTCATCACATTCGGTATGCTCTCGGGAGGTAGCGACTCGTCTCCTGACAGATCATCCTCTTCTCGATGATGGATTGTTCGTCGATCAATCGGAGATGATTTACTCGATGGATTTGTGATCCTTTTAACGCAAATCGCTCAGCAATTTTAGTAGCAATGCTCTGTGAATCATGTTGATGAGATTTTCACTGATGATCCAGCGATTCTCGTTGCTTAATCCTTCACTGACGATCTGTAGGAAAGTCGCGATAATCAGATAAAAATATATGAATTTTCACTCTGGAAGGATTCGAACCCGCACCAGTCGCCCGCCTGTGAGGAAGGTGTGACGCAGGTTTAGTCCCACATCGGTTGTGCGCCGAATTTTCGGGCGAATATATAGTAATGTTAGCTTTATAAGCAAAGTCCCTTCTCTTGTATGTATGACCACTCCTTGTCCCACAGCCGATTGGCCACCGGTGATGTGGAAGGAGAAGTGGCGTACACGTGCCCCTATCGGTCCAAGCTAAGCCGCTTGAGCCCCTGCTCGTGGCTACTCCCCGACTGCACTTCCGACCTGCTTGTGGGCCCGGCTGGCCGGTAGGTCCCCTCATTTTGCAATATTTTTATTTTTATTTCTTGTTCTTCATTTATCTCAAAAGTAAGACTATAAAAATCATATAAAATCACATCATTACTCAAAAATCCATGTTAATCAATTGAAAATCACAAATCATTCTTTAACACAAATATAAGTTTTCATTATCATGAGTTAAGACTAAAACTATATTATTTACTAATTTATTAACTCATGATAATGAAGACTTATCACACCCTCCAACTTAAATCATTGCTAGTCTCTTAGCAAAGGAATTATGAAAATAAAATTTTACAAATCTCAAACATCATATTTCAATACAGAAAAAAAATATATATATAATTAGAAATGATGTACCTTTAAATACTTTAGATTCTTATATCAAGTATTTAAGAATGATGTCAAGCACTTAAATATTTAAACACTCCTTGGAATAACAATCTAGACTTCACTTCTTCTATTCACATCTTTATCACTTCTTCACTGATAGATGTATTTACAAGATGTTCCAATTATCAATACTCATCCAAGAATAATATTGATCCTACAATTTCCCTTTTTCTATGACTTGATTTTTGAAGTTTGTACTATATTTCTTCTTTCTTTTTTTTTTTTTTTTAATATAGTGGATAAGTAGCTTTTCTTGTAGACAAATTTCGACAATAAGAATGATGTCTCACACCATCCATGTGTACTCTTCATTTTCAGGGCTTTCACTTTATCTACTTATTTTTCAGCAAGTGTTTTTCTATGCACGATTTTCGACAATGAGAATGATGTCTCACACCCTCCATGTGTACTCTTCGTTTCTAGATTTTTCACATTGCTCTCTTTTTTTTTTTCGAAATAAGTGATTTCTCCTCACAAGTCCTATAGATCAGGGTGCAAAAATCTCCATTAAATTTAAATGATCAATCAAATTTTCACATCAAGTAAATACTATTCATCAAGATCATGAAGTGAAAATCTGTAAAATCAAATCCATGTTATCTATCATGTATCCAAGGAGTATTGCAACATTTCATGCTACTAGATCATTCTTTTGACTCAATAATAATCTTCCTAGTATCTTTTGGTATCAATCAATCTAATTGATTTAATTTTTCATGCATGCAATATGATGTAAGAAATTTGTAAATTAGATAGTTCTGATAGTTCCATTTTTTATTTTCAGTTCTATTTTTAGCAGCAATAAATTTGTCAAAAATAAATCAAAACTATCTTCTTTATAGCTATAATTTCGAATTTTAGCAATATATATCTAGGGGATTGAAATGTGAGAAAAGGATCTTCTAGAATTTCAAATTTCAGGCTATTTTTTGTCTGCTATTTTTGACAGTCTATTGTCTTTGACAAAAAACCAGAAAATAGATGTTGCAATTTTTCCAAATTTTATTTTATTTTTATTTTTTTAGTTGTTGTTCTAAGTTGAATAAAATGCAAACACATGTTCTTAATCGTCCTATAGCATAAATTAATAATGAATACTTCACCCCCCAACTTAAAAATGACATTGTCCTCAATGACCCAGAAAAATCGAAATAGAATATGTAGAAAATATAATTTTCAAGTGAAGCATGTATATCTGCAAAGTTAAGCATTAAAAATATTTTCATAAATGATGAAGCTCAGAAAGACATCACCTCAACCTTGTTTTTAATTTTCCACTTCATCTTACACTTCTCCTACACTTTTTCGAAAAAAAAAAACAAATACAAAAATAGGTACTACAAAATTCTAAGAAAAACAGAGCTTAAAAAAAAAATCAAACAGAATGAAATAAAAACCATGGGTTGCCTCCCATGTAGCGCTGAATTTAATGTCTCCAGCTGGACTCAATCTTACTCTTGAATTTCTTTTAATAATAAAATTTCTTTTTCTACAAGGCATTCATGTTCTATGTAATGTTTAAGCCGCTGTCCATTTACCTTAAAGTTATGATCACTTTTAGGATCTTTAATCATTATAGCCCCATGATCATATGTCTCTTCCACCACATAAGGCCCTTTCTATTTTGATTCTAATTTTCCTAGTAATAATTTCAGCCTAGAATCATATAACCACACTTTTTGTCCAACAAATTTTTTTCTGCTAATGTATTTATCATGGAAAGTTTTAGTTTTTTCTTTATATATTCTATGATTTTCATAAGCTTCATTCCTCAACTCTTCTAATTCATGTAGCTGAAAAATTCTATGCCCACTAGTTGATTTTTCATCCATACATAAATTTTTTATAGCCCATAATGCTTTATGCTCTATTTTCATAGGAAGATGACATGGCTTTCCAAAAATGAGACGAAATGGGGACATACCTATGGGATTTTTATAATCTGTTCTATAAGCCCATAATGCATCTTGTAATTTTGTGGGCCAATCTTTCCTATCTAGTCTAACTTTTTTCTCAAAATTCTCTGAATTTTCCTATTTACTACTTCAGCTTGCCCATTTGTTTGGGGATGATATGAAGTGGCTACTCTATGGAGTACTCCATTCTTTTTCAATAGTTTCTTAAAATTTTTATTTGTAAAATGTGTTCCTCCATCACTAATAATCACTCTAGGACATCCAAATCTCGAAAAAATATTTTCCTGCACAAATTTCATCACGATTTTATGATCATTAGTTCTAGTAGGAATAGCTTCCACCCACTTCAACACATAATCAACAGCAAGCAAAATATATTCATATTTTTCAGCTGATGAGAAGGGACCCATGAAATCTATTCTCCATACATCAAAAATTTTGACTACTAACATGTTACTCATGGGCATTTCATCTTTTTTACTCATGTTACCTATAGATTGGCATGAAATACATGTTCTACTAAATTCTATAAAATCTCTAATGATTGTAGGCCAATAAAAACCACACTAAAAAAATTTTGCAGCTATTTTTTGTCTAGAGAAATGTCCTCCATAGTTAGATGAATGGCACATGTTAATAATGCTATGGTATTCTTCTTCAAGAACACATCTCCTTAAAATTTGATCATTGCCCAGATAATATAAATCAAGATCATGCCAAAAATAATTTCTAATATTAGAAAAGAAATAATGTTTTCTATTCTCATCCCACTATTATGGAGTTTTTCTAGAAACCAGAAAATTAACAATATGTGCATACCATGGTGATGGTTGATGTTGAGCTACCATCAATTGTTCATTTGGAAATGCATCTTGTAAAGGTGCTGCCTTTATTCCTGTATCACTTAATCTAGAAAGATGGTCAGCAACAACATTCTCGAAACCTTTTTTATCTTTTATTTCTAAGTCAAATTCCTACAATAATAAAATCTATCTTAATAAACGTGACTTTGCATCTTTCTTATTTAACAGATATTTTAATGCTACATGATCAGTATAAATAATAATTTTAGCTCCCAAAATATACGATCTAAACCTTTCTAATGAAAATACTACAATTAACAACTCTTTTTCAGTCGTGCTATAATTTAATTGAGCATCGGACATAATTTTACTAGCATATGAAATTACTATGGGTTTTGACTCTTTTGTTTGTCCTAGAACGGCCCCCACTGCATAATTCGATGCATCACACATTATTTCAAAGGGAAGGGACCAATCAGGAGCTTGTAAAATGGGTGCCTTAGTAAGTAATCTTTTTATTTTGGAAAAAGACTCAAAACATTTCTCATCAAAATTAAAAGGCACATCTTTAGATAATAGCATGGTGAGAGGTTTAGAAATTTTTGAAAAATCTTGAATAAATTTTCTGTAATAACCTGCATGACCCAAGAAAGATCTAATCTGTTTTACTGAATTCGGAGGTTTTATTTTAGATATAGTATCAATTTTTGCTCTATCGACCTCTAAACCCTTTTCACTCACAATATGACCCAACACAACTCCCTCTTTAACTATAAAATGTGATTTCTCCCAACTCAAAACTAATTTTTTCTCTATGTATTTCTCAAGTACATGTTGTAAATAATTTAAGCATTCATCAAATGATTCACCAAAAAAAGAAAAATCATCCATAAAAATTTCCATGCATTTTTCAATCATATTAGAAAAAATAGACAGCATACATCTTTGAAATGTGGCTGGAGCATTACACAGACCAAAAGGCATGCATTTAAAAGCAAAACTACCAAATGGACAAGTGAAAGTTATTTTTTTTTTATCTAAAGGGTTTATATAAATTTGATTATAACTAGAGTATCCATCTAAAAAACAAAAAAAGTTTTTTCCAACTAATTTTTCTAGAATTTGATCAGTAAATGGTAGGGGAAAATGATCTTTTCTAGTAATTGAATTTAATTCTCTATAATCAATGCAAACTCTCTAACCGGTAGTTAGTCTTATTTGTATTTCATTCCCATTTTCATTTTTTATAACCGTGATCCCTAATTTTTTTGGCACTACTTGTGTAGGACTAACCCATTTGCTATTTGAAATAGGATAAATAATATCAGCATCTAGCTACTTTAAAATTTCTTTTTTTACAATTTCCATCATGTTAGGATTTAATCTTCATTGTGGTTTCTTACTAGTTCTAGCCCCCTCCTCTAAATATATACTATGCATGCATACTCTCATATCAATGTCCCTTAAATCGTCCATTTTCCAACCCATAGCCTTATTATTTTTTTGAAGTACATCTACTAATTCTTCTTCCTGTTCATCACTCAAATCAGCTGCAATAATAACAGGAAATGAATTATTTTCCTAAAAAATATATATATTTTAAACTAGAGGGAAGAGTTTTAACTCTAAATTTAAATGATCTTCCTCTTTCTTTTCTTCTAAATTTATATTCTCTATTTCCTCTAATTCTTCTAGCACACAGTCATCAATAACATCTGGATCATCAAAATCATCTAGAAGATCTATGGTATGACAATCATATACTTGAGATTTCTTAAGATCATTTGATACCTTAAAAATTTTAATTTCTACTGATTGATCTCCACATGAAATTTTTGCAATACCTATGGGAAAATTAATATTCATCTTTACTGTATGCAAAAATGGTCTCCCTAGGATGATTGGTGTATCAGAAAAATGTCTATTAAAATCTATTTCTAGCACTACAAAATCAGCTAGAAATTTACACCATTTAACTGTCACTATCATATTTTCTAAAATACTTTTAGGATGTTTTATGGATCTATTAGTAAATTGTAAGGTAACAGTAGAAGGTTTAAGATCAGAAATATTAAATTTATCACAAATACTTACAGGTAATAAATTAATACTAGCACCGGTGTCAAGTAATGTATTCTGAAAAATGAATCCACCAATATCACACAAAATTAAAGGGGCACCTGTATCTCTCAATTTAAATGATAATTGATTTAATAATAATGCACTAGCATGCATAGATAATTTTTCTACTCTAGGTGCCCTTTTTGGTGTACACATTTCTTTCAAAACATTAGCATATTTAGGAATATGTTCAATGGCAGTGAGTAAAGGAAGACTAATTTGCACATCTTGTAAAATTTTCTTTATTTCTTCATTGTGTTCCTATTTCTTTCTTTGTCTAGGCTCTAGAGCTTTAGGAAATATAATGGTTGTCCTCTCTTTCAAAATTTCTTTGGTAGAATCTATAAAATCCTCTTCTATTCCTATTTGATTTTGTTTTGGATTGTCTATGTTTTCTTTTTCTTCTAATATTTGGGGATAAGGATCAAGTAAGATCTTACCACTCCTTAATACATTCACTGTCCTAACATTTTCATTTCGTGGGTTTTTTCCTAGATTTATACTACTAAACTCCCCTTGTTGAAATCCTATTGTTGGGTAGTTCCTTGGATTTTCTATGGGCCGACTAGGTACCTGTCCCTCTTCTCTCTTATTCCTAAGGGCCTCTATAATTTGTTTCTGGTGCAGCATCATTTGATTAATAGTTTGTTGCATCATTTGATTCATAGTTTGTTGCATCATTTGGCTCATTTGTTGCATCATTTCTATAGCATTAGGTTGGGTTTGAGAGGGCTAATTTTTCTGAAATCTGTTTTCCTGTTCTAGACGAAATTCAAAGTTTGAATTGGGTCTAAGTGCTTCTAAATTTTGAATATTATTTGGGTCTCTCCATGAAAAATTATTCCTCTAATTAGGATTATAACAATTTGAAAAAGGTTCCCTATTTCTATTAAAACCGTGAGCTACTTGCACTTGTTCTTGCATAGGGTGAAATGATTGATCTAAATTATAACATTGAAATTTAGAATAATCATTTTCACCATACATAGGACATGTACTATTCGAATTAAGTTGAGAGTTAAAAGGCTTTCTAATATTGTCAATAAGTAAATTAATTTTTTCTAATCTTTGATTAATCTAATTAACCTCATTTTTAAGTTTAGAATCATCATCATGATGTAATTCATAAATTCCTCTCTTCTTATCCCTGTCATATAATTCAAAAGAGGCTTAATCTCTAGAATTTTCACTTAAATTCTCATAAAAACTGTAAATCTTATCAGGAGTTTTCTCCATAAAAGCTCCTCCACATATAGAATCAACCATATTTCTATGTTGTTCTAATAATCCATCATAAAAAATTCTATTGACCTGCCACTTGGGTATAGCATGATGAGGACACTTTCTAAGTAAATCTTTAATTTTTTCCAATGTCTCATGCAAAGTTTCTCCTGGTCTTTGAGAAAAACTCTATATATGTTTTCTCATATTTTGAGTTTTTCCTAAGGGATAAAATTTTCGAAGAAAGGCTTGTTCTATATCTTTCTAGTTAGTTAATTCTCTATCTAATGTGGATAGCCAATGACTAGCTTTGTCCCTAAGTATATGAGGGAATAATTTCATCTTAATAATTTCTGGTATAACTTGAGGGGGATTAACTAAATCACAGACCATATGAAATTTTTCTAAGTGCTGATGAGGTTCCTCTAAAAGCAATCTATGAAAATTAGGGAGCATTTAAAAAATTCTTGGATTTATTTCGAATTTAACAGTGGGTGCTAATGGGACTCTAATATTAGATGCTCTTTGAAATGAATCAGGGATATAATGATTTTTCATGGACATAGGATTGTTCTCAGTTTGACCTGTACTTCCTTTAGGATCCATCAAAATTAATTTTTCTTTCATATTTTTATTTTTGAATGAAATAATGAAAGGATTTTCTAGCCTTGGATGCAAGGATCTTCTACCATGCATAAAAATCAATTAATTCGAGGGAAAAAGTTAGTAACTATTACCCTCCTTCAGGATGCTCCAGTCCTTGCTATACTTCTTTTTGTTCCCTTTTTCTAATAAAAATCGGCAAAAATAAAAGAAAACAAGAGTTAAGTTTTTTTGTCTACTATAAGAGAAAAATATAAAAATACTAAATATTATGCAATACATCCCCGACAACAGTGCCAAAATTTGACATGACTTAGTTGTTGTATATTAAATTACGCAAATATAAAATTTATAAAACTAGAAAATATAAATTTTTGGATATTTAGAAATATTTCTAAATAAATATATCAATTATAATTCAATAAAAATTTCAAAAATAGCGGTAATTTTCTAAGTCGATCACAGGGATGTAATATAATATGTTGTAATTATTCAGATTTTTTCTCAATGAATACAATTTTCTATGAATTTTATACTAGGAAATGAAAAAGAAATATATTTAAAATTCACAAAAAAAAAGGAAATGAGGGTGTGGACGTCAGGATGACGTCAGTGCTTGGCGAATGCAAATCGGTAGAAACAGAGTTCTGCCCTATGATTCTTACGTAAGCGATTATAGACAATTTAATTAATCAAATTAAGATCTGTAAAAGCCGGAAGAATTGTAATTGAACGAAGTATAGTTTGGTAAATTAAAATCACATAAAGTATCACTAAATGAAGTGTAAATTAAATTGAAAGTAGGAAAACAAAGTTCTGGCATCATGACGGCGATGCATCAATGATGCACCAAAATCTTGAGCGTTTAGGAGGATCATCGCGTAGTGTCCACAGCCTCAAAAGCTCTCCTTGGACAAAGACGACGTGGGCAATCTCTAGATCTTCTCACAAAGTCTAGAGATTAATGAAATGGGTCATCGAGTCGTCTTCAGCGGCTGTCACCCGGCGGAGCGGAAAAATGGCGACTTTGTGGCTCTTCGGCAGCTATCACTTGACGGAGAGGAACTAGATGGAGGTGGGGCGCGTGTTAGGGAGCTTCATCCTCAAGTCCACGCAGCAAGAGGAGGCTCTTCATCGCATCCGGTATGCTCTTAGGAGGTGGTGACTCATCTCTCGGCGGATTGTCCTCTTCCTGACGACGACTTGTTCGTCGATCAATTGGAGATGATTTATTCGATGGATTCATGATCCTTTTATCGCGAATCATTCAGCAATTTTAGTAGCAATGCTTCACGAATCGTGTTGACAAGATTTTCGTCGATGATCCAACAATTCTCGTTGCTTAATCCTTCACTAGCGATCTACAAGAAAGTCACGATAATCAGATAAAAATATATGAATTTTGACTCTGGAAGGATTCGAACCCGCACCGGTCGCTCGCCTGTGAGGAAGGTGTGACGCAGGTTTAGTCCCACATTGATTGTGCACCGATTTTTCAGGTGAATATATAGTAATGTTAGCTTTATAAGCAAAGCCCCTTCTCTCACGTGTACTACCACTCCTTACCCCACAGCCGCCTGGCCACTAGTGACATGGAAGGGGAAGTGGCGCACACGTGCCCCTTGCAGTCCAAGCTAAGCCGCTCGAGCCCCTACTCGCGGCTACTCCCCGACTGTGCTTCCGACCCGCTTGCAGGCCTAGCTGGCTGGCGAGTCCCCCCATTTTGCAATATTTTTATTTTTATTTCTTATTCTTCATTTATCTCAAAAGTAAGACTGTAAAAATCATATAAAATCACATCATTACCCAAAAATTTACATTAATCAATTGAAAACCACAAATCATTCTTTAACACAAATATAAGTCTTCATTATCATGAGTTAAGGCTAAAACTATATTATTTACTAATTATTAACTCATGATAATGAAGACTTATCACTCCTCTTGCTGCACGAACCTAAGGATGAAGCTCCCTAACATGTGCACCACCTTCATCTAGCTCCTCTCTGTCGGGTGACAATCGTCAGAGAGTCGCAAAGTTGTCGTTTTTCCGTTCCACCAGGTGACAGCTGCCGAAGACGATTCGACGACCCACTTCATTGATCTCTAGACTTCGCAAGAAGATCTAGAGATTGCCCACGTCGTCTTTATCCAAGGAAAGCCTTCGAGGCCATGGACACTACACAACGATCCTCCTAAATGCTTAGGATTCTGGTGCATCACCGTCGCGACGCCGAAACTTTATTTTCCTGCTTTCAATTTACTTTATGCTTCATTTAGTGATAATTTTTGTATTTTTAATTTACCAAAATATACTTTGTTCTATTACGATTCTTCTAGCTTTTACAGATCTTAATTTGATCAATTAAATTGTTTGTAATCGCTTACATAAGAATCACTAGGTGGAACTCTATTTTTGCCCAATTCGTGCTTGTCGGGTGCTGACATCATCTTGACGTCCGTGCCCTTATTTCCCTTTTTTGTGAATTCTAAATATATTTCCTTTTTATTTCTTAGTATAAAATTCATAGAAAATCGTATTCATTGAGAAAAATTCTGAATAATTACCAGATATTATATTACATCCCTGTGATTGACTTGGAAAATTATTGCTATTTTTGGAATTTTTGTTGAATTATAATTCATATATATTTATTTAGAAATACTTCTAAATATCTAAAAATTCATATTTTCTAGTTTTATAAATTTTATATTTACGTAATTTAATATACAACGACTGAGTCACGTCAGAACTATAGGATTATATCAGTACTCGGTGAATGCAAATCGAACAGAAATAGAGTTCCACTTAGTGATTCTTACGTAAGCGATTACAATCAATTTAATTGATCAAATTAAGATCAATAAAAGCTAGAAAAATCGTAATGAAATGAAGTATATCTTAGTAAATTTAAAATCAACAAATTATCACTAAATGTAATGGAAATTAAGTTGAAAGCAAGAAAATAGAGTTCCGACGTCGCAGCGGCAATATGTTAGTGATGCACTAGAATCCTAAGCATTCGTGAGGATCGTCGTGTAGTGTCTATAGCCTTGAAGACTCTCTTTAGATAAAGATGATGTGAGCAATCTCTAGATCTCCTTGCAAATTCTAGAGATCAATGAAATGGGTCGTCGAATTATCTCCTGCAGCTATCACCTAGTGGAGTAGAAAAATGGTGACTTTGCGACTCTCTAGCAACTGTCACCCGACAAAGAAGAGCTAGATGGAGGTGGGGCACATGTTAAGGAGCTTCATCCTCAAGTCTATGTAGCAAGAAGAGACTCTTCATTGCATCTGGTACACTCTTAGAAGGTGGTGACTCATCTCCCGGTAGATCGTCCTCTTCACGACAATGGCTTGTTCGTCGATCAATTAGAGATGCTTTACTCAATAGATTTGCGATCCTTTTATTGTGAATTTTTCAGCAATTTTAGTAACAATACTCTGTGAATCGCATTGATAAGATTTTTACCGATGATCTAACGATTCTAGTTGCTTAATCCTTCTCCAATGATCTATAGGAAAGTCATGATAATTAGATAAAAAAATATAAGTTTTTGCTCTAGGAGGATTCGAACCCACACCAATTGCCCACCCTTTTTGGGGAAGGTGTGATGTGGGTTTAGTCTCAAATTACTTTTGGACCAAATTTTCGGACTAATATATAGTAATGTTACATTTGGAAGCAAATCCCTTTCTCCCATGTGTACGACTACTCTTTGTCCCATAGTCAGCTAGCCACCAGTGATGTGGAAGGGGAGTGGTGAACATGAGCCCCTATCAATGCAAGTCACTCGAGCCCTTGCTCGCAGCTCCTCCCCGATTGCGCTTCCGACCCACTTGCGAGCTCAGTTGGCTGGTAGGTCCCCTTCATTTTGTTTTATTTTTATTTTTATTTCTTCATTTATCTCAAAACTAAGACTATAAAAATCATATAAATTCATATAAAATCACATAATTATCCAAAAATTCATGTTAATAAACTGAAAACTACTTTTCACACTTTAACACAAATATACATCTATTTATCATGAGTTAAGGCTAAAACTATATTATTTACTAATTATTAACTCATGATAATGAAGTCTTACCATACCCCCAACTTAAATCATTACTAATCCCTTAGCAATGGAATTACGAAAATAAAAATTTATAAATCTCAAATATAATATTTTAATACATAAAAAAATATAATTAGAAATGATGCACCTTTAGATGTTTTGGATTATTATATCAAGTATTTATGAATGATGTCAAGCACTTAAATGTTTAAGTACTCCTTCGAATAATAATCTAGACTTCACTTCTTCTATTCAGATTTTTATCACTTCTTCACTCATAGATATATTTACAAGATGTTCCAATTATCAATACTCATCTAAGAATAATATTGATCCTACATTCTCTTTTTTCCACAGCTTGATTTTTGAAATTTATATTATATTTCTTCTTTCTTTTTTTTTTAATATATAGTGGATAAGTAGCTTTTCTTGTTGGCAAATTTTGACAATAAGAATGATGTCTCACATCCTCCATGTGTACTTTTTATTTTCAGGGCTTTCATTTGATCCACTCATATTGCAGCAAGTGTTTTTCTATTGCATGATTTTCGACAATGAGAATGGTCTCACACCCTCCATGTGTACTCTTCGTTTCTAGATTTTTCACATTGCTCTCTCTTTTTTTTCTGAAATAAGTGATTTCTCCTCATAAGTCCTATAGATCAGGGTGCCAAAATCTCTATTAAACTCAAATGATCAATCAAAATTTTTATATCAAATAAATACTATCCATCAAGATCATGAAGTGAAAATCTATAAAATCAAATTCACGTTATCTATAATGTATCCAAGGAGTATTGCAACATTTCATGCTACTAGAACATTCTTTTGACTCAATAATAATCTTCCTAGTATCTTCTAGTATCAATCAATCTAATTGATTTAAATTTTCATGTATGTAATATTATGTAAGAAATTTGTAAATTAGATAGTTCTGACAATTCTATTTTCTATTTTTAGTTCTATTTTTAACGACAATAAATTTGTCAAAAATAAATCAAAACTATCTTCTTTATATGTAATTTCAAATTTCAATAATATATGTCTAGGGGATTGAAATGTGAGAAAAGGGTCTCTAGAATTTTAAAATTTGGGCTATTTTTTGTCTACTATTTTTGACAGTTTGTTGTTCTTGATAGAAAACTAGAAAATAGATGTTGCAGTTTTTCTGACTTTTTTTTAAATTATTGTTCTAAAGTGAATAAAATGCAAACACATGTTCTTAATTGTTTTACAGCATAAATTAATAATTAATACTTCACCCTTCAACTTTAAAATGGCATTGTCCTCAATGACAGAAAAATCGAAACAAAATATGCAGAAAATATAATTTTCAAGTGAAGCATGCATATGTGCAAAAGTTAAGTATTAAAAATATTATCATAAATGTTAAAGCTTAGAAAGACATCACCTGAACCTGATTTTTAATTTTCCACTTCATCTTACACTCCACTTTTTCAAAAAACAAATACAAAAACAAGTACTGTGAAATTCTAAGAAAAATAGAGCTTAAAAAAAAATCAAACAGAATGAAATAAAAACCATAGGTTGTCTCCCATGCAGCACTAAATTTAACATCTCCAATTAGACACCTTGATCTTACTCTTGAATTTCTTTTTATAATAAAATTTCTTTTTCTGCAAGGCGTTCATGTTCTATGTAATGTTTAAGTTGTTGTCCATTTACCTTAAAGTTATGATCACTTTTAAGATCTTTAATCATTTCAGCCCCATGATTATATGTCTCTTTTAAGATCTTTTAAGGCCCCTTCCATTTTTATTTTAGTTTTTCTAGGAATAATTTCAGCCTAGAATTATATAACCACAATTTTTGTCCAACATCAAATTTTTTTCTACTAATGTATTTATCATGAAAAGTTTTAGTTTTTTCTTTATATATTCTATGATTTTCATAAGTTTCATTCATCAACTCCTCTAACTCATGTAGCTGAAAAATTGTATTTCCACCAACTGATTTTTCATCCATACATAATTTTTTTATAGCCCATAATGCTTTATGCTCTATTTCCACAAGAAGATGACATGGCTTTCCAAAAATGAGACGAAATGAGGACATACCTATGGGATTTTTATAAGCTATTCTATAAGCCCATAATGCATCTTATAATTTCATGGGTCAATCTTTCTTATCTTGTCTAACAATTTTTTTCAAAATTCTTTA